GTTGTTGTTGTTGTTGTTGTTGTTGTTGTTGTTGTTGTTGTTGTTGTTGTTGTTGTTGTTGTTGTTGTTGTTGTTGTTTAGAGTGAACGTGCGTGTGCATTGATGGGCCAAAAGTGTAGAAATTAAAAAAAATAACGAATATGAAATGGGTAGAAAAAATTGCCTGAAATCCAACAAACAGTGCTTGCTTTTGTTATCAAAAGTCCACGAATAAAATCCTATCACTAAACCAAAAGCGTGAAGCTTCTTCATCTAAATTTGTATTTGCAATTGTATCTGCTCAGATCGAGATAAAATGATATCTTTTGAACCAGAAAAAAAAACAGTTGATCACACTGATTGCTCTGATGTGTTTTTTTCTCTCTTCTTTCACTTTATTGTTTGAACTAATATGAATATTGGCTTTGAAAAGTTTGCGGAAAAACAATTCTACAACCAATTGAAATGAACACAGTGGTCTTTGGTTCAGATTCAACTGAAAATCAGTGGAACAATGACCGAATGATCGTTTACTTCGAAAATTCCAAACTCACATTTCGCCTGAAATCGATAGTGTAGTCCTCTCTGAATGTATGATTACCTCGTGCGCTTCTTTAAGCTTATCGGATCCAATGAAATCGTAGTCGTATTCGAAGTGGATATTTATTATCCAAGAAGGCCAAAGCCGTTTATCAAACACCACGAACGAAAAATTGACTGTTACACAGATTTACACCAGATATATCAAATGATTCACATGCTGTGAAGAAGCAAACGCAGGTAACTAACGATATATAGATTTATTTATTTTTATTTTCGTGTGTGTACTGTTTTGTAGCAGCAGAAAATAAGGCAGCGCGAAATTGTATACTCGAGTTGGTTTTGTGAACAAGGCTAAATACAACCGCCGCCAATGAAAAACAAAAATTTCACACTGCATTGTGCACAACCAAGCTAAGTTGCAACCTCATACGAATTCACATGTTTGCTGCGTAAGAAAATATGCTCTATTATTTCTGGCTACTGCTGCTGCAGCAATTGCTATGCCTAGGCCTGTGAATATTTGCCATCGCTATTTGTTATTGTCTGGTTCCATGTTATACATTCGATTCAATTGTACATGCACAGCAAACATAATGTTAGATAGTCTCGTGCTATCTCTCTCTCTTTCGTTTTTTTTAGTTGTTGTTGGTGGTGTTATTATTGTTCGTGATGTAAACAACAAGTGCAGTTTTTTTTTCTCTGTTCATCTACATTTTTGTGCTGCTGTAGAGTGTGTGGTATTGGCAGTAGTAATAATGCGACTTTTAAGAAATAATTCAATTTATGCTTAATAAATAGGTCAATGAATGGCAAAAGGCATACAATGGATGATTCTCCTTAAATCGTATTGCCACAAGCGATTGCACCTTTTTTTTCATCGTTGAAATGTTAGCACCTCGCATTATAGCCCATAAATTACTACTGCATATCGATTATTCGGCATTAGAATTTTTTTTTTACATTCAAGTCATTTCTAAAGCCAACTCTAACTAGTACTTAGCATTCTCAGCGGTGTCGTGATTTCATGTGCTTGTAGGTGTCTTTAACTGGATTTTGTTTCTCTCTCTTCTCTGCCTTCAATGCGGGCATATTCTGTTTTGCTGTTAAAAAAAAGTTTACACTGTTTGACGTGAACAAAATGTCGATCCATTATAACAAAGTTCTAGGCGTTGTTTCTTTGCATGACGCTCTCTCTTTTTTGATTTTGCTAGAAAACGAAGAAACGTCTTGGGAATCAGTTATTTCACCTTGAATGCAATTTTACTGACACACGAAACGCTGATTATTCTAATTACAATCAATAATAATCGGTTTTGTCGTATCAGATCGGCTATTTATCATCGTCATTCGTCGTAAACGATTCGCGAAGCAATTAATGCACATTTTTCAGGGCGGCCCCAGTCCCATCAACTCCAATGAATGAATCATTTATGAGTATTCAAATGTACGTAAAACTGTCTAGTATTTAATGAGTAAATAGAGAAAACCAAATTGTAATTCATTTAGTGCGAAAATGAAGCAGCCGTCGCACCGCCAAGATGAAATGAATACTCCATTTATGTGGAGATAAAGCACTCCATTTACGTGTATGTGTGTTTTTTTTTTGACGATTGTTTATAAGCAGTCGTATCAGATTTTATCTGCGAAACAATCTTAAAATACGCAATAAAATGAAATAAGTTGACGGGTGTTTATTTGCAATGAAATAAAAAAAGACACAAGACACCCTCTAGAAAACAAATTCGTTTGTGTGAATCCACATTTGCGTTCTGTTTTAAATTTTCATTTTTGCTCATTCTAAATGTTGAAATGAACCATAGCCGTCCCTGAAGTGAATCACAATGTGGGCTGATGGTGTTGACTAATTCTCATACCATTATGGTCATTGCCGAAATCGATCAACTATATATACACACACAAAAATGGACATTTTTGATTACGAATCATTTTGCCAACAAACGCCTACAATGCGGCACAATGCAGCTTCGTGCTGTGTGCTCTACAAGTTAAGCGAATCATGTGACGCCAGATGCGCACAATGAATAAACTAATGTTATTTGAAGTATGCATCAATATGCAATCGAGATCATCTCTAACTCTTACCATTCATACACCGTGTATGGTTGAACGAAAAATGCCGATTTTCCCGTAAAACCCAATTTATTTGCCGAGCACGGTGCACACGTATGAATTCAAGCAGTTGGTGTTTTTGTTTTTCGGTTTGTGTGTCATGCTTATGACTGAACCAAATGTTTTCGTCGGGCACTTTTTGACATTCATTTGCGGTCTCTGCATGTGTTCCATTTCAATTCTATGCAATAGATTGTGTTACCAGAACGTATTTAATTCTTGTTATTTTGCGCAATCGATCTCTCCAGCTGGAGATACGAGGGTTGCTGCATAAGTTTCTGGCCTAACCTATTTCTAGTGTTTTCAGATGCAATCTGACGATTCCATCGGAAATTTTGACATTTTTGAGGCTAAAAAACACTATAGCAGGGATTGTTTTACATTACTGGGTGTGTCTAAGCCTCCTTTCCAAGGGATACCTGGAAAAATCGTAAATTTCAACAATAAACTTCATTTTTCGATATGGGAAAAATTGATTATTCTGTTGTTAACCACCTAAAAAACTTCGTTTATCCTCAATTTAATAATTTTTGGCTAACGAAACCATTATTTTATATTTTGGGCCTGCAAATATTCGATTGAATGAAGGCATGTCAAAAGGTGAAAATTCATGAAGTGACAGATAGTTCCCAGTTTTTGGCCCATTTTCTGAATATTTTCATTCCAAAAATGTCCGCTTTATTCAGAATTCATGGCACTACAATTCCAAAGTATAATAACAGTCATGTAAATCATTTTTTCCCAGAACGAAGCATTGCAATTTGCGAAAATCGTCTGTTTTTTCAGAAATAAGGAAAATTTTCTGTTATTTTCAAACACGATACTATCACTAAAACCTTCTGGGATGACATGCTATACTCATAAATGATAATTTTGTAATCTCTAGTGACGATTGAGGGTTTTTCAGCCTATCAAAATTGCATTATTGAGAGTTTGTAGGCCTATTTTTGTCCAAAACTCTTTTTTTTGGTTGAAAACATATTTGGAGGTTTTGACATGTGAAAGGCATTTACGTCACTAAAACCACATGTAATATTGACCTCATGCATGTCATACTAATGCCAAAGGATGCCCCAATCTCACTATAAGTCGTATGAGAATATTCCACCTTTAGGTTTCGCACAGCATCAATGTGTTCCGGCGTTACAGCTGATATTTTACGACTTTCCTGCGGACTCATTTTTGAGTGAGCTTCGTCAACATTTAAAATCGTTATATCACCTCTAAATACTTGGAATGGACCGAGTTTTATCACCCAAAGCGAATTTGAGGCTATCACGGCACTCTTGTTGAGTTAGTCCCTCTCAAAAATCGGAATAAAACATTGCACTAAAATGTTTGCGGAAAAATTCAATTTTTTCATCAAATTGAAATATTCAAGCTCATAAAACACCACGATCCGTAGTGAATCAACAGTTGACGTCTGAGGAAACTTAGCTTAAAAAAGGTCAAACTTTTTGACTGACCCAAAGTTTTGCTTCGGAAAACACTAGAACTAGGTTAGGCCAGAAACTTAAGCAGCAACCTACGTATAGAGAGACACACAAACAGCGAATACAATACACTTCATTATGCGGCTGTGTGTCTCTCTGTTTTTCATACGGTCGCATTGCACACAGACATACTCCATACATATACACATGGTCTGGCATATTTATTTCATGGTGTTGTCGTTTATTATTTTGTTCTCCCAAAAATAGCGCTGTCACAAGCAAAAAAGCACACTAATTTCATTTTTGAAGCCATCAAAACGCATACGATTATCATTAACATCAACAGTAACTCGGCTCTCGTTTTTTATTCTTGCTTTCTTAAACTGTTTTTTTTCCCGTCTGTCGTTGATTGTTGAAATTCTGTTTCAATTCCCATTCCGTTCGTACGTTGCTTTTTCTCGAAATGTGTACCAATTAACGCATAGTGAATGGAAATCGTACAAAAGCAAATATAAAGTCTATGGCGAAAATTAGAAACGAACGTAGGCACAACACGAAATGGAATGGAGAGAGCGAGCGAGAGTGAGAGCATGCACGCATTAAAATATTTTGACCAAACCGTTTGACGGTTATCGACGCAAGAAGCATGCCTAAATACTCGTATAAATCATATGCAAAATCAATTAAATTGACTCATTGAAATGGGTTTTCGTTTACTTTTTGTTTTTCGTTTGAATTTGCAATGAATTGTATATACGGTACACGTACGATTGAATGCTACGACTGTGTGAGTGAGTGTGAAGAAAGAGAATGAAGATAAATATCCGGCTTTTATGTCATCGCCATAGAATTTTAACAAGAATTATTGACGACGGTGTCATCGTGAATTGTCACATCAATGAGGCACTTTTTTTTGTTTAGTTTTGTAGTGTCGTCGTCGTCGCCGCCATCGTTTGAATCGAATTTTGAGAACTCCCGACTCAATGGAAGACCTACAAATCAACACGGGGTCACCCACAACAAATGTGGGGACACATTCAAAATGATAAGATGTGTTGCAACAAGATCAGATCATGACGATAACAATCGAAAGATCTATTTGATGAGTCAAAGTTGAGTCTTGTTGATTTGGTTGGAACAGATTTCCACAGTAATGTGTGTGTTTTTGCGCGCTCGTTGATATTTATCTCTTGCAGCAAAATGTTTAATTAAATGTTTTAATTGATGTCATCATTCAATCATACACATTTCGTATTGTATTCTCTGGCTGTCTACGGCAAAAAGTGCTTAATGAATTTAGCGTTGTATATGCGTGCGTGCGAGCGAGCAAGTGAATGTGTGCTCGTGTGTAAATGTGGAGATTTGTGAATGGTTTTACTGTGTTATCCATCATTTCGAATGGGATTTAAGGTTAGTGCCATGTTTCAGAATGAGGTTTCTATGCTTTTATTGCTGTGTGGCTGCTGCTGCGGCTGCTGCTGCTGATGTTTGATCTAAGCTGATTCCATACCAAAAGCCAAATTATAATCATGCATATAGCAACAGTATCTCACTATGGCCGCTTGTGATTTGCAAGATGCGAAAGTTTCTTAGCTCATGCTGACTGTTGGCTTACAATCTCAATATTTACATTTGTTTTGCTGTTGTTGTCTCTCTCTCTCTTTCTTTCTTTCTGTCGTTTCTTATTTCATGCTTTATCTGCAAATGCTCACTGCTGAAACACCAGATGTAGGCTAACTACACATTTCTCTCTTTCTCTATCTCATGGATCTCTTCAATTTGTCTGTACGCAAAACAGCTCAAAGTGTGATTTGATTCAACAAACAATACTGAAAGAATGGGGAAAAAAGTTTCAATCGAAATATGCACTGGCAATTTCTTTTACTTTTGGGTCGTTTTCTTTTCTTTAGTTGTTATTCATTTTGGATTTCTCAATTTGGCCGTATTCAATTCATAAATGCACGCACACGTTCACACAACGGGCACATATTTTTTTTTCTTCTTTTGCTTCGTTTTGCTCAATACAATTTATTCACTCGAATTGTGTTCACAAACTTTGTGATGATGTTTTTCTTTGCTTTGTAAATACGATTCAATTTATGTTTTCACATGCGATTCACATTTTGTTTAAATCCAATGCAGTGCAACAACAACTGCACAATTTCAATGACGGAACACAACTCTAGTCATTGGTTCGTTCAAAACACACAGAATTTATGCACTGAAAAGAACACAAATATGCTTCCACCTAAACCGAATGTAACGAAAAACCGGAAAATGTTTTATTGAAATTCACTATGTTTTTTTCGTTTGGCAAAATATTTGGTTTTAACTTGAAAGAGGAAAAAAAAATAATAATTGTTCACTACCGCCACGATCACCATAACAATCGCATCGAATGGAATTGAAGCCGTCGAATTTGTGTTGCCGACATTTGATATCGATGAAAGAATAAAATGCACACCGATAAAACACTACGGGATAAACACAATTTTTTTCTTCATTTAAATCGGTTCTCCTTTATAAAACACTCGATACCATTTTATAAGTTTCAAAAAAAAGACACACACAGAAAAAATCACCACGATTTTCGTATGGAATCTATATGTTGTTGGATGTTTTATGTTGCGCCCAAGTTGTCTTGTGTGTGGCGTTCAAAAACGAAAAAAAAAGTTGCTACAATTATAGAAACGACAGCAACAGAAGACAAGAGAGAAAAAAAAATGAAAGAAAAAAAGTCCATCAAGTAGTAACGAAGAGAGGAAAAAGTGGCAACAGAAAAACACATACACAGTATCGTTGTCGTCGAATCGAATCGAATCGAAAATCTATACAGAATGGAAATACACAAACACCGATGAAAAGTGTAAGATATAGGGAGAAACAACTATGTATAAATGACGATGACGACGACAACGGCGATGTTAGAGTAGAAAAAGAAGTGAAATAAATGGAAGCGATTGTTGTATACACAACACATTTCGAAAACAGCGACAACCAAAACTATAGCAACCAACTGTCAGTTGAAGCGACCAATACATGCATTCGTCACAATACAAACACACATGCAAACCAACATGCAACGACATGAATATGCTCTCTTGTGGCTTGCTGCTGGTGCTGCTACTGCTGCTCATGTTTCACACACAGTTCGCGGTTTATTGCTGCATTGCTTCGCATACTCACTCAATCACTAACGCCGCTCTGTTGGCGGTACACTCATTGTCACACACACACACACACACATTCTCTCCCTCTCTCTCTCTCTCTCTCTCTCTCTCTCTCTCTTTCTCTCTCTCTCTCTCTCTCTCTCTCTCTCTCTCTCTCTCTCTCTCTCTCTCTCTCTCTCTCTACATTCCCGTCTGTATTTGTGTGATGTATGCGTGCGTGTATATTTTGATCTGCATCCAGTAGATCTTGTGAATACAAGTTTTTCGTTTGAAATATAACATCGATCGTTCATTCGTTTAGTGTGGACGGAATAAATGAACACCTTTTTCAATGGTCAATGTTTATTTTACGTGTGGAAATATTGTTGCCAATTAAAATGAATATTCCATTAGATAGATTCTAGGTGTATTTTTAGCACACATGTTTAGCACAACATTGAATTCCGGTAAATGGTCGAAATGGCTAATTGTGTTGGTGTTATAGTATATCCGAGACTGGAACAGTACCGATACCGTACTGCCAACTTCGTAACGGATCAAATGCTGTCACTCTTGCTGTTAGTTTGAATAAACGTACTATTTTTTTGTGCATGGAGAGAAAATATAAATCAACCGACAAACGGTGATTTCGATACTCACAGCATCAACCGTTCTCGCTGAATGACATAGAAGACGAAAAATGAAGACAATTATCTGGAATTATGTTATGGAAGAGCTATTGAGAAGGAAACATTTGATTCACATTTTATTCCTGATTTAAAAAAAATTGCAGATTTTTATTAGACTATGAATTAAGGGGGCCAATTGTGATTGTATTTATTCCATTTTTTAAAGTCCGATTTCGTTGGGAAAAAAATTAAACTCATCCATGACGATTGCATGTGTGCGCATTTACACGTTTATTCTGGGTTAACTTTTTTGTCCATCAACAGCAAAAACTAAAAAAATAGGTCAGCCTTTGTTAATCCATGCTATTTCATTTAACAAACTAATTTTTTTTTAAATTAAATTTGACACAATAACAGAATTTTATAAAATGTTAAAAAAAAAACGTTGTTCTTCTCGAAGACGAATGATACGGTAACTAATGATGATTTCATTTTTTAAATTCAAACAATTAAATTTATGATATAAAACGAATTTTTTTTTTAAATGATATAAAAGATTTAATTAACATTTGTTTTGCGTTAATGTCTTTATGTCTTTATTGTGACGGTTTTTAGGAATTCCAACGCTTCCTGCGCTCTTCATTCTGCAACAAAGTTTTAGAGAGAAAAAGAAATACACACACAATAGAAATTCAAGCATTTTGAAGGGGAGGAACAGACGATCGCATTCAGCTTCGCTAATTGATCCTTTTTGTAATTTATTTCAATTGTGGTAAGAATTGATGTGACTGTGTGTGCATTTTGGATAAAGTTTCGTTTTTCTTCTTTTGCTTTTGATGACACTGTTTGATTAGAAAACCAATACAAGGTAATTGTAACAGATTGTTTGCTTAAAAAACTAGATAAACATCGTGTGTTCATATAAATAATGTCAATTTTTTTTGTTTAAGTAGTTTTTGTGACAAATTTGTAAATCTAATGGTGAAATATATAGAGCTCATTCGGTTTCAATTAATGATGATTATTAAATTGGATAAATGTATGTATAAAATAAAGAGAGAAAAAAAATGTTGCCTGTATTTTTCTTGTTTGTTTGTGATTTGGATGTGTGATATAAAAATTGTATACATTCCTAAACACAATAATAAAAGTAATTTAAAACACACACACTTATTGTTGGCTCATCCACTGTATACTTATAGTATATTGCCAAACAAAATGTATATTCTCTAGTCGAGATTAGCTCGCTTCACACCGCAATTCATACAGAATTTCGCTTGGTCAACGATAAACCGAGCGCCGCATTCGTGGCAAAATTTCGTCAATTTTTGATTTGCGCTCAAATTGGACTCTCTGCATGTGGTACTAGATGAGGAGAGTTTGATGCGATCATTGCTGGTAATTTTGTGTTGATGTAGTGGATCGACACGAGTATCGTGGTGATAGCTTGATGTCATGTTGATTGTGTTGTAAATATTTTGTGAATCATTTTTGTGTACAGCGATTGGAGGTAAAACTCGATCGAAGCCATTGAGTGAGGCATTCAGTTTGGTTCCATTCGTGCTAAGTTTAGTGGTGTCGCTTTTCAAGGACGACAAATACTCGATTGGTGTGGTTTTGAAACGTCCCAAATCTTTGCTCGTATTGGGAGATGCCAGTCCGACAATTTCAGGCATTTGATAGTTGAACGGCTGATGACGGTTACGTTGGCCGAAGCGAATCGATCCGTTGTTGTTAGATTTCTCGCCGGGCGATTGAAGGAATAAACTGAAACGAAAAAAAAAACAATAATCAAAATATTAGAAATGATTCATAAAAAGGCAAGAAAAAAGGTCAGTCTCAACAAGTCTTACCTCTTAAATGTAGCCTCTGCAGACGCAGAAGCGTCATTCGTCTTTGGACTAAACACATCTGACGTTAGGTCCAGAGTTTTTGAGTCATCGCACATGCTGTTTAGCTCTTGAACGCTTGCCAAAAGTTCTCGTTCTGCTTGAGACATTTCACCGGTTTCGCCAAGTATTTCCTGTAATTGACTGAGTTTCGTATCGGTCGTATGTTTCCTTTGGCCCAATTTACTGAGCTCCGATTCAATTTGCATTCGCTTTTCCGCTTCGGCTGTTACATCTGGCTTTTTTAGCACTTTCCTTTCGAACGATTCACGTTTTCGATTTGCTTCCGAGCTACCAACACTGTCACACTTGCCACCGCCGCGGTGTTCAATTGAACTGTTTGCCGATGCGGTTCTTTCTCTTTCGCTGACATCAATATCGCTTGTATCAAACTTCTCATCGAATTCGGACTCTTCACTCGTTGACTCACTGCCGTATTGTTTGCGGCTAGACACCCGCTTCTGGTCCGTTCCCATTTCCTTGTAATTTTTGAAAATCGGAAATTGCTCGTTATCACTAAACGTTGAGATGAACTCCTCCAAATCAAAATCATCAAAAAGTGTTTCCAAATTTTGCACATCTTTTGCAGACAGCTTTCGTCCGATCTTATTGCAATCATCATCGAATTTCGATTGTGTTTTCGGTTCCTTCGGAGATGGTGATGTAATCGATGCATTTTTCATGTTGTTATCATCCACATCGATGTCCTCTTCGAGCTGTTTGGTTTGATTGATTTGATTGTCGGTCGATCCAATGGTTATCGCATTATCGAATAGCAAATTATCTTTATGCAATTGCATCTGACGCTTTGGATTACGTTTATCGGCGGTGTCATTGATATTTTTCAAGTTTACAATTAGCTCCATATTTTGATGTGAATCAATACTCTCGGCACTGGACGATAAACGTGTGGAATCACAATTGAAATTGGTTGCATTTGTGACCAGATGATTTTCAATCGATGCATCCGTCGCTTCGGTCACACAATAATTTGTCTGATCAAAACTACTCGATTCATTGGGTAATTTCGATACATTGCTTAATCTTAAATTATCACATGAATTAATTAAATATGAATCGATGGTATTGTCATTGTCATCGATTCTTATGTCATCATTATTAATATTATTGTTATTATTTTTATTGCATTCTGAATGATTTGCGGTAAGTGGCTCCAACATTATCTTATGTTTAATCAATGGCTTTTCAATTGGCGCTAATTTAATGGGATTGCTTTGCAATCGTTGTGGTGTTTGTATTTCAATCGCTGGCAATCGATCTCCACCACCGCCGCCAAATTCATTATTTGAGTCATTCGTTTTGTTGTCGATCAGTTCAGATAGTGATTTTTTGTTCAAATTATTACTCTTGTCCTTCAACTCTTTTTCCGATAGTTTTTCGTGGTTTTTTGCCGCTAGCGAGCTCTCCAATTCGTCTTCAAACTGCAGAAATGCGGCCAACGAATCGGTTTTTGTCAATGGGAAATCAGCGGCATTTTTTACATCGCCCGATATATTTCGACGATTTGCACTGTTGCACAGTTGTCGTTTGACAATAATCGGCGATGGTGTTGATGATATTGGTTCGCGTAGTTCGCGATGGTTGCTTGAGGGTTTCGGTGATTTTGGTACCAAATCGGGCGGTATGATGGCGGCATGACTTTTAACTGGAATTTCGTCATACTCTTCGGGTTTCATGAAATTCGACGAAATTGGTCCCTCATCGGAGATGCCACGTTGAATGGATGGCTTGTATTTTGGCATAAACGATATTGGTGACGTCTTCTTCGGCACACGAAGCGATGACGTTCGTCGAAAGCTTGACTTAGATAAACTTTGATTTTTTATTGGACTAGACGGTGAATGGTTCGATGGTGACTTCGCGGCGCATAATGATTTGCTCATATTTGCACCCGTTGGTGACCGAGCCCCTTTGGCCGGTGTTGATGTTGCAATGTTGCTTGCATTGAACAGATCTTCAAATTGACGCTTGGCCGAAATAAACGGATCATATTTGTCGGAAAATCCGCTGAAAAAAAGAACTTGTTATGCACATGGTTTCAGTTAATAACTCAAATTAAATGCTAATTACCCATCACTTGCGATGGACGATGTCATCGACAGAGACATGATGCTAGATTTGCGGCCTCTTTCGTATGGATCAGCCACCGAATTGAAATCCATTATGCTAACACCACCACTGTCCGACAAATTATTCATCGATTCACTAAGACTGGAGTACTTTTCTCGGTTCTTCTCTCGTTTCGACCTAAGTACATAAACAAACACATTCACATAAGCACACAAGAAAGTCAATCATCTGGTTTCGTTTAAAATTGGTGGAGTGATTTTGAAAATGTAACATACCTCAGTGTTGGAGCCTTGTATTTTGTTCGAGCTTGCATACGTTCTTTGGCCAGATGCTGTTGTGCTGACAATGTCGGAGCGGCGATCCTGATTCTCTCACGGCACCATTCCACATGTCGATCATATGCTCGCGTACCGAACGATCGACTACAATGTGGACACACTTCATTGATCGGGCCCAAGCTTCGTTTAGACATCATCGATCTATTCATCAATGGCGTCTCCTTTGACATCATTTTTGGAACCTCTTTCGTTGGAGTGACGCGGCGACTCGCCAGTTTGGTTGATGCATCATACACACTCGAAATCTATTTTTTTTTTCAGCAAAGGAATTCCATAAAAAAAAGATATTGAGATGAAGATTTGGATGGAATCAGCAAATCACCATAAAAATCTGAACGAATGACTTTCAGCAGCAGAACTAAAAAGAGAACTTACCGATCTGGATGCGGATTTCGTATCTGTTGGAGACAATTTGGAAGTTTTCGATTTCGTAATTAATCCATAGTTTGATGGTAGGTATGTTTCTAGGTCGGTGCCAACTTTTCGTTGCCTAAATGAATCGAATGGTGTTCGTTTTTGAATATGCATTTTTTCGCATATTCCGATATGCTTGTCCAATGCTGCCGGGGTAAAAGTTCGGGTACATATTGAGCAAGGCACGAGCTCAACATTCTCCGGACCTGTATCAATGACATCTTCCGAATCAGAGAGAACTGCAAAGAGAAATGGTATTGGTTGTTTAGTGTCAAAGTCAGAAGAAATTGAAAAAAATCATTTTTCACATGCAGATTATATTTCCTTAATTACAACATAAAAACTGCGATCATTTGTTTTGGAAATATTTGGAGTTCATTCATTTTTTTCCAATCTTTTAATTGACCCTTTCCGTGTATTAGCAATATTTTCTTAGAAGAAATTCTTCAGCGCATGAAACCGATCGATTTTTCCATAAATTTTCGTGGCACAAATCAATTAAATAACCTCAGCTGATATTCCTTTCATCGGATCAAATTGATTAATTGAAATTCGATTTCAAACGGTCGAAGTTTGGTGCTCGTTTCAGGGTTTTTCAACTTAAAAATCATATAAAATCGGTATATTCATACAAATCATTCCAATAAAATGCAACATCTTGAAATTCATATTTGAAAGAAAACGTTTTTGATATAGTTTGACGTCTCTCTCTCCCATTTTGCCATGAACACTGTTCAACAGTATTGTTGAATCAACACACTTACACAAAACCGTTTTCCAAATGGCAAAACATACTCAAATTCATTTAATATGGACAAAAAGTGTTTTTTTTTATTATGGAATTGATTTGTAGCGTTGTGTGTTTGCAATATAACGATATTTCAGCGATCATGGACACCGCCCATGCACAAAACGATCATAATTACGTGTTGCGACGACGGGTCGACGACGAGTATTTTGGTTTGGATTTTTCAATTCGAAAATCCAATCGGTTTGGAGCTCACATTCATATACCTATGCATACATATGCGCTGATGAAAAGGAATGTGAGACTTAAATGTCGCCATTAAAAAAATATGCACGAAGCCGCGCGTTAACCTGCTGGTTAATACAACGTGGCTCCAAAATTAATGGCACTTTATCTAATGCACCGTATTTTGATTATCCAATGCTTGCAAATGAAACAAAACGAAGAAAAAAATTGTCAATCTGCAATTTGGAATGGACGATTGATTGATGAAAATCAATGGTCAATTGGTGTATTTCTTTGAAGAAACAAAAGATGCTTGATCATGGCAAACTTGCCCGAACATTTATTGTTTGCTTGTTCACTGATATTGCGTGGGGTTGGAATTTATTTAGCTCTTTGCTGTTGTTTTTGTTGTTGTTCTATCAAACCCAAGCACATAATTATTGGTAAATCATCATATATGCTGGAATTCAATCTGAATTTCAACAAAGGAATGAATATTTTACACTTTGAGCCAAAAACTTATTACAATTATATGCTCTTATACCAGCAGCGGCAGCATTGCGCGGTAAGGTCATTTTCCATGAAAACGAGTTCGGTTTTTAATTCAACATTTGTAGGTTTTATTAAACAAAAACTCTTCTTCTTGTAAATAACCATAAAGTCAAAAGTACATACGCATCTTCTTTGCTCAACGATCAGAGATATCAAAGTGACACACAGTTGAAATGACCAAATTTTTGGCGTTTCTATCTTAAGTTTGATTTTAATTTTGTATTTAAAATATTATTTCGATGTTAAGCTGGTGAATTTGGGTTTTCGTTGGCGTAATAGATTGATCGTCTTGGGAATATGTTCAAATTTAAATTCATATGTTTTATGGCGAATCGAAATTGGAACCAGCTTAAATAAACGAAAGAGATAGGGGGAAAGAAAACCGCGCGTAACCTTGAAATATACACTAGTCCTCTATCATTGTTGCGGAAATTATTGAGCGTCGATCGATTTTTGGTTCGTTTAAATTATCGTTATGATTACGCGAAAACTATTTATACATTTTTTAAAAAATAGAACTAAACTGGCCACAATCGATACGAATGAACGAACGAACACAACGAAAACAATTGTCGCATTTTCATTTATCTTATCTGATCACGAAATTGGTGCCAATGCAAAATTGGTGTGTTTCGACGAAATTATCAAGTATTCTCGTTTTTTTTTTTAACAAACACTGCACAATTTCTCATGTTATTATCGATAGACACACTGTTCGTGTAGACGCATTTTGGGCGGGTGAAATGGATTAAAAAAATACCTCTGTTGGAATGTTTGCTGCCACTTGCTTTGGACGACCGTGATTCACTCGATGAATTCTTAATAATACTGGAAAATTTTCTCTTTTTGCCGGTACCGTCTTTCGATGATTTACTCTTAAATAATCGATTCCACATGGTTATTTCTCTTTTCAATTGATCGATTTCACAGCAAATAATATGAATGATTCGTGTCGTAGTTGTCGCACATTGAACAACAAAATCAATTTTGCGATTTAATCTAATTCAATTCGATGGACAAATATTGCGAATGGTTGTTAAGCACGCGAAACTAAACACACACACAATTCACGACAGTCTCCGCCACCACCACCGCCGCCAACGACGACATCAACTGGTTGAAATGGACAAATGAACGGCAACCAATTTGGATTTTATCGAACACAAAAATATTGACCATTTGTTCTCATATACCAAATATATGAAAGTGGTTTTTATTATTCGCGTTCATGTCACGTCTTATACTGGGTTTACTTTTTTCGGGTGAATCGACAAAAACGGCTTGATTCGAATTTCAACGGATTTCAATATTTCAACCGGGAAATCGTTTAAATTATTGGCTATTGTTTTACACCATAACGTTGACTTTCGACTGACTGTTTCTTGATGCACATCACAAATGATTGCACATACGGTTCAGATTTTCAGTTTTAACTGAGACGTTTTCTTATCGATAGCACCGATCTTTTTGTTTTCTTTTTTCCCGAAACACACGAGAGAAACAACAACACACTCCGTTTTTTTTTGGAATCGGTATCTTTTTGTTGTTGTTACTGTTGTTGTGCGACCCGTTACGTTGTTCACACGCTCACCACATATAATATGGAAAGGCTCTTTACTAGAATACCATCGAGAGATGACTGTTTTAAAAATTACTTATTCGCTGAGAGTAATTTTTTTCCGTTTTGGTTTCGTTCGGTGCCTTTAATTCGATTGTTGTGCTGCTTCTGCTGCTGCTGTTGTTATTATTATTTCTCAGTTCTTCTTGTTGTTGGCGATGCTGCAGCGGCTGCTGAATGAATATCGAAACGATTCGTTTACATACGAAACGTTGAAATGTTTCGATGTTCAGTTGTGATTGTGACTAAATTTGTGTTTCGTGCACATACGGCTAGCGGTGGCGTTGGTATGAGTGCGATGTATGTGTTAGTGTGTGTATTTTAGAGTCGCGACTCTCATAATTTCAACATCTTATGACCGAAGTGTGTTGTATCTTATTATTATTATTTTTTTTGCTTAACCAAAATCAAACGAACTCAATGTGCCCCAAGACACACACTGCACTACGAGGCAGAGTGATAGATCACAGAGCCTATTTGAGATAGCAACATCTATTTTAGGACATTTAAAATAGAGACCGAAAATCTTAGGCATGCAACCGTATGGTGGCTGTGTGAGATGTTGATTCCCTTGCGAATAGTGTTTGTGCGCATATATGTGTGTGTATGTTAGTGCGTGTAGATGAAGTTCGAATTCTTATCCCATATTCGAAACTAAAAAATTCATTTACCATTTCAACTCAACGTCAATTACATTCAAGCAGTAAACGTTATAGCTTTTTTGCCACAGAGATCAGCTCAGCGCACAGCATTAGTTAGTACACAGCGAATTCTAATGAAATGCACACTTGAGCATTGCACGTAATTTACTTGACTTGACTTAACATATCTAACTGATGAATTATAGTCATGAGATATGACGCTGGGAAAATGCATGTGTAAGTGCTTACTCTATGGAGAGAGAAAAGATCGCCAGAGTAGAAGAAACATTGAATGAATGAAAAGAAGAATATACTCAAGTCATTCAAATAAAAACGTTGATTTTTTTTTGCTGATTCAGACCAGAACTGTGTCGTCGTTGGCGAAAGAGCAGTATTTCAATGTTTGCCATTTTTTTTCTTCTTCTTCTAATTTAAATGCAAAATAACGAGAAATATTGCAAAATCAACCACATAAGTGACGCTCACAGCTGCCAAACCAATAAATACTGTTACCTTTGCCTTACGATGAATGTTTGTACTTTTACGCTATAAATATATGTAGGATATACTTCGATCTAACACAACCATGAATTCTCTTCCTACAATGCACGAAATACGTTCGACAACTATTCATTTCTTCAATGAGTAAAATAACAACGACAACACAAACAACAATAATAACGAACAAGAAAACCAGCAAAGTCAAAGCTCTTTGCCCGTTTCATTTTTCTCGTCTGTATTCCATTCCAAGGTGAGTGTGGGTTTGAAAGACGTCGAGATCCATCAATTGAATTATCGCGTCTAATTGGATCATTCCAGAGACAACGAAGCCAGTTTATATCTATCCGCCGATCGAATTGGAATGCGTTAAGACTATAAAATCAACATTCCAGTCATTTCTTATTCATCTTTTCCATATGCACAATCTCTCTTTCTCGCTCTGCCTCCCACCCTCCCTCTCAAAGCCGCGTTGAGTGCAACACCAATGGATTATATCATGTATCCTATATAAATTTTTGATTTTAACGAGTGTGGTCGACTTAAGTTTTATAGCATGCGTAATACTCAAGCATGCGTAATAAAAAATTTATTTACCAAAAATTGAATGGCAGGCGACATAATAAACATACAGTCAATGATTTTTTTCTGAATCGATGTCGATTTGGCATCAACTCGTTGTATAAACATGATCATTTCGAACGAGAATGTTACTATTGTTTAAACACACAGCCGTTTAAGATACATTCTTTGGCGCTTGATGCTTTTCAAGATAAAATCAATTGAGACGCCAGACGCGTCCGTATCCAGAATTAAAACAGTCTAAAAGAATCAATTGGGAAATATTTTGGCAAGAAAACTTGAGAGAATTTAGCGAAAAATGCATAAAACTCGAAATCGCACATTATTTATTATAATATTTATCCCACCTTAATCAAAGCATGATGGGTACAATGCACAATTTGCACATTGGATTACTTTGATGTAGTTTCCGATCGAAATATGATATCCATTGTCAATAGCAAAATAGAACAATGACTTGAAATCATCGTGTTGAAATGACGGGTGAGCGGGCGACCAGACATACACACACGCAATGAATGAATCGCCTTGTTATTTGCTCTGAATTCGAAACTTCGCTTCAATTAAAGGTTTAAAAATATTCACAGATTCCGGCAAAATGGTTTTGAGGCTCATCTCCGTGAATGTTTTTTTTTATTATAGATTGTGCAATAGGCGCATGTGTTAGCGCCGAGAATCGTTGAGCGCCTTCATTAGATGGCATCAACAAGAGCACGGCATAAATTTAATCGCCGTGATGCGTTGTGTGCCTACATGGTAAAATGTAATTTCGAGTGATTTAAATGGAAAATCGAGGATATTTTGATGTATTTTATGTCGTGCGCACACACGACAAACTCAATTATTTATGAAAGTATAATTCATGTTTAAATAAATGACCATCGTCATTTTATCGAACTGCCACAGAGGCTGTGAGTGTGAAGCCGTGCATTTGAAATGTTTAATCAAAGTTTGATCGTGCGCATATAAAATGAGTGTTCACAGGAGAAAACACTGCTGCACACACACACACACACACAAGCTGCCTATTAGTCGCAAATAAGCGAGAGAAAGAGAGAGAGAAACCGCGTCTCGAATAGAGTTTTGGAAAGATTACCAACTCACAGGCATGTTGCACTTACATAAATCAAATGCGCTTCACTTGAACGAAAGTGCAACGTAAGGAATATTTACCACCGGAAATTATACGTTTGAATTACACACAGTGAAGCAATGGATGAAAGAAAAAAGCTCTGGCAACAGCAACAGCAACAGCAACAGCAACAGCAACAGCAACAGCAACAGCAACAGCAACAGCAACAACAACAACAACAAAAGAAAAAGCAACGTTACACATAAATGGTTTTAAACATTTATCATAGAGCTCAAGTGGAAAACACTGTTGGCGGTGAAAATAGAATTTCACTTTGTTCATTGCGAGCAAAATGCGTAAATTTTGTTCATTTTTTGACTGGTTTTTAAAGAGATCATGGGTTTTATGGCGATAGATAACGTTATCATACGTTTTATTTGAACTGAGTCACTGAGTCAAAAGTGTTTCATTCGCGAAAACAAAAGGTTTATTTGTATCACATTGAATTGAAATCGAAATTAATCCATTTCGTATTGATGTTGGTTGCTTCAATTATTATAAAATTCTACAGAAAATGCCATTGAAATACTATATGTAACGATAAAATTGGTGAAACAAAACCAATCGTCGCAACGATATAAATTACAACACACATTTTATGTTGATCATCAACAAGAGATATTGCTGCAGCAAATCACGCCAAATCGACTCCAAACGCAATGGCTATCAATTATCTGATTAGCGACGACATAGTCGAATGGTTTTTGCACCATATTCGATTACAATAACTACGACTTCAAATGTCTCGCTATCGAACTCTACTCTTCAATAGCCAAATGCGACCGAATGGTATTCGTAATGCACATCGTGTGACTTCTTGGTACTGCAATGTACAATCGGTATATTATATGGTAGAACAAAAAAAAATGTTTGCCATTTGCAGTGCACATTGAGACTTGGGCTCGATGATGATCGATAACTTCGGCCTTGTCGCGCTCACACCATAATCGCTTCATTATTTCGTAAAATTACAAACACGTATTTACCAATGGGCACAAATACTCCTCCGTTGGCACTATTACTTTAGATTGAAACGTACGATATGTACATTGCGTACAGCTAGCAACTCTTGTCAACATATAAGCTGCATGTTAGCAATGAGCTTTAATAAAAAAATTAAATATTGATCAGAATTATGGTGATAATGGAATAAGTAAATAAAAAAAAACTGAATTAGTTCCAGAAATATAACATTTTAGCTCATATGTCAACATAGTGAACAAAATGATGCCATATGCAATCGATGCAAAAAAAAATTACTGTTCTGGTTTTCGTCAGTTACAGCATTCAGAGAGTAAATCTTGTTACACTTTTGACGTTAATTTGATTGAGCTCAACGTTTTGCGGATTCATGCCAATGCACTCACAATGAAATCATTTGAATTTGATGTTATTAATTGCGTTATGTTGATACAAGTTGAATTTGACGCTCTTTCTTTATTTGAGCTTTCCAATGATGAGATTTCTTGAAATGCTGTCTGGCTGGACATCGTCTGAAAATGGTACCATGGTGTACATTTCTCATGTAGGTGGAAGTGTGTGTGTGTTGAGTGTTCGTTTTCTTTCTTTCTTTCTTCTATAAACAAAACACATATCTGTCGAACGAGAAAAAGAAACACACACATTTCATGTGTGTACTCCGGTCGGTTTGAATCTTTCTCTCTTTGCAAAAATCATGATTTGTGGTTTCGCATTTCACATCTTCCAATTACTAAAACGTGTATCGTGCTGAATTATTATACTGTACAGTAAATATTCATGGAAATTCGTATTTTAAGCAGAACAAATATTTTGATATGGAATATGAGAACGAGACCAATGTTTACATACGTGTGTATCCATGAAAACTGTTTTGTATGCAGGCAGTTTAATTGCATGGCAATACACGTGCCTATGGAAAAGGTGACGGTTAGAATTGAAACAATAGAACAGTTCCACTTCTCATATTTGATTGCATTTTGATAAGCCCGAGAAATGTGGACATATGTTATAGCAAACATTTCATGTTGATGCGTAAACAATATGTAAATACATGTGAAAATTAAACACAAACAATTCGTAACACTCGGTGCACTAGACAGATTAATTAAGTACAACTTGACTACAATTACAAAATCAAATGTGGCATACATAGTGCACACCATCGACAGCAGCCGCAGTCGCAACAGCATCATCATCATCATCTATTATCGTGTTTTGGCACGAAGTGAGTTGTAGCAGCGGTTGCGGCAACGGTGGCGAAAGAGAGAAAATTGCAGTTGTATGAATCGAATTTGTTACACAATTTCTAACCGAGACACCGGTCAATAACCGGCCAAAGATAAAAAGCGTTGAAGAACTAAGAAGAAGAAGAAAAAAAACGGCAAACGTGAAACAAAGAAAAAACTCGAATGAATTGGAATTGAAACTCAATATGCCTCATCGTTTTTGATTGACAGACAAAACTCGAAAATGAAGGAGAGTGAATCTGGATGTTTCACTAATTTCGGTTGAATATGAATCTGCGATAATTAGTCTCATTTACATGTAAAGTGCCTAACGAACCATCGCATTTTCATCGTTACACATTCAGTACATATCGTTGATGGAATAATGCCTCCGTTTGTGTCAAAAAGTAAATAAATCACCAAAACTGAAAACTGAGAAATCGAACAAAAAAAGCAACAACAATTACGTTTTACTTACATTCACCGTTGACGTAAAGCATCGATTCCATATTGGCATCATCTAAAGGCACTTTTTCAATCGCTATGAAGTCCTTGTGTTGCGACTCTCTATTATTAGAAAATTAGTTTCTTCCGAAATTTTTGTTGTCACTGCTCACTTTTCTTTTCGCTTACATCAAACATATTTTTCTCTTATTCTTTTGTTTGTTGCTTCTTTTAGTTATGGTTTTTGTCACACCAAACTTGGCTTGTCATATTTCACAAACAAAACTGTCGTTTCGTATCCTGTTGAAAGCCCAAATATGAAACAAAAAGAAGAGAAAAAACAAATTATAACCAACGGCTAATATCGCACATAAACCAGCTTTTCTTTATCAGACATCGTTTATTAGTGATTACGCCTCGTTTGTTGATGCTTCTGATCAAACGAATAGACACAAAATTCACATAAAATACAGCATTTAATGCGCGAAACTATCCACTTTTGGCTGATATTTTCACTAACACTTCTCTTCTCCTTGTTTTTTTTTTTTTTAGTTTAAGTTGGAATTCGTTATTGACCGAAAATAGCGAATCGAACTTGAAAACATTTGAGATTAGATCATCGAATTGTTGAATCGCTGTTTATCGTTATTTTTTTTTATATGTCGTTTGATATTGTCAGGTTTATCGTCGCAAAAATGTTTTTTTTAATGAATTATTTACTTGAACAAAGAAAATTGTTGAAACTCTTTACCTGTGTGAGTTTTGGCTTTGTTGGCTGGTGCTTTAATTTTTACCAACTAATTTGATGTGATTCCCAGAGGGTCGACAATATGCCATGCCGTTCGCATTTTATCGGAAAATCCATTATAAAAACCATGACAACATCAAACGAATTTCACAAACATGTTCGGTTAACAACTCGATAAATTGTGTACGTGGATTAAATGACATTAAGCGCTTTTTCCACGGAAAAGAAAATTAAATCAACAATTTGTACGCATTTTGTAATTTACGTTCTATCGAATACAGATAATCCCGTCGCAAGACGTTGTAAGCTCACCGCGCGCACACACACGCCACAATGTGTTCACAAATTATGTCGGCCAAAAACTAAATTTGGTTCTAAACTGAAAATGTCGCTCGGGCTGCTCACCCATTGATAAATTTCGTGTGTGCTTGCGAAAATGTCGGCTTTTTGCACGACGAATTTGATGTCGACTAGAAAGAGAGAGTGGCAAAAGGAAGGGCAAAAAAAACAACACATAGAGAGAAAAAGTCGACATAACATTTTCGTGAATGATGAGTGACAGATAAACGGAAGATAGAAGATATCTTTTTTTTTTGTTGATTCTATGGGCAAATATTTACTCAACTAAACAATCTATGCATATGTCGAGTGTTATTCACAAAGATTTGCATAATTTTCAATCAACAGATGCGAATGTCAATATCGCACGAGCGCACTATTGAAATTCATAGAGAGAAAACGGAATGATTTAAACTATGGGTAATTGTGTTAATACGGCATTGACCTGTCCATGTGATTGCCGCGAACTCGACACCCATGGCATGGCCATAATAAACTAGTTTGAAGAAATCTTGACCGAGCACTGCTGGGTGGATCGATGGATCGATGGATGGATGATTGGTTGGAGTGTGTTGCCGACGCCATCGGTCGCATTCTCAATTCCAAATAAAAGCGCTTATGTTCATAACATAAAATGAAAGTGTTGAGGCGATGAATTTGAATAATAATAGCTCGTTCGATTTGTAAAAATCAACCAATAACGAAAATATTCAAATAAAAACCAATAGCTAAACCTAAAGATGTTGACGCTTGGAATAATGGAGGCAACGGTTTTCCGTACGGAATTTTGCGTTTCTCGCTGGTATTGATTTAACAACAACAGGAGAGAGAAGAAAAAAAGAAGTATGAAGTGTGTGCAAAGTATAAATATTTGAATTGAAATAAATGAAATAAACGAAACGACAAACAAAACGGAATAAATAATTCTATATAAGCTAACAGCAAGCTTACATATTCGAACAAACATAAGGTTAGGCCCAGAAATTGTATTGTTACGCGCGCAAATCAATTTCTGTTAAAGACACTTTCAATGCGGCCTGGCCTGATCACCGATTTGAAACGTTCATTCGTTCTTTCACTCGTTCGGTCGTTTGGGGCTTGCATGACGGTTTTGCTCCTTCGATTGCGATTTATGAGCATTCTAGTATGTATGTTTGTGTTGTGTACAGAACTTGAAAATAGAATGACTTGTGTTTATTTTCATTTACTCTCATATAAGAAAAACTTAAAACTCCATTCCATAAATAAAGTAATTGCGACAAACGACACACAGCAGCCAACACACAAATTTTAATGAACGCAAATAATAACAAACATATTCACACTTTCAACTCCTCAGCGCGTAGCGCTCTTCATTCTCTCTCTCTCTTGTGGCTTGTTTTTGCTTCATCGTCGTCGTCGTTGTCGTCACCGCGCAAAATTTCGTGTGCTATATGGAATTGTGTGCATAAATACGAGATCGTCTTTGTGCTAAAAGTGACATCATCGCATTGCCGCTAATATACACAAAATGATGAATACATTTTGTTTTGAACATTTTTCGTTCGAACGGTATACGTTTCAGTCTTCAGAGACATCGACACATTGGGCTGGTGAATGAACGATTGGTACACACAAAACATTTTTTGTCGTAGATAATTATAATGAAAGCGAAACGGTGCGCAATTTATCACAGAGAAAAAAAACGTCTTTTTTTTCGTTCATACGACCCATTTTGCGTGTCTATTGCAAATTGTTAATTACATTATATATAAACAAATCGATAAATATACGAAGAAGATGTGAATTACACACAATTGAGAGTCGTAGTTGAGTTGGGGACGAATTGGCGTATGCATTTCTGGTACATTCGATAATTTAAAGCGGCAACGGTTTAAAGTAAATGACAAACCAAATTCTTCGCTTGGTTGACTACGGCTTAGTCTCAATATGGATTGCGCATATCAATGAAGACTTTTTGTTCTACAAAACTAATTTTGCTAATGGATTTCCGATGTGGAACGGGGCCCGGCACACTGACTATTTTTTGCTTTCGCTGTTTCCATCCCTTTCACTCACTTTTGAGAAAAATCGAAAGAGCTAATGTGAAATCAGCTAGCGTAAAACGCAATTTTTAAATCCTACTTGGCCAAAACAAATCATAAATGGCATGAAATGTGAAAAATATAATTTCAGATTTCAGCAACTGAATCACAGACATTATACCACACACAAGAGTGTCATGACAAAATGGGAAAATTATGGAAAATAGAGGAGTGTATACACCATCTAGCTATTATAGGTTGTGTGTAAACAAACAGTTAATGAATTCGAATCGATATCGAGTTTTTTATTTTGGGGGAACGAACCACGCCGCTACATACAATACAACAACCACAGGCATTGCGCATATTTTGAAAGTCGACACGATAATGAAAATCGAATCTCAAGCGCATATGTTTGTAATTGAAACACTCGATTCAATAATTACCATGGTAGTGATGGTGGTGGTGGTGGTGGTGGATCGCTTTCAAACGCAAATCTAATCGAGTTTAAATGAATTCTGTGGCTGCTTATGTATCAAACGATGATGAAAATTGGCAACATACAATTACAATTATTTTGCGTGGTATTTCATGGAAGTTAAATGGGCGAATAAAACGAGTTTCTCTCTCAACAAACGCGCTCCAAACGCCGAAACGAGAAATGTACACAGCCACTAAAGCAGCAGCAACAACAATAACAAAGAACACACAACGACACACTCCAATGACATAATATCTCGATAAAATGAAAACTGATGTGACATGAGAGATGAAGAGAGAGAAAAAAAAATGTCAAAAGAATGTAGAAAATCAAATGTTAGCTCATCTGCCACGAGTGTGGGCACATGCCTTCATATGTATGCTACATTGCCCATAACATTGAGCGTCAATTTGAGTTGACCGAAGAAAAAAAAATGAAAAAAATCCATCAACAAAAAAACACGTCCATTCTTTCATCCCAAATATGAACGGTTTTCATTTTATGCAGTAGAAATAATCAAATGTGGCTTCGAGTGAAAAAAGGGAGACGAAAAAGCTAATAATTGATCAAAGGCTCAATAAATTGGTGCAAAAATGAACCGCAGCATAGAGAACATCGTATGACAATGTTCGCAGACTTTTGAATCTCAAGCCAGACATCAAAAGAGCAAAGGATCGCTCAAAGGAGAACGCGATCGAGTGAATGAGCGAGAAAAAAAAGTTCTTCAAAGAAAATCATTACGTAGTGTGAAATGTCGCCATCGTTGATGCATGTGACACAATGAGAAGGCAAAAATGCATTCACATCAATTTTTATTCTCTGTGTAAATGTATGCGAGACGGATCAATATGCAGTGAATTTTCTCATTTGAAACACAAATGGGCATTATTCGAGTTGTGTAAAAATGAAAAATTTCCATTTGTCGTGATCGATGAAGTGTTCAGCGATCGTATTCGACGACGTTAACGTTAGATTATACCGTCATTCATTCACAGATGGTCGAAAAAAGTGCATTTTTTTTCTTGCGATTTCGCAAACTTATATTTTCACTTTCGATGCACGATCAGGGCACAGCATAGCACTGCTCACACACACACACACACACACACAGAGAGAGAGAGAGAGAGAGAGAGAGAGAGACTCTAGAAATCAGAAAATCAGCAAAAGGTCTAAAGCAGCCAATGAACTCAAATATTGGGCTTGGTGTGCCTTCGCTTTTCGGCTGCAACGAAATCAAAAAGCAAATTAGTTGCGCACTTCTGTTGGAGGTGAGAATGTAGTTCTGTTTTGTTTTGCTTGTGTTTTTTATGCAAAACACTCTAAATGTGGAGTACGTGCGCACACACACACACACACACACACATAACCCGACGCAATTAGCAATGAACGTTAAACTTGTTGGGAGAATAAGGACACACATAGCGCAACCGTTTTCAATGCTACAATGCGATTTGCTGTCAGCCCGTTTCTTTTTTATCCATATTTTTTTTATTATGTTTCGTTCGTTTCATTGTCAAAACAAAGCAGCAGCAAGTAGCGACAACAAATCGACAAAAAGCACGGAAGGCCCACACACGGACACACATCTAAATCTGGCTTAAATATCGATTCATATGCTTGATATCACCGGACACATAATATGAAAATGAATAGTTCACGCGAACGCCTTGTCTCTCGCGAGCACACAACTCGACCATATTTTTCTGCTTTTTTTTTACTTCTTTCGTTTTCTGTTTTTGCAATCCAACGCTGAAGCACATTATTAGGCACACTACAAATTAATTATTTTGCAAGTAGTTCGCATCGCGAGTGTGTAGAAGAAGCAAAGAGAGCCAGAGAGACAGCGAGAATGAATGAATCGTGAGGCGTACGTAAATTAATTAATATGGACACAGAAAACGCAAAGATAAAAACACCAAAAAGTAAATGAATTAATCTAATCGGAATGCGACGACCAGCCTAAAAACAAATTCAAACCAATTTTGTCACACGCACTTTAATTAATTTAATTCGATAAAGCGGTTTGCATGCGTTCACACATCCATCGACGGCCCATAGTAACGTACTTATCCCATTGTTGCAAATCCATTGGGTTGTCCAATTGAACAACGTATTTTGGTCACATTTCATTTAACTTAATTGAATTCCAAATTAAAAATTTATAGCTATATCTCGTTTAATTGGAAATTCGCAAACGTGATCACGATCATTTTTTAAACATATTGAAACTTTTCTGTTTCATTTTTATTCATTTTTCTTTCGTTGTGTTTTCTTCATAGATTTCACTTTTCATTTAAATTCAATTTGATAATTAGATCAAAACTTCCAATGAATTCACAGCATAACTTTTTGTTTCTTTTTAGTTTTACTACGATAAAACCACACAAGTGATAGGATGCATGTACAGAACGGAATCGTAAATATATAAATGTGATTGTTTGTCACCACCGTTTGTCGTTTCGTTGTGATTCTGTCATCTGCCTTAAAACAAATTTGAGAATGAAAAGTGTTTAGCAGCAGTTCAGACGACGATACAATACCGAAGAAGAAGAAGAGAAAAAAAACAGCAACAACAGCAGCACCAGCAGCTTACTTGGAGAGCGAGAGAAAAAATGGCAACAAAGACAACGAAGGAAAAAAGCAAGAGTAACGAATGAAACAGAAAAACCATACGAACAAGAGTATGACAACACTGCCAGCGAAGAGAGCAAATAAAATAAATACAAACAACGAAAAAACGAGAAAGAAAGACAAAAAAAGCGCACAATATTATTATAGTATTCACTTTAATGAGTTGCTTGATTATCATCGTCGTCGTCGTCGTCGTCGCAATATACCGCATACACGAAAAGCACACTGAGAATAATAATAATCTACCCAAAAGTGGGAAAAGAAGAAGTGGAATTTAACACACAAAAAAAAACTACATTGTATAAAGATACACGATTGTGCGACACTAGGCAAAGCATGCGACTCCAGTTGAAATGAAAGAGAGAAAAAAGAATACAACATATAAAGGCTCGTTCGCCTATAACAATAGCTAAAGCGAAAAGACCAATTAACAATACACTGAAAAAGACGAGAGAAAAATGACGACAACCACAACAAAATCAACGAAAAAAAAAACAAACCGTAGCAGCACCAGAAGCAGCTCTAGTTGGAGAGAGTACGCGCATATCGAATTCTATTGCTCTAGTAGTCATAAGCTCTTTTAAGCTATCCACCTGAATGCCATAAGTTTCGTTTGTATCTGTGCCGTGTTTGAGCACACGGCACTGAAAAAATTCGTAGCGCCCAATGAAAATGGCCAGTGTGAACTTCAAATCAAACAACAACAATGAAGAAGAAGAAAAAAAAATATCTCAAACCAAAAAACAATCACATGTGTTAGTTTGTGGGCTGTAAAAATATCAAATGCATGTATTCTATTCCGACTTCGTTTTTCTGTATGTACATGTAACGGTGTGTTAGAAAATTCAAATGCCGACCGACTTACCTTAGAAATAATGAAGCGAAAAAAAAACTATCAGCGTGTGATACCGTGTATGAGTGTGAGCACTAAACAGTCGTGCGCACCTAAACACTTCGCGGCCACCACCATAGCGAATGGCTGGAATTTAATTCACAAACACAACCATAATTCACCTATAAATTTCCAAATCATTTCGGCCGTTGCATTATGTACATAACCTAAACGATTTTCCCCGTCGTCTAGAGCTGATTGCAATTTTCGATGACTTTGTAACGGAAACAAAGCTTCTTGTTGGACAAAATGACATAATTGAACCGGTATCGGTGTCCTTGAGTTAATAAGTGTCGTTTTACATTTTACAAATAACCAAGGGAAAAAAAACCGATAACGACTTGTTTATGACTCAAACGCCGTTTCAAATGAATAAAAGAAAACATTATTCCCATTCAACTTCTACTTCTGATTACTATTTTCAGATAATCCCATTGAGTTAAAAAAAAAGTTGTCATATTTTCACATTTGTTGGTTTATTTTTTATTTGTGCTATAATAATAAGTTGTAAATGCGTTTTTCCAGTTTTCAAGCAAGTGTATTCAATTCGAAATGAAATATTCATACAGTTTTCTATTGCAAAAAAAAAACAGATAAATAGATTGTTGTTGTTGTTGTTGCTTAAATTCATCGCGCTTCAAATTCGATTAAAATTAAATTAAGTCAAACTATTAGGTACGAAATTAATTAGATTTTTTTGTTTCGTCGCTGGTGGATGTCTCTTTCAATCGATCAAGACGTTGCAATAGCGTAGGATGCGAGTGATTCCATGCAGAGTACATCCAATCGTAAACCGGAAAGCCCAGATTATCAGTATTCAGTTTAATGAGCGCTTTGGCCAGTTCCTTGCTGTAGCCAAGTTCTTTTGCGAATGCATCGGCTTGATATTCAAATGTTCGCGAAACAATTGTCATGAAGAAATTAATCAGCGCATTGTATGGACCGAGCACGTAGGAAACGATCAGCAATAAACCGACTAGTACAGGTCGTTCACCGGCACGAAAACCGACCGCTTGATATAATGGATCGTATTTAAATAGATAGGCGAATGTTGCGAACATCAACAATAAATGAAATTGCATGAAAACGATGTTTTTCGTTACATGCCCTAACTTCCAATGGCCAAGCTCATGAGCTAAAACAGCCAACACTTCTTCGTCTTTGCAACCTTTGCCAACCTCTTGATTTTCATTCTCCTTCTTCTTATCGTCGCTTTCCGTTTTTTTCTCTACCGAGGTTTCTCTCTCTTTGGAATGTTCATCTTCAGTCTTAGTTTCGGTTGCATCGTCGTCTTTCTTCTCTGCTTCACTTGATTGTGATTTTCCCTTATTGAAAAGCAACGTATCGAATAGAACGATTCGTTTTGAGCCCCATAGCCCGTAGAAATAGGCATTTGAATGCGCCGACCGTTTGGATCCTTCAACCACATACAGTTGTTTAAGTGGGAATTTTAGCTTGGCGGCCAGCTCTTCGATCGATGTACGCAATGGTCCAACTTCGAGTGGACTATATTTATCGAATAATGGTGCGATGAATACGGGATACAATGTCATCAAAACCAGTGTCAATATTCCGGTGAACAGCCAAAGCCAGACAAAGAAAAAGTCACCGCCACGTTGAACAATGTAGATGACTGCACACGAAATTGGCATTGAAATCAGCTGACCGACGACAAAACCTTTAATCTGATCTTTGACAAAGAATATTGGCGTCTGCTTATTGAAACCATGCTTCTCTTCCAGCACAAAGATGCCATAGATTTTGAATGGTAATTCTTTCAGAATTTGAATTGAATTCAGTATGATCATGAAAATGCAACTGATATAAATCTCATTTTGGTCGTCCCAATTGAAGCGTCGCGCAAAAACACGAGATTTATGCCATACAAGGCTCAGAAAACCGAAGTAGAATTCCAACGATACAATCAGTACATCGGTAATGATAGCCTTAAAGATGGCAAACTGCCCCTTATCCAATCCATATACACGAGCCTTCTCAAACGTATCCGATTTTATCACATCCTTCAATTCGGCTGGAACATTCTTCGATTCTTTATATACCTTAACCTAGAAAAAAAAATGAAATCATTGGGCTTCTGATTAAAACACGATACGGACATGATGAAGTGGCACCAAAATTTTCTTCTGAATTCAAATACTTGTACATGCATCTGTACACATTTCTAATTGTATTACATTCAATAGAATTGTGTACGTCGACTAGATTCAACAGATTATTCTATATTTTTTTCCATCGATACTTTGTGCAATGGTTGTTGTTTTTTTTTTTTGTACTTACTTGACGTCGTGATAAATAAATTTCAATGAAATTTTCTACCACAATAAATGCAATGATGGAATACAGAACAACATCTTCGGTCGGTAAAGACATTTTTCTGTTTTGCCGGAAAATGGGACACTGAGAGAGAGAAAAAATAACCACTGTTTGTATGGTATTCGTTAATATCGCATATATGCATTGACGCGATTAAAGCATACGGCGACAATTGACAAGCCGAAAACCGATTTGTTCGCATCACGCACCCGTCACTCGTACATTTCTCATCGGATAATAGATGGCGTCCTACACACTATACATCCAATCTTTTGGAATAATCAAAAGAATTGTTTTCAATTTTTTTCGGGTCACTTCGTTTGTGCACATTTTATCACATCAACTGTTGAGAAATAATTTCGTGAAAAATTGTAAATTTGTTTTTCCAAAATTAAATATTTCGTTTTTTAAAAGAAAAGTAAATCGCAATGGACCTACCAACCGAATATGTGGTCTTGTACTCTGCCATTGCGATTATCATCATTGAGAACTTCATCGAAATCTACCTTTTCCATCGTGTAAGTCATTATTCTGCGATTTTGAACAGAAAAATTGTCAATATTACGTTCTTCTAATGAAAAAAAAAAACATTGATGCATTTTGATTTAAACATGTTTAATAAGAATAAATTTGAAAATATCGACACCAAAACAATTGCTCATGCAACATGTTAGTAGCATCTTAAAGAGGGCACCACTCACATTTGTCATTGAAAACATCAGAGAAAAAGAAAAAAAAAACAATTTTCCACAAATTTAAATAATTTAAAATCGTGTAATATTCACATTTGGCTTACATTTGCTTAGAAATTATGTAAAATGCTTAGGATAGGTCTATTGATTGAGCTATTAAAAAAAAAAATAGTGATGACTCTGTAAATTATCAAAATGTTTTGGCATTAAAAAATGACTTGACGGTAACAAATATATTTACAGAGAAAAAAAAATTCCTCTCTCTCCCAAATATCCATTAAATAAATACGTTTTTCGAATAAATTCGAATTGTACGTTTTTTTTTTCGATTTGAAAAAAAAAATCATTCAAAATACGGAAGGGTTAGTGGGTTTGACCGGGGGAATTTCGTTGTGTTCGAATAGCGTCCATAAATTGCTTCTTTTTACGGGTTGCGGCAAATGTAACGGTATAGTTTACATGGCTGGCATTGTCGGCGATGATCCGCATCTTTCGCGGGTATGCATCATTCTCGTGCAATTCAATGTTCAATATCGGAATGGAAAATAATTGTTCGACGAATTTCTCCTTTTTGGTTTTCTACAGCCGCAATAGAAAAAGAAATTCAAATCATAAATTAAAAAAAAATTCTCTCAACATTTGCTGCTATAATCAGTTGGCTTACCGTGCTCAGTCTTGTTTTTACGCAAACTAATCCCGCTTCGAGGATCATAATGCGGCATTTGGTAAAATCAATGGCAATCTCATCGGAATAGGTGATGATACCAAATTTTCGAGCAAGGCACGATGATCCCTTCATTGAATTCAGTGTATAATTTTCGGTGACCAATTTGTGTAGTTTTTTTATTTCAATTTCGACGCCGGCTATGGTCTTGAAATCATTTGCAAGCAGATCTCTAGCTTTATACTCATTTAAAAGGCCTTCAAGGAATTGTGCATAGTTTGCTATATGATTGATTGGCATTAACAGTAGTGATTCAATATCACTGCAGTCATCATTTGCTTGATTCTTACTATTATCCTAAATTGGAAGAAAAGAGATGAAAAATACGTACTACGCGAATAGAATTGATTTTGCGGAGAAAAAACTAAAGCATCATAACACACAAACACAACAAAACCAAATGTTATCGAGAAAAAAATTGATATGCCCCAAAATACCCGAACAAAATCAGTTCATGAAAACAGCCTTATTCAAAAATGTAATCGTTAAGAAGAAAAGCCAAAGTGAACCCCAAGAGTAAAAGAATAAAACAAACAAAAAAATATGAAATTGACCAGCCACCAACAAATGATATGATAATAGTGTCAAGACAAAGAACCACAAAGCAACAACGAGAATTTTTTGACGGGAAAATTCTTACGGAATTTAGATGAAAATATCGAATCGTTTGGAGAGCCTCATGAATATATGCCGCGTATTTGAAGTAAACGTTGAATTCAGAATTGTCGAGATGATTTTTGATAAGATCACAGATCGTAATTGTCTTCATTTCGCACTGAATCAACTTTGAATAGAATATGTCCGTATGGAATTTGCTGATTCGTCGAAATGCTTTCAGAAATGTGTCTAAATTGGCGCGGAGATCATCTGGCAAATCAGTGAGGTATGTTGTCGTCGCGGTTTTCAGTAGTTGTATATAAAATTTCTCCGCGTTTTGGAACCGTTCGATCAACCTATGTTCGTCACTGCTTTTGTTTTTCGTTGATGAGGAAAGGGAACAAAACGAACCAAACCGTTAAAAATTAGCTCAAAATTGTTTTCACTTACATTTATACAATAATTTCGACTTATCAATACGGCTGTGAAAATATTCGGTAGACTAGTTCAACTGAATAAAAGTGTTTGAATGGTTGGATATTTACTGGTAATTGGTGTACCAGGTAGTTCTCTTTTCCAATTGCGAATCGACACTCTCTGCAAACGGAAAAGATAATGTGATTTGATTTGAAATAAATTAGGATGGCTGTAAACCCTACACTGTAGGGTCAAAATTGATTTAGTCTCAAAGTGTTTGGTTTGAACTACTCACTGCCGCTTTTTGTGCTCACAATATCAGAATTCGTATAATCCGCTGTACTTCTTTGTGATTCGCCGCTAGATGAATCGGTGCTTTCTGCATGAATGGTGGCTAAAGCCAAATCTTGCAGTCCCGGTGTGCTCGCACGGATCAACACTTGCAATGGGCTCAATTCATTTTTAATGGACATCGTTCGGTTTTCTTTAATTCTTCGTTTCTCTGTTTAATTCCAAACATTTCGTTTGGTTAGTCGGTCATTTTCTGTTTTTAAAATGGTGCAACAAATCTCATATCATTTACCTTGTTGAACTACAACAGTCATTGTTCGGTTTAACATTTGAATCCACAGCTGAACGGTTTGAGCATCCGATGAAAATTCGATCTCTTGGTTTCCTTTACGTTCATTGTACAATCGGAAATAATTGCGTTGATCCTCGAATGTAAAACCCAACGTGATGTGTCGAAAGTGGCCACGATATAACAGCTTATTCTTGCTCAATTGCTCCGTATAAATGATGCACTTTTCAAATAGAAATACTTTGCCTTTGTACCGGCGACGCAGATCACTTTTCTCACAGATATCGAAACGATCGACTAGTATGAATTTGCCTTGGCAGAGTGTATGCAACTATAAATCAGAAACAAATTGATTATATTTACTTTCCTTCTTTCATTCTACACATAAAGAGTTTGCGTTTAATGTGTGTGGGTTGATTTAAGTAAATCGGGGAATGGGCTCTCTAATAAAATGATGAATGTAGGAAACAACGAAAAGCCAAAAAAAAAAAAAAAAAAATCTTTTTGTATGCACCAAGTTCAACTCACTTCACATTCGACAATATCATTGATGTTCATCGAGCCATTCACTGTATCCAAAAGACGTTGAATTCGCTTCTCCGCCAAACAACATGCACCTAATTCATTTTTAATACTATCGTCATGCACACCAAATCGCTTACCCAGTTCCGAAAATAGTTGACCCAAAAGCAATTTATATTTTGGTAGCCGTTGAATCGGTTGCACCAAAAAGCTATTCACACCGAGCTTATCGCCGATTTCATTTTGAATCTGTTTAAAGTAGGGACGATGTTCAACGCATATCTTTTCCGATTTTTGATGATTGATCGCATACAAAATGTAAATGTAGAAATAGTCTTTCTGTGGATTCAATAAGAGAAAAAGAGAGAAAAAAAACAAATACCAAAATGAATCATGACAACATTTGATAAAAAATCAAAATCAAAATGGGCGGCAACAACAAAATCAAGTGAATCAAATCAATTACCTCAATGAAATCACAAAATGTATTGCAAATTTTCACGATGTTCATGTTGCACTGTTTGAGTGCCGGATAAAAGATATTCTCATGAAAATCTTTGATGCGATGAACATTACCGAAGACACGATACTGTTGACCACGAAGTATTGGTGGCATCTCTTTTCGAGTGAAATTTCTCATGTATCCATCGATGCCATGGTTTAGGGCCTTAATATACGTTTCCTCGTTGTAGAGCAGCTCTTCCACAGTGTTCGTAATTTGGCTGGAAGTTCAAACACATCAGAAATCGATGAACAATTATTAGATGTTGATATGATTAGAAAAGATTATGTTAAGCAAACAAATATCCTACCCAGACGATATGGATGACATTGAATTGAACGATGTTTGTGACGTTCGGGATGGTGTCGTTGACTGATCCGATGTGTTTGATGAAGTCGATAAGTGCGACATTGAATTTGGCCACGTATTCACTTCACTTAATTCAGGTGGGCTATAAAAAGGAGAAAATGCAATTTAAACCACAACTAAATCAATGGCATGGATTTACTTTCAAAACAATAGTTGGCACATCAAACAAGATAGTATGAACGAAATTGTGTGCGAGCGAGAGAAACAGAGTGAGAAAAAGACAGAGAGAGAAAGAGAGAGAGAGAGAGAGAGAGAGAGAGAGATAAAATTGGACAGATCCAAATTTGAGATGAAATCTAAGCCCCAATACATTACACTGATTAACTAACTAAATAAACAATAGAAATCACTTACACAATGCATGGCAGTGAATAGAGTGCATCATTTGTGTTATCGTCTTCTGACGGTTCGATCGGAACTTTTGACTCAACTGAAATATTGCTAAAAGTGAAAGTGTGCATATTAATCTGCATGCGCCATGGCCATGAAATTAACGTAAAAAAGATCAAAACGTGTTTTATAGTTACCCAATTTTGGTAGTTTCTTCCATTGGCTCGGATGACTTTGGCGGTGGAAAGCTAAGACATTGATCAATGTGTCGGAAAAATGTTGCATTGCCAACATCGTGATCCAGTTCAGCGGAGGCGGATATGCCACTGTTGAATTCACTGGCAATTTCGGCTGTTTCAACAGCATGAAGATGCTCTATGGAACTCTCTCCGGCTATATCGTATGGTGCATGACAATTGTCCTCGCTGTGTGGCTGCAAATCATTTGGCAGATCATCGAAACATGTAACAGCTAATGAAGGCATTGTGTCGAGCCACCAGTTACACTGTTTGAAATTGGCCTCATGCTCACTACTGTATGACGTTGAATCAACGCTGCTGATTTGTTCAAATTGTTTGGCCATTTGTCGGACAAAATTACGTGATAATGTCCCTAGATCTTGCTTCGTATACATTTTTACACTGTTTATCGATGTAATTCTTTATTCCACTTTATTCAGCAGCTCATTTACATTTCACTTACACTTCGATATATCACACAAATAAACCAACATGCACACTCAATCACAAACACTTCAAAAAATGCATAATAAATGAATCAACAATCAAACAAATTAATTTATTCCGAATAACAAACGAAAATAATATTAACAAATCAGCGTTCTGATCGAAATCGTAAGCGTTCGGTCGTTGAGTGCGGAAAATAAACAGTTCTGGATTTGAAGTTAACAGAAATAAAAAGGAGAAACTAAGCGAAAATTAAAATATCACACTTTTAACTTGGCACAGACAATAAAGAACGAGAGAAAAAACAACAACAATAATCAAAAAAAAAATAGTCACAACATTGTTTTTATCGATAATACTGACTAAAGCACCGAATTAAAATAACAGACACACACACATCCCTCTTCCCATTTGGTGGTCAGTTTTTATTCCATTTCAAGTGATTTGTTGGATAAAGTAAGAGCGCAACAATCATTTTGCTACAAAAAAAAGAACAAATGAAAAAAACTCATATGTCACTTGTTGCTGTATTCACAAAAAAAACTCATTTCACATGTACAAACCACAAAATTGGTTCTGGTGTTCACAGTCCAATCCAATGAACTATCAGTCGATCGAATCTGTTTAATCGTTTCCACAAAAATAGTGGGTGAATCTAAACATCTCTTTTAATTGCACTGCACAGAAAATCTTCTTTTTTTTACTTTGAACTCAAAATTGTTCATCATCTTACTACACACATTTCTACGAACGGGGCCTGTGTCAGTAAATGTGTGTATGAGTTTATGGAGATAAAGTCACGATCATTTTACGGCATTTGTATTTATGCCGTTGTTATTGTGATACTGTGCTGTGTTATTGGTGTGACAGCAGCGCGCACTTGTATACGTATGTATTGTATAAGCCATACACACAGTTAATAATAAGCGGCATACATTTCAATATGGAGAGAAAGAGAGAATGAGAACGAGAGGAACTGACAACACGATTTCTCTTTGATAAATACTATATTCGGCATTAGATGCAGCTCTTACATTGCGTTGCATTCATTTCAAGAATATATTTAACCCAAAAATGAGGGAAAATCAAAATCAAAAATTGTCGGTTTGAGTTTTAGCTCGAATATTTCACATGACGCACATAGAAAGAAAATTTGCTGAAAACATTTACATTTTCACTACAATCCAAACACACCCAGAATATATCTTGGAATTTGCGATAAATTTTGTTTGAATCATAACTATTTTCGTCAATAACATCAGCATTATGATGATTAAGGGTTTGAATTTCGGTTGAATGAAACAAAGATCGTTTTCGAATGTCCCATGAAAACAAAAGTGCAATTTATCATACATTTGATTGCGCTTGCAGTTATGGAATAAGCAATCGATCAACGCCACCCAGAGAGAGATAGAGAGAGACAGAGCTCAATAGATAAGAAAATGAATGAAAAGAGTTCAAGAGATAAGAATGAATGAATCACTGTAAAAACGCCGTGTGTTCAACTGGCGGTTCATTCGATTTTCAAACTGCATTGTTTTTCTTTTGCTATAGCTGTAAGATAATCTTCGTTGATTGACTACAAGACTATTTTTACTTGCAAACGATAAGATACGCTTGATGAGCAAAGGAAAATAACAACCACCATTCTCATTCTATTCAACCGATAATATCCGTTAAATTCTTTCCTGCGAAATACTTCCTTCGATATAAATGGGCATTTTATTAAGTAGCTAGTTTAAAAATGTGATAATTCCTGCATTGTAGCTGGGCGATAATTCTTGAGATTGTTGACTTAAAAGACGAACATGGAATGGCCATATCGTATTTAAATTTGTAGTTTGGACTAAAGAGCGAACATCAAGACAGAATAGAGTAGTAGATAAAAATGGCAAGAGCCAACTCAAGTTTGAATTACTCTTAATTGAAATCTCAATCATTTGCAATTTGTTGCTTTCACTGAAAACTGTTTGTCGATCCCACAATCTCTCTTTCGCTCTCCTCTATCTTTCGCTCAATTCAACACACATACAATTGAATGTTATAAATTGTGTATGATGACGACGGTTGTGGGTGCCTGTTTTTTTTGTAAATTAGCTTTTGATAGACATGTTCATCAAACGTTTTACATTCAAGAAATACCTCACACGCGCTGCGTCACACCAAACCCATCCCAGAAAGAAAAAAAAATCGTTTGCCAATTCACAAACAACGATCGATCTCCTGGGTGTATGAAGACGATTCCTTCTCAATTGCTCATTCGGTTTGAATCGATTTGAATTTCGGTTCAAATTGATCGGTTGCAGCTAAATTTACATATAAAAAACGAATATCATTTCCGTCGCTACTTAGTACCGTGAGGTTCATCGAAGCTAAAACTAGTGCACATTTTTATCGAGTGTATCAGAGTGTAAAGATCGATTTTAGGTAAGCCGTTCATCGTGTGGATTATTAGGAAAATCGATTCCTTTTCCATTCATCGGCCATTTTACGACACACAAAAAGCGCTATGAGAAAAAAGAAAATTATTTTAAATCGCATTCAAATTATCAAATGTCGTTATATTGTGTACACATTTTTGAATTCAATATTTGATAAAAAGCCATTTCGATGATAAATCAGTGCCAGAAAGCAATAACAAATAAAATAGAAGTGGAACAGAACCAACGATTGTCATAAGATAGACAATGATTCTTCGATATGTTCTTTGAAAGCAAAACCATTTTTCGACTTTTGTTTTCATTTGGTTTTTTTTTTTAATCGACCTTGTACGATAGCAAAAAAAAATGAAGAACAAATCCAAAATAGAATGTGACTTCATTTGTCTAACGGTATATGGTTTTGAAATAGCCAATCGAAATGAAGTGACGATAAAGCATGTTAGATGTGTGACCGTTAGATAAAACATTTCCATCAAGATAACCACAAAGAAGACATGATAAAGATAAAAATCTTCGAATGACGCAAATCAGTTTTACATACTGTGATGCTTGATGGGAGTACAGAAATACAGATCAACTGTGCTGATTCTGTGAGAGAAAAAAAAATACACGCTAGAGTAGATCATTAAATTTGAATATGGTGTGATAATCAACGAAAGTGAGACACTATTAGCAGCAAATAAGTGTGTCTGATTGCCATCGTGTGATAAATCATAGAGAAAGAGAGAGAAGCTAAGAATTTGTAAAAAAAATGGAACAAATTTCTGTATATTATAGAGCCTAGCAAAGATGTCTGATGCCCCAGCCGATGCACCGCCCGCTGAAGCTCCAGCTGATGCTCCTCCAGCCGAAGGCGAAGGTGGCGAAGCCCCAGCCGAAGGCGAAGCGTAAGTTATGCAACATGCTATTCTTATTAGTTTATGAAAAAAAAGTCGCAAATTTTCATTTATCAAAGTAACTCTCCACCATTGAAATAATAATCACCTCCTATTGTTTGTCGTTACCTCAATTATCACAACCTTCAGAGCACCACCAGCAGGACCAAGTCAACCATCAGAAAATCCAGTCTTTACATTGTTCTATTTCAATGTAAAAGCATTGGCTGAACCAATCCGCTTCTTGTTCGCATACGGAGCTCAAGAATATGAGGACGTTCGTGTAACACGTGACGAATGGCCAGCTTTGAAACCAAGTTAGTAGTGTCACATTTTCATTGTTCACATTCCAAAGACGCAATTAAGATCATCCGCCACTGTGATGCATATTTCACCCAAATTTACTCTTGGTGTTTCTGCGCTTCGATCACACATCATTGTTTCGATTATTACAATAGAGTCAAAACAGAGAAGAAAAATGGGCAATTTCATGCGTATATGATTGGGTTAATTTATTTGATGATGATGATGATGATGATGATGATGATGATTCACGACAATGTCAACGTTTGTTGCATTATTTCACAATTGAATATTTTTGCCTGGAAATTGTTCGAAATTCCATCTGGCGGCCTATTGATTAACGCAGCCAATCGAGCGAAACTCTCAACCGATTACATCAGAAGTGAAACTATGCGCTGGATGGATGAATTCACTGTCTTTTTTTTTCCTCGAAATGAATCGATATATATTTTATTGTGCCAAATAGTTGAATGTTGTTCATGACTCTTGCCACCCTCTCATCCCATTGATCGGTGCGGCCGATGCTGAGAGAGAAAAAAAAACAAAGCACATGCGATAATTCTTTCGCGACATGCATTAAAAATAGTTTTGATTGTTTTGTATTGTTGCCAAAGTTGGTCGTGGATCGAAATTAAAATCGTCGGATTTTGTGATGCGAAATCGATTTTGTAAACCGAAACAAAAAGAAACGATTTCGTGAGAAAAAAAAAGAATTCAACCCAATTCTGCATTGTATTCATTTCAGTCGATACGATTGTTTTCTGTGTCTACGATTACCCATCACACCAATTATTTGAAGGACTTGGGCGACAATGATTCGTATTTTTATATCATATAGCCGACCGAATTGAAATCGATTCACCGAAACGATTCATCAACAACAATCGATCGAAAACTATTTTGATGTAACGAAATTAGAGCGTAGGGACGCGCAATCCGATCATTGCGTGTTCATGTGTGCGGAAGAGAGTGAGAGCATGACAATTGTAAAAAAAAATAGTTCAGCAGATATCAATTGCATAATAAAAAAAAAATCTAGTAGCAAAAATGTCTTGCGGAAGTGAAATTAGAGCATGTGACGTTGTACGCATAGAATTCATGGTGAATTATAATTTCAATATGTTTCCCTCTTTGTCTCTTCGATAGCAATGCCAATGGGACAAATGCCCGTGCTTGAAGTCGATGGACATCGTGTGCATCAGAGCATTTCAATGGCTCGCTATGTGGCGAAACGTGTCGGCTTGGGTGGATCCAACGATTGGGAGAATCTTCTGATCGACACAGCCGTTGATACAGTCAACGATTTTCGCTTAAGTAAGTATATCAGTTTCATATTTATTTAGAATTAAAAGAAATATATCCTTGAACAAAAAACAACACGAAAACACACAAAATGAAAACCGGCGAAAACCCAAAGAATTATCGTTTACACTTGATATAACCGAAGAAATTGCCGTCGTCTCCTACGAACCGGACGATGAGGTTAAAGAGAAGAAAAACATTACACTAACAACAGAGGTCATTCCATTCTACTTGGAGAAATTGGATGCCATCGCACAAGACAACCAAGGGCACTTGGCTCTCGGTCGAGTATGTATTTCCATCACATTTGATTTTCACATTTTCTTTTGCTTTCAATCAATCTGTCTTTATCGTCGCGGTGTCTTATTTTTTCTCCTCATTACAGTTGACCTGGGCTGATGTTTACTTTGCCGGTATTTTGGATTACCTCAACTACATGGTTAAAGCCGATTTGATTGAAAAATACCCGAATTTGAAGCGTCTTGTGAACGGTGTGAATGACTTGGAGCAAATCAAAGCATGGCTGGAAAAGAGACCACAAACCGATGTCTAGATTACTGCCAAACTCTCATTTTATGGCAACCCCGTCCTATACTCACCACATTTTACTATTTAAACAAAAAATTAACTCTTCTTTCTTTTTTAAATTACATTTTCTCTGTTGCCAGAACCGAAATTTGATAACATAAATAATTCACGCATGTATTTTTACAAATATCCACATTTATTTGCATTATTGCAATTTGATTGTCATTTCAATTGCGATTGAGTTGTAAAAACACATTAAATATTAAACAAATTAAATATTACCGTATCCATTTCTTTTGAATCTGCTTAATTTTCAATGATTTTTTCTTCTTCAAAAATTCCAATTATCCATTTTTGCCATTATGATCCATGAACCCATTGGACCTCTTCGCTGATCAACTATCTTCGGGAGAGTGCTTCCAAACAGGTTTTCGTTTCTTGATGAAACTTTGTATTCCCTCCTGCCCATCAGTGGTAGCTGCCAGAAGAAAATTCAAATTGAACTTATTAAAGGAATAAATCGAATGTCATTTATCCAAAAAAAAATAGTTGATCAATTATTTCGCAGCCAAGAGAAGAAACATAAAAGCGAAAAAAAGAGAGAATAAGTTCTTACAAAGCCTCAGAACCGTACCTATGTTGTCGACCATTTCTTGTTCGCCGTATTTCAATGCTGATTTCAAAGTCATTTGGTTTTGTTCGTAGAAAAATCGTTTCCCCCTTTGAATGATTGGTCGACTTTTTGAATTGATGGCATCTGTGATTCTCTTGATTTCTTGGTCTAGTTCAGTTTCGTCTGGAACCACGCGTGTGATCAAACCACTTTTGACGGCTTCGTCAGCAGTGATTGTGTTTCCGGTCAGAAGCATATAGAGTGATTGCTTCAACGAGACGGTTCGAGACACTATAATACCGGGTGTCGAACAAAATACTCCAAAACTCGCCCTGTGTTACAAAAAAAGGTTGAAAAATACATCAAAAATTCTATAAAAATGAAAAAAAATTCTTGATTAAACAAGCATTACAATATCTTTTCAAACACGGTTTTCTCACCCCGGTGTCGAAAATGTGCTATTCTTTGTGCTAACTACGATATCACAGCAAGCGACTAATTGACATCCAGCCGCTGCACTCAATCCGTTTACTTTTGCTATAACCGGCACCGGTGACTGAATGATTTCCAACATTAATTCAGTGGCCTTTTCAAAAACCTGACGATGCAATTGTTGTCCTTTGTCCATAGAGAATTCCTTCAAATTATGACCAGCTGAGAATACCGAGCCATTCGCTGACAAAACGATACAACGCAAATTTTCATCTTGTTTATTGCGCCGTAAATTTGCCAGCAACTCTGTCATCATATCCATTGAGAGGGCATTTCTATGAGTATTTTCAAAACAAATCCATTGATTAATAACTTTGTGACGGATCAGCCATTGGCAATAGCACCTACATTTAGTTTACCTATTCTTTGGGCTGTTCAGAATCACATTTCGAATGCCATTCTTTTCATTGACTAGTGTTAATTTTGCCGGTATTTCGACAGCAGACGAAAATTTACGGAAATTGTTGACCTGTATGTTGACAAATTCGAGATTAAGATTGAAAATATTTAATTTGGATACAAATTTATTGATGACTAAACAGTCAAAACTCACACAAAATCCAGGAGATTTAATGAATTTCAGCATTTTTTTTCTACTTTTTTTTCATCAACACTGATAACAAAAACACACAATTCTATGTGTGCGTGTGTGATGTTTATTTATGTTGTCATTTGTCAAATTCGGTTGAATTGAGCTGAAGTTGGCTCAGCACATTTCGTTCGGTATAAATAAAACCAATAATGATATCTACTGTGAAATCAACACATCAAACGAGAAAAAAATGCTCCGGAATCTAAAGTGTTTGCTTAAATCTTTATCATACCTCCTGAAATACCGTAATATTTATCAAGTTATCAGCGCTTGAAATTTTATAATCCTAATTGTTGAAAACAGTGAACGCTCAAAAAAACCCGTGCGGTTCGCAAACATTCTCTGAGAATTAGGAAATGTTCACACTTTTTACAATTCATGCTGACCTTTTTCTCAGTTTTTTCTCATTCTGATAATCGGATTATTTGTCAAATCAGGATTGAATCCGTTTCTCTCGTTGATTATGGACATCTAATGTGTTCTTTCGATTTTATTTCATCCACACGAAAAATCGTGCCAATTTTACAAATTCCAATATCTTTTGAATATTTTGTCCCTTTTGTGTGTGAATGTATTTTGAATTCCGAATATTTCATCAAATGAATAGTAAATGACTGATATTATCGACAGAATGTTTAGGTATTGCTCTGAGTCCGAGTAAACATCATTAATGAATTAATTTTGTCGATCGATCAAGCGAATAAATTATTTTCTGTCCGTCGATTTGTAATGGAATTAGAATGAGCTGAATGTATTGGCCCTATGTTATTGAGCATTGCTGTATCTGGAGAAAAGGTGAAGCGTAAAAAATGATTCCCATTCCATCAGCCCTGAGTAATTACTAAATCAATTATGCCCTTTTTGGATTTACATGGAAGGAGCACCTGATAAAATGAACTTTTGAAAGTAATATGTTCGAGTGGTCCAAACGAATCATCGACAATTTCGATAATCATAATTCTGAATCATCAAAATTTTATGTGCTGTGCGAGCGAGCATATCTTTGTGTGCCGCACTATTCTCGCTTCAGCGTTATTACGTATTTCACTAACACATTCGCATCGTGTAACCAACATTTATCATTGGATAATTTTTGAAAAGTGTAGGAATGTCATTTGCCGGCAAACATAAGCGAAGAACACTAAACCATATAAAGTTGAGTGCTTCAAACTGTATATATATCTGCGCAAGATATTCCGTTCTCCATTGAGTTGCGTGATTCTCTTCAAAGCAGTCGCATCAATTGTCTCTTCTCGTACCGAGCAAAAAGCAAATCGGTAAGCTATTCTGGCAACAATTTTTTTTTTCATTTTGGAATTTTTAATGTTTGGTACTTCAAATTGGGTGTGACTAGTGTGTGGTTTCAAAGCGTAAAAAAAAGCGAAGATATAGATAGATTCGAAGATAAATAATTATTCGTACGAACAATTCGCGTACTTTGTAGGTTTGAAAGCTTACTTTTATAACTGGTTTCGTGTTCCCAATCGCCACTAACTGACAATGAGTTAGCAATTTTTCATGATTTTTTTTTCCATTTATTTCGAACGCTTTTATTATTCCGTCAAGTACAGCCTCTCATTTTGAGCAAACCAATAACTATATTTTTGCGTTTCGACAATAAAATGGTCAAAAAAAAGTCGACTCGATCGTGATTCGCAATTTCAATAGCTGTATTCTCATATAGTTTAGGTACAGTCGTAATTTGAATTGAATAATATGCATTATGTATTTTGTTTCGTTGATGTTTGTTCTTAAATACAATGAAAGCCATATGACGAACGACGCTGAACAGCAACCGACACAATTTCGATCAATCTTTTCATCAACAAATTGTTCTATGTTTCGCATGGATTGTTGTATGAGTAGTTTCTATTACCGGGTAAATGGCCTTCAAAGTGAAATAGTCCAAAAATATATGAATAAAGAGATTATATTTCCTGTTTTGTACCGAAGATACACACACTTTTCATTTGACGTAATTTTCATCGATGCCTAACATGAAAATAGAGTAAATTTTCACGGCTTATTTTTTTCTCTCACATATTTCAGGAAATCGCCAAAATGTCGCAATCAACATACAAATTGTACTATTTCGATATCAAGGGTTTGGCTGAGTCAATCCGTATTTTATTCGCTTATGGCGGCATCGAATATGAGGATGTTCGCATCGCCAAAGAAGACTGGCCCGCACTCAAGCCAAGTATGTATTTTCTATTAGTGCGTGAGATCATCAAATCTTCCAAACGATGAATTGCATTGTTATCGCATATTCTTTGTGTCCATTTGTAGCAATGCCATTTGGTCAAATGCCGGTCCTTGAAATCGATGGCAAACGCGTGTATCAAAGCATTTCGATTGCTCGCTATCTCGCCAAACAAGTCGGTTTGGCTGGTGCCGATGACTGGGAAAATCTTCTCATCGATATCGCCGTTGACAGCGTCAACGAATTCCGTATGAGTAAGTACCGTTATAGAGTGGCTCCTCTCCAAGAATTGATCGAGTGTGAAAAATGCAAAAATTCCTAAATAATCAATCCGTTGATACTTCCAGAATTGGCTGCTCCATTCTACGAAAAAGATGAAGCCGCAAAAGCCAAGAAAGTAGCTGAAATTAAGAGTGAAGTCCTTCCATTTTACTTGGAAAAATTGGAAAAAATCGCCAAAGAGAACAACGGATACTTGGCTCTTGGAAAGGTACAACTGGTTTACTTTATTTATTTTTTTTCAGAACAAATCACTAAATATTATTTTAAATAACGTTTTTACAGTTGACTTGGGCTGACATCTACTTCACATCGCTGGCGGATTTCATTAAATTCTCAGCTGGCACCGATGCGCTTGCCGATCGACCAAATTTGCAGAAGGTCGTCGATAATGTTAGCAGTATCGAATCGATCAAGGCTTGGTTCGAAAAGCGACCAAAATCTGATTATTAAGCATATCCATCACCATTTTTACGCATTTAAACATTTTTCTCACATTTCATTTTTAAACAGCACAAATTTGATACTACTTTAAATTTCGAAAGAAGATTAAATAAAACATAAATTTTACAGTTTTTCTGGCAATTCGATGTTTCATTCAAAATGTATACAATTTTTTTTTTGGCGACCGTTTTCTTAAAAACGATCAATTTGTTTTCATGGCAAACGATAAAATTAAGAACTAAACATACAATGACGCGCCTAACACAATATACTTAGTTGCGTTCAATTATTATTGAATAATATCTCTAATATTCAAGTATCACAACATAGGGGTATTGCAACTACCATAAAATATATGTATTTCATCAAGTTTATCAAGCTCTTTCTAAGTTTATGCATAGTGTTGAACTTTTGTTCAAGCTCTACCATCGAAATGTACAGTAAAATAATTTACGGGCACGACGTAAGATGGCGTTTTTTCTGGTCAAAAAAGTTGCAATATCCCTTTGTATCACAAGAACAAACCGAACCGGATTCGAACTATGAATGATTTCCCAAAAATTGGAAGCCTTTGAATACTTGCATTACGAACTACGCAAATTAGATTGGAACAGTGTAGAATTATTCAGCAATTGTGCACTTGGCGGCTACAAGCCGCATCAAATTATTGTCAATCATTATTCCAATTCATCGACGTTTATTGGCTGGGAAAAGTGTAGCCTTTTCGTTGTTATGTGTTGGATGAACATGTTTTTGCGACACACGCTATTCTCGCTTTGGAATTATTTAGTCACCAACACGTTCACACTATATGAAGGAATATTGGTGCGGCTAAGTTTTCGTATGCATTAATCTGGAAAATGTCCTTTTTTTCATTGAGCTCCGTGAGTCTCTTCGAAACAGTTGCATCTCGTACCGTCCAAAACCGGGTAAGTTTTTTCTGCTAACAATTAGAACATTTTAAATTGCTCATTTTTACTCGATTGAAAATAATTTTATTTTTTTTTGCATAACACGAATAAGAGTCAGTTCGGTCTGCGACTAGTTTCATTGGAAATGTTAATTTTGAAAACTGGCACTACTCTGGTGTTTGTAAAAACCGATTTAAAACCATACGATGTTAGATAATTAGTAGTGCTAATAAATCGCGTGCTTCACAACTTTGAAAGTAAAGATACGTCATTTGCTCTCGCGTGATTGTATTTGGGTTGGAGGAAACTTTTTTTGGCATGCTGTCTGAGCAAAATGAAACAATGCATTTTTCTTAGTCCAATAGACAAATTTTGTACGTCGAAATCTCAATTTTATAGGTAGATTCTGGCTCAATTCATCTAACTGTAATTAATTAAGACGAGAATTGATCCGAAAATATGGTTGTTTTGACAAAAATGTGATTTTATCGTAACAACATTTGTCTATCGAATTGAGTTCTAATCTAATGGCTCGTTAGAAAAAAAATTCCGATTCGTGTATGTTCGTTGTTCTCACTCTCCACTTATTTGATGAGTTAACAGTTTTTTGTAGCGATTTTTTGTGTGATACTTCTTTTTGTTTTCCCAACGCTTCCATTATTTTGACAATTGTCTATCATATTGAGCAATACAAAAGAGCTACATTCGTTGGTATCTGACAAAAAAAGGGTCCAAAAGATGACTCAATTGTGGTTCGTTATTTTAATATCAACATTTACCATACATTATTCCGTAATGTGGAGTCGCGTCTCGCGATCTAAATTGAATAATATACATTATGTATTTTCGTTGAATGCTTTGGTTCGTTGATATTTGCTGTGGGATAAAAATGAACACGATACGAATGACGCCGAAAAACAATCAACACAAATTCAATCAATATTTTCATGAACCAAATATTCTATATTTTCCACTGCTGTGTATTCGTTTCCGTTAATGGGTAAATAGTGGTGGTAAAATTAACGATGGGAATTGTTTTGGTGTATGCTATATGTGCGAATTCGACACAATTGATTATCGATTTCATTTTTCGCATTCGAATGGGGTCAATTTTTGATGGTTTGTTTTTTCTTTCATATTTCAGTGAATCGTCAAGATGTCGCAACCAACATACAAATTGTACTATTTTGATTTCAAAGCTTTGGGTGAGTCAATCCGTCTTTTGTTCGCATACGGAGCTCAAGAATATGAGGACGTTCGCGTTGCCAAAGAAGATTGGCCCGAACTAAAGCCAAGTATGTATTATTAGTGTGTATGTGTGTGTGAGGTGGTTCCAATCGATAAATTGCATTGTTATCCGTTTTTATTTTTCATTCGTAGCAATGCCAATGGGTCAGATGCCAGTACTTGAAGTAGACGGTAAGCGCGTATCTCAAAGCATTCCGATTGCTCGTCATATCGCAAAACGTGTCGGTTTGGCTGGTGATGATGACTGGGAAGAACTTTTAATCGACAGCATTGTTGCCCACTTCAATGATTTCCGTTTGAGTAAGTATCGTTGTTGCTCCTCTCTTGAAATCATTTCGGTTAGAATATGTGCTAGAGTTGTGGGAATCACTCCTAATAATCTAACTCTTTGATATTTCATAGAAATTTCCGCAATTTTTTATGAACATGATGAAGATGCCAAAGCCAAAAAATTAGAAGCTATCAAGAGTGATACGTTCATATTGGACAAATTGGAGAGCTTCGCCGAAGAAAATAACGGTTATTTGGCTCTTGGAAAGGTACTGCGTTTTTCAATTTGTCAAAGAACAATTACTCTAATGTCATTGAAATTGAATAATTGCAGTTGACTTGGGCTGACATCTACTTCTATTCGTTGTTGGATTTCATTCAATATATAGCTGGCTTCGATATCACTGCCGATCGTCCTAACTTGCAAGCAGTCGTCAACAATGTGACCAGTGTCGAGTCAATCAAGGAGTATTTGGAAAAGCGTCCCGAAACTGATTTTTAAGCACATTCACCTCAATTTTTGCTCGGTTTTTTAAGCACATTTCTCACATTTCATATTTATATGAAATCATAATCAAGCCGCACTCGTTTGATACCACCAAATATTTGAAAATTTTAAATAAAGCACAAAGTGTTCTTTTTCTGGATATTCGGTGTTTCATTTGAAATGACATAGAGGATTTAAGAATACAAACGATTTCATAAACTTCAGCATATTTTCTACTTTACAGTGACAACTGATAACAAGCACAACTACGTCGTTAATTGTGATGATAATTCGTATCATTTTATTTATCAAATTCGGTTAAATCGAGCTGAAGTTGGCTCAGCTCATTCTGTTTGTAATAAACAAAAATATTGACGATAAAAAAAAATGAACAAAGTAAACAAAATGAAGTGTTTTTGGAGTAACGATTACCGGCTTAAATTGTTATCTTGTCTACCTGGGTGTTTATCAAATTTTTATCAGTACTCAAAATGTTATAATCTTCAGAATTAACACTCCGTATTCGCAAACATTCTTTGCGAAGGGATATCCCATGTTTACACTTTTTACAAATCATGCTGACTCTTTTTTTCTCGGCATTTCTTACTGATAAACAAACTATTCGAATCACGATTGAATCCGTTTATCTCTTTGAAAATGGCCAACTCATGTTTACTTTCGATTGTGTCATTCTTGATTTATTCCAAAAGTAAAAAAAAAACGATCAATTTTGTAAACCCCAATGTCATCGCTGTTGAACTTTTTTGTGTTTATTTATAACAACTTCCAGAATTTGTTTTCGATAACGAAATAAGTCATTGTATTTTTGTGCAATTGTGCACTGTGATGAGATCATTTTCGTGCGTTTTCTTTCGGTCCTTTTTTTTGCATTAAGGAACAAATTTGACCGATAGCATTTAATGACAAAAACGCGTCCGCCCATTAAATAATTGTTTACATAGCAAAACTAATTGATATTATCGACAAAATGCTCTGTGAATGTGGTTCTGACTCAAAAGTATCAATCGAAATGGATTTGATCGATCACTCAAGCATGTAAGAAAGCCAATAAATGATATTTTTATCCATCGATAACTAATCGAATTTTAGAAAGAGTGGATTTAACATTAGGAACATAAAAACTAGAATCGAGTAAGCAATTATAATTGCAAGGCCAATTGTGATAAAGTATTCAATAATTTATGTTTGAGTTATTTTATCGTCGTAACAAACAATCGCCTTGGCGAATACATCAACGCTCATTCGATGTCACTCATCAAGTGTAGTCTAATATGGTGTGTGAGTGAACGTGCCCTGGCACAACAAACAAGATAAAGCTATTAAATATTCCACAAATACGCTTGCACTGTGTGCCGGAATGTTTGCTAGCAACCAATACAACAGTACGCGATTCGACAAGTGTGTTTGTGTGTATGGTGTTTGCCGGCAAAACTAAGCGATAAACACTACACTCCTCACACTCACAACATCAACTGATGCGGCACAATTTTTATACGTATAAATCCGCCGCCGAATATACAAATTTCTATTGAGTTTCGTGAGTCTCATCGAAGCAGTCGCATCAATTCTCTCGTCTTTTACCGTACAAACACCAAATTGGTAAGTTGTTCTGGAAACAAATGGAACGAATTCCATTTGTTCATTTTCTCGCAATGCAAATTGGTAAAATTATGAACTTTTTTTCGCATAATTCGAGCGATTCCGATTCAGTTTTTCGTTGTTCCGGTTGAAGATGTCATTTTTTCGAGTAGAAATTGTTTGCCAAAAAAAAATGTGAATTATTTCATGTATTTTTTGTGCGTACTTTGATAAATTTGAAAGTGAAGATACATCGATTGCTCTCGTATAATCGGTTTCAAGTATTCACTGTTCAGTTTTCTCACTCTCTACTACTAATTCAATGAGTTAGCAACTTTTTTGTCGCGACTTTTTTGCTTCTTTTTTTCCCTCTCTTTCATTAATTACATCTCATTTACAGTAACTACAGTTATTGGATTTGATAATAAAATTGTCCGAGTGTGATTGGCAATTTCAATGGGAACGTTTTAGTTAGGATGGTATAGCCGTATTTTATGTGTGTTTAACACTTTTCGTTTCGTATACGTATTTGTTTATTGAATATGGAAAAAAAGAAGCCGAATGACTTCGAAGAGCAAACGAAACAAATGCGTTCAATTTTTCACATCAACGAATCGTTTTGTGTTCTGCATAGATTGTTGCATGCGTTGGTGAACCAGTTAACGTGTGTAAAATGGCAATGAAAAATAAATGTTGAGAAACTAATTTACGTGTTCCGTGTGTTTGATGATTTGCTGTCGATTATTTGTATGTCGTCTGAAAATAGAGTTGAATTTTATAGGTTTGTTTTCTATTCATTTTTTCAGTAAATCGTCAAAATGTCGCAACCAACATACAAATTGTACTACTTCAATGTGAAGGCTTTGGCTGAGCCAATCCGCATTTTGTTAGCCTACGGTGGTATCGACTACGAAGACAATCGTATCGCCAAAGAAGATTGGCCCGCACTCAAGTCAAGTATGTATTTTCCATGTGTGAGGTGCACAAATGTCCAAATCGAAAAATTGAATTGTTATCCGGTTTTTCTTTCCACTTGTAGCAATGCCAATGGGCCAAATGCCAGTCGTTGAAATCGATGGCAAACGCGTGTATCAAAGCATTTCGATTGCTCGCTATCTCGCCAAACAAGTCGGTTTGGCTGGTGCCGATGACTGGGAAAATCTTCTCATCGATATCGCCGTTGACAACGTCAACGACTTCCGTTCGAGTAAGTACCATTTTAAAGTGTTGCATCTCTTCAAGTGTCTCTTTGCGGTTCATTCAAGTGATAGTCTGTGTTACATTTCGCTAACGTTTTTTTTAAATATTCTATAGAAATCGCCGCTGCTCACTACGAAGCCGACGAAACCGTCAAGGAAAAGAAATTTGCTGATGTGAAGAGTGAAGTCATTCCATTCTTTTTGGACAAATTGGAAAGCATTGCCGCAGAAAACAACGGCCATTTGGCTCTTGGAAAGGTATGTATTGAATATGATGACTTGAATGATTTGCTTTCGTTTTGAAAATCAACAAATTGAAATAATTTCAATTCTGAATATTGCAGTTGACTTGGGCTGATGTATTCTTCGTTGGTGTGTTGGATTACCTGAACTTCATGGCTGGATTCGATTTGACTAGCGATCGTCCAAACTTGCAAAAGGTTGTCGATAATGTTAGCAGTGTCGAATCGATCAAGGCTTGGCTCGAAAAGCGACCACAAACTGATCTTTAACCACATACACCTTGATTTTTTTTCTGCGTTTTCAAACTCAAATTTTCTCATATTTCATTTTCGAATAACCTTATACGTTTGATACCATTATGAATTGTATAACATTTTAAATAAAGTAAAATCATGCGATTTTCTACGAAATCATAGTTTTCATTCAAAAAAGCAGACTTTCTTTAAATAGAAATCGAATTTAGTTCTATAAATAGGAAAGATTAGAAAAAATACTCTTTGATAACTTTTGAAGTATACAGCAGATATTTATGATTTTGAAATTGTTGACGAGACGAATACAGTGGAATTAAGAACGAATGAGAGTCAATACTACCTACCATTGACTTAATTGTATCGGTCTAGAATAGTCAGAATTTATTGTTTCTCATACAAAATATTGTCTTGTGTTAATAATTACGTGTTTTTTTTATTGAATATTGGAAATGCTTTTTCACAAGAACAAACAGAATGAAGTATAGGACACTTTAACAAACTCCTTATCTTTTGTACTAAATTATTAATGCAAGCATTGCAAGCTTCATTATTTTCGTCAGGAAAAAATATCACTTTCAAAGTTTTAGGTCTTAAGCGGTGGCGCTATTTGTGTTTTGCTCTCCACAGATGGTCTAAAAATCAGAGGAAATTTCAATTAAAACAAATCATTCCTTAAAATTATATGAAACAAATATTTACACATTCTTTTGGCCAGAAGATGCTGAAATTTCGTCCACACTCAAGTGACTAATGAATCGAAGGCGCATTTGTAGTTCAGGGCGTAATTTTCGAATTATCACTTCTGTTTCATTTTTGAGCATGTCACCCACGAACATGTACTTGATATGATATCTGAAAATGAATGAAAATGATTAGAAAAAAAAAACCATCGCAAAAATGTCTGTGTGCATTTTAGCATATGACGTACAGCAAATCACAAATAGAATCCATGTATTTCAGCGGTTCGGTGCCATGATTTTTGTCAACTTGTTCTAAGAGCTCGTACAAAAGATTGGTCAAATCATAGCCGAGGCGCGGTCGTTCCTGGTCAAGTCGCAGCATAAATGGCCCAAATAAGTGACAGACGTAAATCAATTGATGTTCTTTCAGTACGTATGGTTTTAGTTTTTCTTTGATGCAACTGGAAGAAGATGGTATTCAAGTTTTAGTATCCAAAAAACTACACATTATCCGAGATAGAGAGAAGAACGTTATTTTTTTTCTCCAACATACTCAGCAATTGTAACCATTTGTCCGATGCTCGAATGGTGCAAAATTGAATGAGCAACGGCCAGAAGTAAGACGTATTTTCGTTCGATCATAGCTTCAAAGACGCTCTTGAAATTGAACATTTCGAATGGAGAGAATCGATAGGGCCATTCCGTCATTTTATCGGATTTCAAGACCTCTTGCAGCCGATCATAAATGACGCTCCAGTAACATTTTGGCAGAGCTGTCAACAACAATCCAACCACATTGATCCAACCATGAATTTCATTGGGCGATATAACGGTGTATCCCTTCACAATCACATCGATGATATTGTTGGCCACAACCGTTGGGCTCACTGGCAAACTCAACAGCTCAACACATGTCACATACAATGCGTGTGCCGGAGCATTGGGGAACTCATTAAAACGCCAATCACTCATGTAGAACACATTTTTACCAGAAATTGCTAGGGTTAAGATTAGATAAGAACAATTGAATTAAGAAAAAATTGATTATTATATGTTAACTAAGCAGAAACTATTAGCAATCAAGAATGACTTACTGTCAGCGATACGTCGAACATGAGATGTGTAATATGAAATATCCGGTTGCCAATGCACTTCCTCACTATCGGCTTTTTGAACATATGTTTGATATTGCTCACTGAGCACCCAATTCGCTGGCCGAATATCAGAAAGTGAACCAATTATCGCGTTAACCTATAAAGACTTATTATTATTATCTGTGAATGAACTATGTTTTTGGCATTTGGGAATTTTTTTTTTCTTCTCAAAATTTGATAAAATGAACGCCCCAGATGTCCAACATGTATAGAAAACGAATTTCTGCCCAATTATTTAATGGAAATCATTGGAGTTTAGAAAAAACAAATTCATAGCACAAATCTTACCAAGTATTTTTTTAAAGCGGGTCGATCACGAAGTTTTCGCTCATAGAAGTGCAACGTATTGTACAAATAAGTTACAGGACGATCTAAAAAGATACAACCGATTAAAATACAATGTTTCTGTGGAATATTCCAATTGCTTGGGACTTACCGTGAAATTTGTAGAGGCAGCCATAATGACTCAATATACTTTCGAGAGATTTGTTCACATTATTAATGGGCACTTCCAAAAATCGATGGATTACAATATCGAGAACGGGTAGAAAACGCAGGCACAAATTTCCGAAATACACCGGCAATTGGTTGTGTGTAACCGATTCATCGGGTGAGAATTTTTCACGGTATTTCTGATGAAATGCAATATGTTTCTCATGCCAGTTGCTTTGTTTCCAATGATCGGGTGAATTTTCCCTTACGAAATCCACCACTTGATTTCGGAATTCATTTGACTTTAGTAGTAGCAATTGAATGATATAGAAACAGACTTGTGCCTCGTTTCCTTCTTGTGTTCGAATTGCCTGCAAATAATTAATTTGAAAATGTCAGAAAAAATAAAATAAAAATGATTGAAATTTCAAATCGAAAGAAAAAAATTAAATTCAAACATTTAATCACGATTCGAAGTTTCCAAAGACTTCATTCAACTTACCAAACATAAAACAAGTCGATCGAGTGTTACGACATTGTATTTCCACATCAAACTGTTAACGGCATCAATAAGTTTGCTAATGTTCAAATTATTTTGTCCGCATATGGTGAACTCGAACGCAAGGTAATCGCATAATTTTCGTAGATGGGCCGACAATGCTCGTGCTCCGATTCGTTCCAACACTCTAAATTTTGTATTAAAAGAAGAAGAAAACATCGTTGAATATTATTTAGTTTTGGTTAATTCTCAGAGATATGCAAACACATACTTGTATGCCACGGAATTGATGCTGTCAGTTTCCAGAATCATTTTGATGAGCACACACAAGAACAGTGGCGGTGTTCCCGGCGTAGTAAAATGGGTGATGACATCATTTTCATTGGTCATTTGAGCCCAATTGCGATACTCATCATCGACGCACTTCTTCAACAGTTGTTTATTCTCCTTGGGTATTGTGTTCTGTGTAAAGAACGAATTCAAAATGGGCGGGAAGCATTGCAGTGTGTGCGGTGCCCATGAATGTGGTGTGTGCTGCATAATTGCTGAAAGTAACTCTTTACACCAGGCATTCGATTGATCCTCAACACCGGATCCGGTAATGTGCATCGCATGAGCAACGGTTAAAATAAGAGCTCGATTCAATTCCTCACTCTCCGTCGACACAACACTACCGGGGATTTTTGAATCGGTGAAATATCTCGACAGTTGCGGTTGTACTTCGGCTGATCCCATGCCCGTAATTAGACGCAGTGCCGTTGATTCGACACAAAGATGAATCTGCGTTTGATTTGTATGCGGTACAGAGGCCAATGAATGCAAATGACTCAGAAATTGAACGCGATAGAATGATTGGATGTGATGCATTCGGAAGGAGAGCATTTCGAGCAATGTATGCAATATTCCCCAAGCCTGCGACTTAAACACTGTCGGCAACAGTTGACCTTTTGTGAAAAAAAGAAAATTGTTTTTCCCATTTCCGATTCGTACCATGATGATAATTTTGGTCAGGAGATAGAGAGAGAAAAAAAAACACTTACTCAGAAAACCTTTGATGCCCAGCGACTCGATTTCTGTGTAAACAAGCAATCGAGAATACGTTTCGACCAAAGCTGGTGCCATATTCGAACCAACTGGAACGGTATTCTTTGACTGTGCCGCTTTTATTATGTGTGATACAATGCTGGAATACAATTTGTTTGTTTTTTAAATTAAAAACATCGAATTTAGTATCAAAAAGGTTCTTTTCTCGTATGGCAATTGAAAGTGCTAAAACTGCGATTGCATCAAAGTGAATTTTGATCTTGATGGAATTGTTCATACCTGTGGATGAGTGACATTTTTGCATGTACCGTCAAGCTATCCAGTGTAACCATCGATAAAGGTACCGTTGGTTGTGTTGCTCCCACGGGAGTTTTGTTGATCGTTTCGAACAGTGCGGCCATTGGTCTGGTGAAATAATCAGGATTCGTTGAGTATGCATTGCATAGCAAAACTATGGTGAAATCGGAACCCATTGTCAATGGATTATTCGTCATCATCAAATGCTTCAAGAACCTAAATGAAAAATGAAATTCTCAATGCAATTCCCAACGAAGGGCATATGTTTCATACTCATGGTGTTTCTTCAGCGAATTTGGTACGTCACGATGCAAGTTGATGCGATCCGATTTAGCCTTTTTCTCCAAATGAATCCATATGAATGTTGGTGCCATCTAAAAAAATCAATTTTTTTTTTAATGTCCATAGGATTTCATAATTTTGTGATGTGAACAAACCTGTCGTGTTGCATAAGTCTTTGTGCAATCAGGTACTGGCAATGGCTCTTTCTCCGGATAAAGCATATCAAATAGACTAAGAACTGACATGAAATTGGATACTGGATTACGTTGTATACTGCCTGAGATGAACTGTAGCAGAGACCACATTAAATAGTCTCGACCTTTCCTCAGATTTTTCACTGCCAACTAGGAGTTGTATAGAAAAATAAATAGAGCAACGATCAATCATAACATTTATATCAAAATTATTCAGTTGAAGAAATCTGTTAATGTCAATTGAACCAAATCTTACCTTTTCGTGTAACGTGCTGACAATATTTGGGAAGCTAGCATATTGCAGTAAAACAAAATAGATCAACTGTGAGGAAATGTGTGCCCAAAGCCAGTGTATGCTGGTAAAACTGTCATCATTTTCATTGGGTTTGTTTGGCTCTTCTTCTGTGCGCTCCATCGCCGAAATAATCAGCCAGACCAATTGCTCTTCAATCGCTGCGATGTGTTGTTTATTCTAAAATTATGAAAAGTATTGGGAAGTGTTGAGTTGAAGTGGGTTCTCATTGTGGCGAAGTGATAGAAAATTCAAAAAAAAAACACTGTTAATCAATGCAATCACACACCGGTTTGGGTAAATTGAGCATCGACGATACCATATCTTTCGAATATGGTTGTTCAAGCACGTATCGCAGTAGATTCTTTTGCGGTTGATACAATTCCGGATCGTATGGCAAAATACCTCGATGTGTGAATTTCAATGTGTTCAAATCCAATTTCCATGGATTTATCAATGATTCATTGTAGCCGAAATGCTCAACAATCGGCAGCATGTGTACGTGTCCAATGATCGATACCATTTGTGCGATATTTCGAAAATCTTCAACAAAACTAGAGGTCAATTGTGAGATTTTCCAATGTAATGGGCCGGATTTTTGTATTTCATTGGCAATAAAATAGGCGGGCAACAGACACGTATTTCGATCGAATATGTATTCGATGACACTTTCGACAGCCTTCATTTGTGGCATTATGCTCAAATTAATACTGTATGGGAATGACTGAATCTTATCACGGCATCCTTTCATTATTTCTCGCACTCCCTTGTAATCCACGAGATTGATTATTTTTCGTACCAACACAAACGATTCGATCCAAAAATTCTTATTCTGATAGACTAATCGGTCACATGACAAAACCTGTTCGCAAGCCATTCTAAAGATTAAGTGGATGAAAATTGTGAGCATCATATTGTCAAGTCAAAATTTACCAATGCATTAATGACTTCATTACCTGGCTCCGATAACATTTGAATTCACCAGTTGTATGATGACTTGAAAAAGCCATTTCAAATGATCCAATTTGTATTCGGCCGCAACTAAGAGTATATAATTTCTAAGAGCATTCTCCTTTTGATCAGCTGTCAAACCCGACAAAATTTTGGCTGCAAATTAACAGAAAGATACATCACAAATCCAGCCATGCATAAGTTTTATTTGTTTGTGTTATTGAAACTTACTCATTTGCTCACTCAATTGCTGAACCTTTGTTGCTCCAGTGTTCGGCTGGTGAACAATAACACAACCGAATGCCTCCTCCAAAAATGTGACATTCTACAAATAAGAAAACAACAAACATTCAATTATGCAGGAAAACTAAGTATTCGCTACAACTTGTTTCTGGGTATGATTTTTGAGAAATATTGTTAAAAATAAACGTCGTTTATTCACCAGTATTTTTTGTACGAAGCCCTCAATTTGGGAATCAACTGAGTTTGTTGCGGTCGCAGCCATTGCTAACTACTATGTGAGAATGCCGACTTAATTTGCTTGTTTACTACACACCGTTCGCTGAAATGTCAATGGGTTCGACATGTGTGTATGTATGGCACATACATATACACGCAGACACAAACACAGGCGAAGTGCGTCGTCGCTTATTCAATGTCAACTCATGAGACACACATGACCATCTCACTCTGACGCCTATTCGATGTTTCGTTCGTACTCATGTGATGTTTATACTTAACGTTTTTGAATTCTACGACGTAATTACCTGTTAGACATTTCAAAATACATGGATCAAAAGTGACGATTGAGGAAAAATTTGAGGAAAATAAAACACCAAGTTTATTTTTAGTCAAATAAATTACGATAATTGTTTTTATTGATTTATTTTTCTATGAATCTCATTCTAAAAAATTATTTTTTTATGAAATTAAAATCGACACAACAAAATCTCTCGGCTTGGTGTGCCGGTAATTTTGTAGTATATTTGTTCTAAAAGCATTTCAATTTTCCCGTTTAAATCGATAAAATATCAAAAATAAATATATTCATATATTTCTGCTTGATATAATTAAAACAAAATAGAAAAAAAAATCGATAAAAGAGAAAAAAATTTACGAACAAAAAAAACACTCAAATAAATTAATCAAAAATAAAAAACAGAATATTGAAAGAAAAAAACATTGTCGAATGACTTTTGATTAGATGCACAGTATCGAGTAGACAATTGACGTATGCTTATCCAGGTTACAAGTACATGAGATATTCCTTCTTACAAAATGTAAACAATTTTCTTTTATCTCCCGATTCACTTCGAAATGGCAACTGAATTAGTAATAAGTAAATAGTATCTAACTGTAAATGAAAATATAAGAAGTTATTAATTACATCGAAACGGAAGCAAAACTGTTGTTGTTTATTTTTTCCCTCTTCTTCTCTACTACTTAAAAAACTAAATTCCACATGACTAAAAAGTAATTTGCATCCATCAGCAATTTGTGTTTGTTTTTCAATTGTTTTGATTAGAATCGTGCATATTCCATATCATCATAGAATATTTTTTGTTGCTTCTTTTGTTAGTCGTTTAGTGTACAGATTTGATAAATTGTTGTGGACTCGAGATTTAGTTTGCTACTTTGCTAGTAATTTTTGCATTCTATTAACAAACAAAAAAGATCAACACCATCTTCATCCCATACTGATATGATGACAGCTGCGGTGTTTACAAATTACAGAGCTACTGTGATGCAGCTACGGTGTTTGAAAATTTATCGTCGATAAGGTTGACGATTGTATTTGCCTCGTTTACTTTCCTCGCGTAAAACTGTGAAATGACTGTACACTACACACCACATGTACGCGTAAATGACTAGAGAAGAAGAAAATTGCATTTAGAATAGTTTTTTTTTCTCGATTCATATGATATTTATCAAGTGAGATAATTATCTATGGATTGAATTGGGTAGTTACCGCAGAAAATGAGACCGCCAATAAACCAAACCACAGCCGTTATTATATGACCATCAATGATGAACATAACACCGGTGTAAATCACTGACAACAGCAATCCAACCACGAGCATTGCGCCCAGTACAACCCATGGCAACATCAGATAATGATTTCGCTGCAGAGTAAAAATCGAGTTTTTTTAAAAGGGTTTTCTTAGTCAATTTTTTGTTATAAACTCAGTGTATTCTTGGAAGAAACAGTTCAGATTTCTCACCTTAATGGCTCCGACAATCATAATAATGGATATCAAAATGGTCATGCACAAGTTAAAACCGATAACAATTTTCACGATCCACGGTGGTAACCAATCAAGGAAAATGGTTTTGTATTGTAAACGCACGGTGAACATTATGATGATTGACACGATCGACAAAAGAATAGCAGCCACACCAGCAATCACTGAACCCGTACGCAACGACTGGCAATTGCAACAGCTTCGGAAAATCGGATTTGCCATCTTTTTTCCCGACGATTATGTTCTCGGTTTAAAATCAGGTACTGCAACGAAAAAATCAAAATTGAAAATAGTTCAGTTTCATTTATTGTTTAAACAATTTCTTATGGGTAGCGGGCATATTCTTCCAGGTGGACAGTCAACTGTGTATTATAAACACATTTAAACATATAAATTTTGTTCGTCGGGGAGCATATGACCAACACTCTTACTATTTCGCTAAAAATTCGACTATGAATATTATTCGGACTCTTTGAGTTCGCTTTGAAACCAATCCACTTATTTGATGCATTTTTCCCTTTGACACGAAGAAAAAAATGTTTATCTTTCCTTAAAAGTCGCTTTTAATAGACGAAATGCCGGACGTGACTTATAACATGGGTGTTCAGCTGAGCCAAAGTAGTTGTGAGTTCAGTTTGAAAATCAATAAATCTAAGCTGTTCTCGAAATTTAAACCATTTTAGTTTCAACCAAAAATGTCAAGCTCTAATTTGTATTCTGTGGGACAAAAAAAGGTTTATGCTTAAATGTGGACAATCCCCCTCGACTCGTACGAAATGCCTAGAATAGACGGAAATGCCTAAAAGAATCGGTCCAAAATGTGGTACGAGACCTGGGATTTGGGATTTTCGTTGATGAATCGACGACATCATCAGCCTTTAACACGTTATTAAAGCCATTTTGTTATTCTGTCATGTATTCAGCATATACGATTCAATGTTATTGATGTGCGGCCTACATGATTTTATTTTCTGGTCGCTTTTTTTTATTTTTGTGATTCTATACACATTTTCTGCTGTTCTCGATTCACACACATCTTTTTGTGTTTTAGTCGTTGTTTATTTCAATCATATGTATTTTTTTCTCTTTTTCTTCTTTTCTCTCTTGTGGCAAGAGCAGAGACAAGATCTATCTCGGTATGTTGTTATTTTTATGTGTTTTCTTTGTTTTAATCGTGGTCGGTGTTTGTTCCGCTTCAACGTTGAGTAAATTAGGCGAGACCAGTGTGGAAAATGGATGGATTCGTATCGGTCATAATATCATTAGTGCAGCGGATTTTGATCGGATGAGAGAATGAATTCTTATGCAACGCAGTTCTGCCCGCCATTGAAAATTGAGCAATTACACATTCGATGACCCATAAATTGAAGCCAATCGGAATCAATAAAGCATGTGTGCATATATGAATACAGATATATCGGACGAAAAATCAATGAAGTTATTTTGAAAGAAACGAAAATTCCCATAAGGCATAAGATGTGATTATGTCGTATAGATAGATGACCATATTGATGTGACTGTAGTGGCCGGTTTTGTTTTGATTCTCCCGCGAATCGGGAGAGTGAAAGAGAGAACATCAATTTAGTCAGTCTGGAAGCCACTAGAGTGTGGGTGCCGAGGTGGTTGCATCGTTGAAGAGAGTGAATTGACGTGTATAGTTTATACGGAGAGGGGGGGGGGGGGGGCAGGAATGTCGAATATGTAAGAGCGCACAAACAACATTTAATTGGAGTTGCCTTCAAAAGTGATGACAATGATGACGTGAACGAAAAAAAAAACTACAAACGACAAACACATCAGTAATAACGCACACGCAAATTAGGACTAAATGAATGAAATTCAACCGTACACATTCAATACACACGACGCCAAACACATGCGCGCGGCCCATGTTCAACGCCACAGATCAAAGTGAAGAGAAGAGAAAAAAAAATAAGAATTAGAATCCATTAATTTCGAAATGGCATTCACGCCACTAAGAATTCGTTTTGTTCGGTTCAAGAGCGAGCAAAGTGAAAAAAACACACGAGAAAGAAGTAAAAGCTCACTTCTTTTGCTGTGGATTAGTGAAATTATCTGGGCGATTGAAAGTCATAGTTTTTTAAAGAAAAATGTGGTGCTTACCACAGGTTAATCATTTGTGTTTGTTCCAATGATTGGCATCATAAATTCGATGTCAGATCGTTATTTTTTTCTTCTAAAGGTGTCCCTGCCGGAATTGAAATGTTTTTCGCTATCACACACACATACTCTCTCTCTCTCTCTCTCTATCTCTCTCTCTCTCTCTCTCTCTCTCTCTCTCTCTCTCTCTCTCTTGCTCGTCCCACACATACGTTGAAATTCAATTCAAATTCGATGTGACTCGCAGCAGTGGTTTCGGCATCCAACTGATTCATATACGCATTAACAATCCATGATTGTTCAATGAATTCACACATGCTCGTTTGCGTAATGCGTATGGCAAAATGCAAAACAATCAACCGTTTTGTATCTATTTGTGCCATACATTGTACATATTGTGAATTGAAGCCAATCGATTGTTAGCCACAATTCAATTAACGTACATAAATGAGTAACGTGTACGAAAAAAGGACAAGCACGCATTCCGACCAACTGCAACAAGATCGAGTGAAAAAAAAAACAAAAATGCGAAGTGAAGAGAGAAAAAAACACTCGATTTGTTTACACTTGCGCCAAAGGAAATTGCCAAGCGCAGAAAAAAAAAACGTTTTTCTTGATGAAATAAACCACCACACTGGATATATTTTTAGTACATTACGTATTGCGTCGGTGTCGCTCAATATGCATTCTGCACGAATCGGCTGTGATCTTGTGTATAATTTTTTTCTGCTTGGGCTACTCTCCATTCACTCATAGCTCATATGCTCGATTCATTTCTCTCTCTCTCTCTCTCTCTCTCTCTCTCTCTCTCTCTCTCTCTCTCTCTCTCTCAAAAATCACGCATACTAGCTTAAGCGCAGAACAGCAGCCGTAGCAGCAGCTCTTTGTAGCATCTGAAGTGCTCTTTCGCGTGCGCGCGATCTCTCGATCACCGTTCTCGCGCATTGCTCGCATACACACTGACACACAAACCTATCTGCAGTATATTTATCGCAAAATCATTTAAAAAAACCAATTGAATATAGTGTCAAGGTTTTTGGTTCAATTTCGGCGTCGATGTTATTGCTGCTTCTTCTTCTTTTCTCTTCGTCTCACTTTTTTCTCGCTCTCTTTCTCTCTTTCGCTCTATCTTTCTCGTTCACCTTTTTTTTATTAAATTTTGCATACGCAATTCATTTTCCGTCGGGTGCTTTGAGTCAGCTTTTTTTTATTTCTTTCTTGTTTTTGCCAAAATATTATGTGTTTGATTCTCAACGCCTTTAATACAAACATTCGGATAGTTAAATTATTTCTTTTTGTTGTTCGCCGATGTGATTGATTTAGGACTTTATCATTCTGGTTTATATTTTATTGATCAGTTAGATGAGTTGTTCTGCATCTGGTTTTTATTTCGTTAATTCGTTTTCTGTTCACCCGAACATTTTTTTCTTTCGCCCGTTCGATTCACGTTTTCACAAGCGAAATAATAAAAAAAAGCAATTTTACGTAATTTAGAGAGCAATGAAATTTAGAGCGATTGGCAATATGGAGCAGCAAATGTAGCATTTAGGAAGAATAATTCTTTTCTACGTCGAACGAAGAGAAAAAAATGTAAAAATATTCAATGTTATGAATATGAATGTTGATTTCTTTCTACAGCCAACATTCCACACATGACTATTTAATCCGCTATCATGTATGCGATCACGGAACCATCAATTTTTGGTTTGGTTTTTCTTTTTTTTTTCTTTTTTCGGAAGAAAACGTAAAGTTCTCTATTTACTATTTGATTGGCATTTCTATCGCACGATTATGGCGTGAAGAGAGAGAGAGAGAGAGAGAGAGAGAGAGAGAGAAAAGAGTGGTAAAAGCATACGGCAAGCAAATTCAATACCTCGAAATGGCAACCATACAAATGGTGCATTGGATGATTTTGTTTTTGCCGTGGAAATCTAACTGTAATGAACAATATTAGTGATTGTTTGCTTGCTGGCTTGCTTGTTTGTTTCTCTCTCTCTTTCTCTCTCTCTCTCTCTCTCTCTGTCTCTCAAGTTACAGCATCTCTAATAATTGCGGTTTGCAACAGCGTCAACAACGTTAGGTTCAGTACAGCCAACACACTACCACAGAAATCAAAGTGTAAATAGAAAAGACAAACTGGTAAAAGGGAGAAAACGTGTTTTTGTGATCTTCTGGTTGTGCGATTGCTGCTACTTCTGATCGAAGCTCAGCGCTTGTGTGCGCACATTTATTTACTTCGTTTTTTTGTTGTTGTTGATGTTTTATTTTCGTACAGGTTCAAGTTTCGATTGTTTTGTAAATTTTCACTATTTTGTAAGTAGCATCCAGTGCGCAACCAATTAAAAACACCAACAAAATACGATCTAATGGATTCGATATGTGGCGAGCTTTGAGCTTGTGGCCAATTAGTCGTGTATCGCAATTTTGGATCGTATTTATAATCGAGTGTGTGTGTGTGTGTGTGTAACAACGATTCGAAAATAATAACGACATACTAAGCACTTTATGTACGAATTGGCTTGTATATTCCCTGATTTGTATGACACACATTTCGCTTGGCTCTGCATATAATGCACTCGTTTTTCCTGCACTTCTTCAATTGTTTTCGATGTGGTTTTTTTTCGTGCGACTCACTGGCTTGATCGTGCAATTTGATTGGCGTCTTCATTAAATACATACGTATGTATCTATAAATGTTGATGCGTAATTTTATTACGATCGATTTCACGAAACATCGTCTGATCATATTCGGTGTTCAGTATACAGCCAAAATCCATGGAAAAAATGTCTCAATAGTACAACAGATTCAAGCTATTGTTCCTTCCATATATAGCTGCCTTACCTTTTAAACAAAAATTATTGATATTTTGACCTTCTCCTATGTTTCAACTACGTAATGTATCGGCGTTACGACAAAGCTATTATGCTCTACTTCCGACCGTGATTGTTCGATGTCGATGAATTTTTTTTTTTTTTGTAAATCTCCTCTTCACACACACACCAAAAAAAGAAGAGCCCGACGAAAATTAAAATCGATTCGGACAAATTCGTTACACACGTTCTCTATGCTATATTCCTTATTATTATTTTCGTTTTTATTTTCTCGTCACTCTTTTTAATATTTTTTCTTTTCGTTATTTATTTCACTTCAAAACCAGAAAACTATTATTCAAGAGCGTGTGAATAAGCTAAACGTTACGCTATTTGATGTGGGACCGTTTGATATCTTTCGATTAATTTAATATGTTTGATGCGAAAAACGAGTCCTAAATACAAAAAAATTCTCTCACTGTCTCACATATAGGTTTGCTCTCATGAAAAACCGCAGATGAAGAAGGAAACAAAAAAACGGACTGTGAATATAAAACGGCACACACACAATTTGAAAAGCCAAAAAGCGAGTTGAGCGCGCGTCTTAACGAGTCGGCATCAAATAAAAAACTAGCTTAGACGAATTATGAATCGATTGGGTGTAGCGCGCGCAAATAGGTTTCCACCAGTTTGCCTGCTAGTCAGCCAAACCGATTTGCTTGGTGTTGTTGTCGTCGTCTTCGTCGTATGCGTGTGCTCTTTCTCTCTCTCTCGCTCTCAATCAGGTTGACTTTTTCTCAGTTGTTTAATTTTTCTCTCTCCTTCGTTCGTACGTTTCGTTCGTTTGTCTGTTTGTTGTTGTTGAAGCGCCAATGTATTTGTTTATGCTAACTAGCCAAGAAAGAGAGCGCTTAATAATGAATGGGCGATTCGAAGCGTCGAAGTCATGATCATTTTACGCGAATTTCCTTGCGTGTTGACCTCTTCTGTCGGCCGCTTTTTCGCGGTCCTGTGTACACATCTCTATTCCATCTCTCATGGTGCACCGTGAACACAATTCGTCATTTTAAAGAGAAAAATGATCACTTTTTTAACGACAACTGAAGAAAAAAAAATGGCAGGAAAAACGCGCGCTACATTCCTTTTTGTTTGTCAATCAACGTTGTGTTGACTGCTTATGTAATCGTTTTGTTTGGCTATGGACATGAATGACGTTATCCGTTACAAATCAATACATCGATCGCGGTGTGTTTTATGTAGCTGAGATCATGTATCTTAAAATCTCAGTGTGTCGCTTGGTAGCGCGCGTGCGAGAGCGTTTACATTGATTACGAATAAGTGTGACTGTATTAATGGTGTGTGGGATTAGAGTCTTGTGTTTGATTCACACATTTGATTGAATATCATCTTGTGCTCATGCCCAGATGCATGAGAGTGACAGAGACACAGATAGAGAGAGAGCGACGTATATTCGAGAATTCTTTCCATTGCTTATGTATGTGTATTTTTTGTCTCGAAAGATCGATTGATGGCTTAGCTTGGCTTGGTCATATGACCAAAAAAACAAACGCTGTTTATCTTCGCTCTGTCGGTTCATTGTATCGCACACCTTGCAATTTTCGTTGTGCTTTTACCGTTTTCGATAAACAACAGATTGTTTGTTGTCATAAAATAGTGAACCATATTCCAGACCCATACCGGGTAAACAAGTTGTTGTTTTCGTCTGAATTACGAATACAAATGCAACCAATTAGGGCCCTAATGGAATGCCATAATGATAAGATGTTCTTCAAATAGGCTCGTCAAATCAATAGACTCACACACACACACACACTCCAGCTCGTATTGCCTGCAATGGACTTAACCTTTGACACTATAAATGACGTTCCTACAGAAGGATAATTAAGCAAAATCAACAATCGTGATTGCTATTCCGATAACAATCAGCTGTGTTCAACACAACAAGAAAAACCAAAATCTTGTGTCCGTGCCTTTTAGCGATGAAGAAAAAATGCAATATAATTTTCCGTTCCCTACCCACTTCAGATCGCATGTTCAAAAAGATAAATGTATGCCATCGCCAGCCATGGGCTTGGCTCTCATATCGATTGGTTGCCACCGTCAATTAATTTCCCAACGCATGAATTTGTCGTTTATTGTGCAAACACCTTCTAATTTATTTGCAAGCACGAACCCCTCGACATGACTAAGCTCAATGTTAAGCTCTGATATGACATACAAAAATGACTGAAATGCCGAGGAATCTGGCAAACATTGCCATACCTCGAAGAAAACATCATTAAATTGCTCTCAATTTGAAATCGGGCACAGAGATAGAGAGGTAGAGAGAAATGTATTTACTGCGTATCAAGAATACAAATAAACTCGAAATAATCACAATTCTGGTTTGCTTCTTTGTTTTTCTTTTCATATTCGTTTATTTATTGTGCATGTTTACAGTAAATTTCCAATTTTATTTGTTTTGTTTCACATGATTTGAACTGAATAGATCTCGATGGATGAAATAAAATAAAATGACAATCAGAAGAGAAAAAAATGAATTGAAATTGATTTATTTTGTTATGTGGCGTTTTAGTCTGATCGGTCAACAAACGACCGGACGATGTTTTCTTTTTATTTAGGCTTTCCACTATTCGCAACCGCTGCTGCTGCAGCTTCTTCCTTTTTTCGTTGTTTTTCTCGAAGAATTTCAGCGTCTCTGTAAGAGGAAATGAAGAGATTTTATTAGGAAAAAGCGAATGAGTCGTACGAGATGCATAAAATGCGTAATTCTTCGATGATAACAAACCTTTGTTTACGTTGTTCAACAGTCAACCCATCTTCTTTTTTCTTTTTTTGGTCAGCAATTTTTTTTTGGTTCTTAGCACGGGCTAAGTCTCTTTGGTTACCACCTTCAAAAGAGAAATGACATAGAAAAACATTAGATCTGAAATCAATTGGAGCGAACAAGGACATGTCATAGATTCATCATCAAGTGTTTAATGACTGCTGAAAATTTGGTGAAAAATTGCTAAAAGCTAACAGTTATTGGCGCTCAATCCAAAAAGCAAATAACACCCAATTATGAGTAGGCTAGCTTACTACTTACGGGTCATTTTATTTTATTCGGCTAACAACGGGGTGACAACAACAACGACAATATAGAAAATCAAATATTGATCTCAAACAACGAGCACGGAGCAGCAGAAAAAATCACAATTCCCGTCTCGATAGTGTTTAAACTTAACGATTTTCAATCTTTTCCTCTTTTTTTTTTATTGTGGGTGAATTTCTTTAATTTATTTTGTGGATTTCTTCAAGTATTTGAAAAAACGCTCTCCAGCGAAATATTCACCACTGGAACGAACTATACAAAAATGTCCTTTTTATTATTTGATTTTACAGCAGAAAAAAGGTCAAGCAGAATTGAAAATCAGCCAAAAATTGGTGCACTACAAAAAAAAATGCCTAGTAGTAGTAAGTAGTATTTAATGTTAAATATAAGTTTTGAGAGACGACATTCTTACCTATACGTATATCCTCTTCTATCAAACAGAATACAGTATTATCGCTGGCACTTTGATGTACACTGAACCAACGCCATCTATGGATCAAATTATTTGTGGGCCAATTATTTTCGTTTTAAAGTTTCTTTTTTTTTCTTCAACAGACTTTTTCTGGATTTTAACCATTTGATTAGAGAGTTTTTTGTACAAAAAATGCAAATAAAGTTTCTGCAGGACATAGAATCTAATTGAAAATGAACACCAAGCCAATACGAAGTGTTGTCACATTCATTTCGTTCTGATTTAGACCGCTTGTCGATGGCACATGTGGAATGGATGTGAAAATGAAACGATAAAATGTTGCCGTCGTGTTCCCGGCGCGCACAATCGATCTCTCACCATTTTGACATTTCGTGCAGAAGTGTGCTTTTCGGAATCACTGGCAAAAAACGTAAGTTTTATCGCAATTTTTCATGAAAATCCATTAAATTACATTGCAATTTTTGTTCAATTCCAATGTTGTGACAAGTGTTAATCCAATTTTAATCGAATCATACTGCGTTTCGATTGAATTCCCCAATTGTTGTCGGTAAATAAAACTTCGGTAGCAGCGAATGCACTAACAGCGATTTTGCGTAGTAGATTTTTATAGATTTTCTCTCTTTGTTGTCGCGCCACATAGCTAGCGATTTCAATTGATTTTTTCAAACCATACATTCTACGTTTGTGTTTTTTTCTCTCTCTGTGTTGTTGTATCGAAATAGGTTGAACACAGTACCAACTATTAAAATGCCCTGCCCACTCGCTGAAGCTATCCAAGCCCAATCAATTTGGACAAACAAAGCACAATACGTGGATGCTGAACGAAAATTCCACAGCAAGGTAAGCTCAGCTCAAGAATTTCCGCCCCGTCTCTCACATTCTCACACCCGAACGAAAAAAAAAACTCTTTGCCGTCTATCATATATGCATACAATGCATATACTTTGTCCACGGTTTCAACCTGTTCACAAATTGTTTTGGTGTTGGATTTTTTCAGTGTCCATCTACTGCATCAAATGAACAGGTATAAAAAAAATTTATACACAGAAATCCTCGTCGCTTGATGACTTATTTCCATGTTACCCAAGTTCCATTTTGATTTCTGACAAACAAACCAAAACAACGACAATTCGTTTGCAAGCCGTGCGCATCGTTTCAGATAGTAAATTGCATAAAATATACAAATCTATGAAAGATTGTTTCAAGGTCACATCATTTCACTTGGCAAACGAAATGGTTGAATTCCTTTTCCCCATTTTTTATCTCTATATGTCTTAGTCTCTATCTCTGCGCGCGTGTGTGTATGTGTGTGAATAAAAGCGAGCCCCACAGCATACGATAAAAAAAATATGAGAATATTTTTCAACTCACTACACAATATTCGTGTCAAATTCAACGGCTGGCATCGCTAATCGACCATTTTACATTTTTGGCAAACCAAACTCAATCCGATCTGTTTAAAAAAAAATTATTTGAACCAATTGCACATTAACAAACTATAAATTCTTTTTTAACATTTACAAGCTGCAAAGTGATGCGGTAAATGTTGAGGAAAGTACAAAACCGATCTCAGAAAATTCAAAGAAAAATAATAAAAAAGGCAAAAAATCAAATGCTGATGCAGAACCATCCGATACAGTCGAACAAACTGTAACTGATACACCCAAATCGTCCTTCGATAAAAAGAATAAAAATGATAAAAACGCCAAAAAGCAACAGCAGCAGCAACAACAACAACAGCAACAAATCGAAAAGAACACAAACGAAGAAGCTACAGCTACTGTTGCCGATGATTCAAAGCAAAGTGCTAAGGCAAAAAAGCAAAAAGCCAAAAAAGAAAAAAAATCTGCCAAGAAGCAGCTTGAAGACAGTAATAAGAGCAATGTGTCATCCATTTCGGAGGATATATCGAGCACATCTGAAAAACGCGATTTGCCCAAATCCAAATCGAAACTAAAGCCGGAAACTCCAAAGGCTACCAAAGAGAAACACAACGCAAAACATGATCTCGTCAAAGATGAAAATACCAAGGTTTCAATTTACATTGAATTCCGCACATTCATTTTCATTTTGAAATGTTTTGGTTTTTTTTTTGTTCGTTTTTTAGTTGTATGATTCGCTCGAATTTTTCGCCTTTTTTGGTTTTCATTAATTTATCGGCACAATATTTCATTTTAGAACAAAGATAATCACCATTCTATGGCTATTGATCTTTATTTGTCTAGTTGAATCTACTCTCGATAATTTTCAATGAAAAATTTTCATTTGTTTTTGTTTGTGTTTTGATTTTATGCCGCCTGTCCCAATCCGCACACATATCGTAGTGTCATTTTGTTTTCTAATCACTATAGAACTATTCTCAATTTGTATAAACCACAAAAACAAAACAACCAATATTTTATGTCATTTTGTAAAAACTACTAACTTTGGTTCAGGTACACGTTTCTGGTGGCGTTTCCGAAGAATGTACACTTGTCTCCGAAATCGCAAAAGCGCGTCAACATCTAAAGAATTCTTTAGAACGCGTAAGTATATTTTCCGTCCAAACAAAAAAAAACACATTCCACACAAAAGTCACATAGAAAGAACAAACAAAAAACAATAAAACACTAAACAAACACGGAAAAAAACAATTCTTACTCTGGATTTTGTCGACAGATTAGGCTTGCACAAAATAATAGCACAGACCCGAACTAGATAAAATTTCTTTCTCTTTTTGGTTGATCGATGCATGTGATACTAATGAGAATGGTGTTGTTTCGGTTTCATTTCAGATGGACGACATCGCCGCTTTAGCTGGAAAGGATGTTCTCGACCGTATCTCCGCTTTGGAAAAGGAAAATGCATCACTCCATCAAGTGGTCAATGAATTGAAAAAGTTGCAATTACAATCGGAAAACCGTATCAAATCATTGGAAGAGCGTTTGACCGGCGTTAGTGTTAGTGCTCCAGCAAAAGCACCGGCTGCCCCAGCAGCTGCACCAGCCAAACAAGACGACGATGACGATGATGTCGATCTCTTTGGTTCAGATGAAGAAGACGAAGAGGCCGCACGTATCCGTGAAGAGCGTCTGTCCGCCTATGCCGCAAAAAAATCCAAAAAACCAGCCCTCATCGCAAAGAGTTCCGTTTTGTTGGACGTCAAACCATGGGACGATGAAACCGACATGAAGAAAATGGAAGAAAATGTCCGTACCGTCGAAATGGAAGGTCTTGTTTGGGGTGCCTCAAAATTGGTGCCAGTCGGCTATGGTATCAACAAATTGCAAATTATGTGCGTCATTGAAGATGAAAAAGTCTCGACCGATGAACTCCAAGAGAAAATCGAAGCCTTTGAAGACTACGTTCAATCCGTTGACATTGCTGCATTCAACAAAATCTAAATGCACTCACACATTTTTTTACAATTACTTCGTGTCGATGCGTTGCTTCTTTTTCACTCCTTAGCTTCATTTAAATCCATCGTTTTTTTTTTCAAAATTTATGATGAGTTTTGTTTTCTATTTTGAATTTTCTTTTTTCATTGTTCTTCTTTTAAAAAACAAATATCATCAATTGATAATACAAAACAATAATCAATATGAATATATAGAAAGATGCTTTGCATTCCTAAACTATTGTGTTGTAGAACAAGTAGCAATCTCAAAGATTATCAATGTTCTCCTCACCATTTAGAAGCAGAACGATAAAAACGGATATAAAATAAAATCTTTGTCATTTAATCGAGAAAAAAAAATTCTGCCGAAAATCGTTTTATTTTTCCAATTTTCTACATCGCTTAGCCCATATTTCTTATCTTACTGAGGTAAAAAAAAAAAAACGTAAGTTTTATTGAAGATCCAACCACTGTTGCCGATGATTCAAAGCAAAGTGCTAAGGCAAAAAAGCAAAAAGCCAAAAAGGAAAAAAAAATCTGCCAAGAAGCAGCTTGAAGACAGTAATAAGAGCAATGTGTCATCCATTTCAGAGGATATATCGAGCACATCTGGGAAATGCGATTTGCCCGAATCAAAATCGAAACTAAAACCGGAAACTGTGAAGGCTACCGAAGAGAAACTCAAGGCAAAACCTGATCTACATACATCTTTAGAACACGTAAGTATATTTCCAGCCCAAACACACATTGTGTGGACATGCAAAAGTCACGAAAGAATAACAAAAAGAATACGAAAAAAGACGATTCACACTCTGGATGTTGTCAATGGGGTAGGCTTACACAAAATAATAGCATGGACCCGAAATCGAAAAAAAATCATTCCGTTTATTGGTTGAATGATGCATGTGATACTAATAGAAATTCATGTGCTTAAAACTGTACAAAAATCAATTTCCAATAGGAATGTTGTTGTTCTAGATATGGATGTTATTCTTGATCGCATCTAAACTTCCAAAAGTAAATTGGAAAACAGGATCGATTCATTGGAAGATCGTTTGGTCGGCGTTAATAGTTGTGCTCCAGCAGCTGCACCAGCCATACAAGACGACGATGATGACGTCATTTTTTCTTAAAAAATTTGCCTTATTAATTTATTGGTTTCATTTCATTTTTGATTATAACAACTTAGAGCGCAAGGGAGCATTGCGGAAAAGATCTGTTCATAGGAAGTGAATGGAAACGCTATAATTTTCAAAGAAATAAAACAAGCGGAATAAAAACACCACACAAATCTGTTGTTCAATTATTATCAATATTCTTGCATTTATTAAATGTGTACGATGTGTACGAATACAAATAAATCGGTTGAAATTCTCTATTTCCATTATTTCAGAATTGAATGTTTGTTCTTAACCATGAATTTTTGTGATCGCAACGAAAGAAAGAAAAATTTTTTTATTTTTCGTTTAATTTTGTGTTTGTGGCTTGGACCATTCGACATTAAGAATCAAGTGATCATAACCATGACCGTTAAGCAGTTGAATAGCTTTAGCAGCATCTTTGCGTTGTTTGAATGTAACATAAGCGAATCCTTTACAGAGTCCAGTGATACGATCGCGGGCCAAGTAGATTTTCTGATATGGTCCAATTTTCTTGACCAATTCCTCGAGATCGGCTTCGACCATCGACTCGGAGAGATTTGAAATGCGAATATTTGTGGAATCATCACGACGAGCACCGGCCAAACCAGCTTTGTTAGCACTGTCTTTCATGTACGGTGGCACATATTTGCCCGGCTTGGCACCAACCGGTTCGGTCGATGTGGTTGGTTTCACGTCAGCCAATTTACCCGTTTCCATCGATGTACCCTTGTATGGACAGTTAACCGACCAATGGTCACCGTTACAAATACGACATTTGGCAAAATTCTTTGATGGATCGATGGCTGGATCATTTGATTTCTCTTCTTCCTTGTTTGTAATGAATTGCATGTTCACATCTTCTGACACCATTGTTGTTTGTGGACTTGGGCCGGGTTTGTCATCTTTTGAATCGCCGAATTTCGGTAGGGCCTTTCGTCGTGCAACTGATTTTGGTACAAATTGTTTCAAAATTTTGTACGTGCGCACCACTTTGACCTTTTTCTCGTCACTGTTCCGCTTGTATTCCGTCTGCACTTTCAATCCATTTTCATTGCTCTCGGTTGGCGGTGGAAGATTTCCCGAATCCAATTCCACTTCATCAGCCCACGAATACTTAATATCTTCGATTGCTGGCATTTTCTGTTTGACAATACCAAAAGGAAGAACGTTTTATGTTGATAAAAATTGTTAATTTTTTTTTTGGCGAATTGTAAAATCGGTCTGCAAGTTTGCAGTGGCAGATTTTGACAGGTTTTACAGTGCCGCTGTGTAATCGGTCATTTGCAACAAACACGCATGGAAACGTGTAAATGCCAAGACATTGATTTATGCACAGATCTCAAATGAAACGAATTTTTCTATGCAAAACACATGGGCCACCGTGGAATGCATTTAATTAAAATGTTTTTCTAGTTTTTTCACTGCGTAAATTACCTTAGTTGCAGCTTAAAATCCAAGTACAAAAAAAAACTTTTGGTTAAGAGAAATGTGGAAACGTCACACGGAACCAATTCATTGATGTGTGCTTGGCGATGGGCTATTCATAGTCTGAAGTTGGTTGAACGAGAATTTAGTTCGGATTTCAATCCGTTTCATTTTGGATATGCGATATACAATGAATTTCATAATTTTTCAAGCAAAAAATGAATGGACAAATATGTACAGAGCTCAGACTCTAATCTGCGAGTAAAAAACTATTGAATTTTTCAGACAGGTTGTTGTAATACGTGTTTCATAACAAAGAAACAAGAACTAACATTCGATTCCGGTCATTCCATGCGTGTCATACATCGGACAACCCGTTTTTAATTTGTTTCGCATCTGCACTCTCGAATGACATATAAAATTTTCGCATTCGCTGCATGCTCATGAGAATACAGTATTCCTATCTGTCTTGCTCACTCCATCTGTTTCGTTCTCCCTCTGTGTCTAGCTAACTTAGTAGAACAGGCTTGAGTATCATGCGGTATCTGTTCGATGTCAAATCAAACACAACAAATGATTTCACTGTCAGTTTAGCTTTAGTTTCTGAACCATTCATTTCGTACACTTTACACAAGAACACATATACACGAATCCTCTCTCTCTCAAATTATCTTCTTTTTTTCTTCTCGGTTTTTATTTCGCACTGAAATCAAAATCAACTAATTCAATTCATAATAACTTTATTTAAACAATTTCGTTCAGTAAAATTCCTCAGTAAAATTGGACCATAAACCGTAAAACTCATACATACAACAACGTTTGAATTTAATTGTGCAAAATAATAATTCAACAATTTTGTTTTATTTTCAATGGTTTCTAAACTCGTTCGGTTGTGTTACTTGTGCTAATTAATTAACAATAAAACAGAAAAAAAAAATTCTCAAATAAAATTTGAAACGAATAAAAGAGAACGATCCGTTTGATCCGCCACTCTTTACATCAAATAAAAACATATAATTAAATTAGAGTCAACATCGAAAATTGAGCGACAAAAAAAGAGTGTGAACAATTGAAGAACAATTCTACATCAATTGAAATAACAACGTATTCAATCATTTAGTTTGACGTAGTTAACAGTCAAAAATAATAAATCGATTGAAAAGTCCGGGTAAAATTGGTTTTTCTTGGTGTGTATGTGAGCGTGTGTGTTTGTGGTTAAAAACGCAAAATTTGATTATAATTGTCAAATTGACACCTTTGCGGATTTTCACCTAAAAATTGTCAACAACACATCGATTCCGTTACGTATTTTCCCGTAAGCATTCGCTCAAATACGGCAAAAAAGAAACACTTCAGAACACCATTGGCGAAATAGAGGGAGAGAGAGAGAGAGTGCGCTGTCGCTAGTAAACAAGCAGATATTCGTAATACAATTAAGCAGAAAGTACAAAGCAACAAAAGAGAAAAATAATTTTCACTGAGAAAGAGAGAGAGAGAGAGAGAGAGAGAGAGAGAGAGAGAGAGAGAGAGAGAGCAGAGATAGAAGGAAAAACCGTCGACAGATCGAACAAAACTACCAATCATACCTATTTGAAAGAAGAAGAAAAAACCGAAAGAAAAGAAGTCAATAGAAAACAACAATGTCTAATCTACGGCAAATTCCGCTGACTTGCAGTGGTCACACACGGCCTGTTGTGCATTTGGATTTCAATCGTGATATTACCGAATGTGGATACTTCTTGATATCAGCATGCAAAGGTAAGCTTAAATGTGGTGTTCTTATTATTGTATTTGGTTTTTAATTTCGATTGATTCACATATATACATAAATGTTGTGAGAATTGATCACACAATTTGCGGTGTGCAAAAAAAAGAGTAAAATAAATAAAGTAGTAACAAAACGACCACACAATGGAGGCACAACGAAATAACACACAAATAAACCGTGTGCGCACGCATCCTAGACACCGTACATTATGTACACACCGCAGAAATTATTTTTTGCTCGGTTTAAATGATTGAACATGCTGTCTTCACTCTCTCACTCTCTCTCTCTCTCCCTTTCTCTCGTTTCACTTTTTCGATGGGTTTGTCTCGTTTTGTCGCGGTTGCATTTGCGACAATCATTTACATAGGTGCTCGTTCATTCACTATATGCTAAATTGGTTCCTTGACCCAAAAAACACGCTTCTTTTCGTTCATTCGGCACTTTTTCAACACTCTGGATTGTCATCGTCATTTGCTCCTCCGTCTTTGCTCCGATCTCATAGCAACCATTGATTTGAGAATATTCTTTCAGCATTTTGGGCATGCATGCAAAATCCGCAAATTTTCACTATTATTAGCAGGAGAAAAAAAAATACTAGAAAAAAAGTCGCATGACACTCATTATACTACCGTAACTAGTGTCAATTGTCTTTATTTAAAACTTGAATTCGTTATTTGAACGAGCAAAACAAAAACAACATAAGAAATACGAATATGAACGAAACGAAGCGAGAGAAAGAATAATTTCAAATGATAAATCAAAATACAAAGCGATAGCCAATTTAAGGAAATGCGCTATTCGTGAGAATTGCCTTAATATCCTAAAAGTTGTCAGTTGTTTTTATTGTTGTTGCCATTATAAAAATTTACATTGTGATGTTTTGTTATTAATTTGATTTGTTGCTATTATTGCTGTCGTCGACGTTGTCGTATCGCGTTTCGCACACTTTGATAGCAAATACTTATGCTGGTAAGTTTGTGCCGAGTGCGACCTTTAACAAAAATTGAATGCAATGATTGTTGTTTTTATTTTTTGCTATAGTCATTGTTGTTATAAGCACAAACTGAGATTCACGTTGAACATTATCAATTGCATTTCATCAAACACGAGGGGGTTAAAGACATACAGAGGAAAATGATAATTTGATATCATAGATTTTAAATGATGAACCTTTTTATAAGAAGAACTAAAGAAAAACCATTCGATGATAATTCTTGCAATAAAATGAGTGAAGCATTGTCTTCCAATAAAATCATGCTTGTGATCACCGGAGATGTATTTACAATCACTGAATCGCGTGAGAATGATACACATCAAAGGATTAAGTTCTAATGGGATCCTCCTTGGGATCATATTCATAGTACATAAAATAATATGCAAATTGAGTTATTTGTGATGTTTTACAACAGATTTTATGTCTTTATGATGACTATATACGAAAAAGAATCGAGTACGTGACGTTTTGCACGGGTGCAGTGACATTTTTATCCATGCAACAGCGGCCGAGCACTGCTTTTAATCACTTTTCACCTTGTAAGGTTTTCTTGGTCGGTCCATTGCATTGAAAGGGAGCAAGAATTATTGTATCTGGTACAATGCATGAAAAATATCAGTCATATCTGTGCTGGGCCCAGCAATCTGAGCCAGTCTGAACAAGAATACTATTGTTATAGGTCATGCACAGAGCATGCACTCATTAATGCGTTTGTTTCGGTGCCTTTTCGGTTCCTTTTATTGGATTTTGTGCTTTCGGTCAGCGCACGACAAAGAGAGAGAGAGAGAGAGAGAGAGAGAGAGAGAACGAGAGAATAAATTTATTGTCGATAAGATGCTGATATTAAATAAAAAATATTTCGTTGTTGATTTTTTTGTGTGTGCGTTGAATGTTCGTGATTATTATTACGCGGTGACTCTCTACCTTGTTATCCTTGATAGGAAAAAAAGAGACATGACGTGCACGTAGCTCAGCTCATTTTGAATCACATGCAGCTGTACAGCAACAACAGCAATAAAAGCATCGACTACTCGTCATCAACAACCCGAAAAACTTATAATAAATACATAAAACAAAAGACTCCCGAAAAACACACACACACACACACGCTGTTATTTCAGAATTCTTTTAATTTATTCGACCGCACACGCGCTCACGTGCGCGCACGACAACGAGCGATCAACGGTCGTTATACTGAACATTTTTATATCTAGATCACAAAATTATTTGTTTATACGTTCAACCTTGATTACACTCAACCGACATTTAATATTGTCGAATGTGTTGTGTGTATGTTTCGTTGTTGTTGTTGTCTTTTTTCGCTGTCCCTGTTGCGCGTTAGTGATTTTTATGCGTGCGCTCCGAACGCAATAATCACACAATTTTTTTTTTGTTGAAATCGCTCCAAGTCATTTCTGTACACTCAACGGAAAAAAATGAGAAAAAAAAAACAACGAAATCATCATCAAAACGATTTTCATTCTCATTAAACGATCGTTATGAATAATGAATGAACGAACCGAAAATGATCTAATCTATTTTCGGTGGTGATGGTTGAATCAAAAGCGTCTCTAAATGGTCATTCAATGGTGGCAAAGACAAAAACCAAGTCACGCATGTGTTTTTTTACGTGCGCGCGCGTAATCTATGAACAAATACATTGTCATTGTTTACGATACAATGAAGAAGAAGAAGAAAAATATATGAGAGAATGATTGATTAGAGGGCATTTTGTTCTTTTCAAGCGAAATTTTTGTTTTGTTTAATAATAAAATTTATTTATCGCGCGGTGTTGTGTTCATGACATTCAATAAGGTTTGTGTGCAGTCAAAACGACTGTTTTGTTATTTAAATGGCATTTATAGTACTGTTATCCTTGAGTATCGATATCGACCAAAATGGCCATACGAATTTTTCCAACCGATCAAGTCGGCAAGTGATCGGCCCATTCTCATGCTGCTCAATTTAATGCATTGATGTGTTTTGCACCATTTCAAATCAGAATCGAATCATTTTTCCGATTTTTTTTTCTTCTCTCCCTTTCTTTCTCGAAATAATTAAATTGAAACGATGTCGGATAGAAAAATCGCTTTGGAAAATCGAATGATCAAAGTCTGTTTGATGATCGACCGTTTCAGGTACGATTCGAATCGAATCGACACACTGAGAGAAAAACAACGTTTTCGGAGAAAATGTTCAATTTTCGTCGGTTTTGAGTAAAGCAAAAATGATTATTGTTACATGCGTTCATACACGACAAGTGCAAAATCTGTGAGGCGGTCGCATGCACGACATCGATCACGAGAGCGTGAAAGTACACACAATATTCAATCAGTTGTCGACTCTCTCACAACAAAATACACACCGCACTCTGTATGTGTGACCATGAATAATTGCGCGATCGTACACATTCAATAAATTCACTGAGTCAAGCCGCACAAACAAAACCAAATGAAAAAAATAAAATAAAAATAAATAAAGAACAAATTGATAGTAGGAAAAAAATATATACATAAACAGTGCGACGACTAGAGAGAGAGAGAGAGAGAGAGCAAATGTACGCGCGCGCGCGCTCACGCGGCCAAGAGAATCAAACAAAGACATACTCATGTTGTATGAATTTGCAATGCTACGAGAGAAATAGAAAATATGAGCCAAGGTTTCTTCCGGTTAAATACAAAATCTACACAATACTCAACAAAATAGATAGTACGTACAACAAAATGTATACATTGTGTGTATGCACCTATAGGTACATAGCGTGTGAAATATTAATTTATCATCGGTCTTTGTTCTGAATCACACACATCTTAACCGTACATGTACCAGAATCGAACTCGTTTGATTCCGGCCGAGACTAGAAAATGTGCTAGACAAAAACAAACCGCGAATCAATTCAATCGACAATAAATTGGTATGATTTTTTTTTCATTCGATCTCGATTCTTCGATTGCCTGTGACATGGATCAGTATTATGTCATTTTAAAACACCGCCAACACCACAATCCAAATAAGAAATATGATATCGAGCGTTGCCGTTTTTTTTTTCTCACCGAGTGCAAACGAAAAAAAAACGTTCCAATTAAATGATTTGATTGCGAGCCACAATTAATTTGCATTATCTATAATCATGTATTCAAAGCATTTGCAATTAAATATTCATTGAACGAACGAACAAACTTGCGGAATGCTATCGAACTTTCGTGACGCGTAAAGTTGTTCCTTGTGTCTCTGACTAGAGAAATAAAAAAAACAACAACATTCAATGTTTATTGTTCTTTTGTGTAGATCTTGGTTCCGTAAACAACAGCCGCTTTAAGTACGCACATACTAATCCAAACAAAGACGTTTGACGATCTTTTATGTGCACACAGATCTGAATCACTATTTTGTTTTAAATAAAAATATGTCAATTTTTTTTTTGTTCAATCCGTCGAAATGAGAGTGTGACAGGTTTTTGTTTCCGCAATTAAAAACAAGATAGGAAATGACTGAAGAAAAAAAAGTATAGACAATTCATCATTTCAATATAGACAATGCTCATACATATGTTTTTCCTTTCAATGAATCAATTGATTTTAAAATTGCATTTATTCGATGATACTTTTCTAGATGGTAATCCGATGCTGCGGCAAGGTGACACTGGCGACTGGGTCGGAACATTTGAAGGTCACAAAGGTGCTGTGTGGGGTGTCGCCCTCAACAAAAATGCAACATTGGCTGCATCGGGTGCTGCTGATTTTTCTGGTACGATGATATCCACATGTCACTGCTATTTCTTTTGCGTTTGATCTTTTGCAGCGTTTCTATCCAAGACTTGATTAATTTCGAGCCGATTCATTGATAACATAAAAATTAATTGTTTGAATTTGTTTTTTTTTTGTCTCGCCCACGTGTGTGTGTGTGATCTACAGGCAAGGTGTGGAATGCAAGCAACGGCGAAGAGTTACACAGTTTCAAACACAAGCACATCGTGAAAACGGTGAGCTTTGACGAGAATAGCAATCATTTGATAACCGGAAGCAATGAAAAATTGATTCGTGTGTACGATTTGAGTCAACCGAATGCCGAACCGCAAATCTTTTCTGGTCATGGTGGCCCACTGAAACGGGCCCTATTCTGTCGAAATGACAAATACATAATTAGCGGTGCTGAAGATAAAACGCTTCGCTTATGGGATCGTTCAATAGGCCAAGAGGTACAGCGTATCGAATTCAATGCACATCCGAATAGCATTGAACTGTCGGCCGACTATAACATTTTGACAGTGACACATGGCACGAGTGTCAGTTTCTGGGAGACTGAGACATTGAAAAAACTCAAAGAGATTACCGTACCCACATCGGTGAACACGGCTAGCCTACATCCCGATAAGCATATTTTCGTTTGTGCTGGCGAAGATTTTAAAATGTACAAATACGACTACATTACCGGCAACGAAATCGGTATGAATCGTTCGTTTCTTTTTAAATTTCCCAATTCATAATCGTTTTCCCTTTTTGCCGAGTTTAACTTACGACCTAATTAAAACGTTTTATCCCTGATTTTTTTTTTCTTTAGAATCGTTCAAGGGTCATTTCGGGCCGGTGCATGCGGTGAGCTTTAGTCCAGATGGTGAACTGTATGCTAGTGGTTCAGAAGATGGTACGTTGCGTTTGTGGCAAACTACGGTCGGTAAAACATATGGTTTGTGGAAATGCACCGAACCCGGTGAAGCGAATAACTCGATCAATTCACAGCGTGAAGTTCCTGCCAACTAATTTGCGAGTGCGGGCGTGTGTGTTTTTAGCAACAACCGATCTGAAAGACTTGAACAGGAATACAAAACATGAAACAAAATAAACGAATTCAAAGAAAAAAACACTCTTCGAACCGCAATCGCGAAGGAAACCCGCCAAAACTGAATTGATCTTCTCTTTCATACTACTTTTTTTAACTCCTGATTTTTTCTACCTACAATTTGGAACGATGTGCAAATAAAATTTATTCATTGGTTCAATATGTATTTATACTATAACTCTCTCTACGAATTCGAGAAGCAAAACACAATTTTTTCATGTATTTCTCCTTCATTTGTCTTGTAAAATGTTTCTCCAATTCTTAAAACAAAACAAACAAAACAAAACAAAAACGTGGACATTTTCCTTCAAAAAGAGCATACTATACAACAAAAACAACAACAGAAGTAATAAGTAATGAACACATATGAGTGATGCTATGATCTTGACTTGCATTAAAATCACCAGACCGATAGAGAAAGACGAAGATACAGAAGTAACATAGCTTTTAATTGAATTTTTTATTGTATTATTTTTACTACTTCAGGCATTTATACAATAAAATATTTCCGTTTTCTTTTGTACTGTACAAAGAAAATTCAAATTTCATTGGGTTTTATTGATTTTCCGTTGTCATTTTCAGCTGTTGATTTACACCGTTTGCCTGTAGCTCTTCGTTGACTTTATTGATGATAAACGTTTCGATCGCCTTTCCCGGATCTTTTTCTTTATACAAATGAATTGGAACCTAAAGGAGACGGAGATAAACATTGAGGTTTCACAGTCAAACTTTGATTCCAAAACGTAATATCAGATGGAAAACTTACAATGATCGGATGAAAACCAAGAATTTTTAACTGTGTAATTTTATGTGCCAAAAAGCCAAGAGGGATATTTTCGCATTTGTTATATTTATCAGTCAAATACTCTTTTGTATTGCTGGCAATTAGCGAGAATACCATCAAATTTGGATCGTCATTGGTTAAAGATGCTGCATTGATTATTTTTGACTTGTACAATGGTGGAAAATTACTCGAAATATCCACTGGTTCAAGCGTATTTCTGTTGAGACACACGATTAAATCTGTATAGAAAGAAAAGGATAAATTTAATCAAGCTTTTAAATGTAAACATAACCTTTTTCTAAATGTTAATTTTTTTGTAATTTCCATAGTGATGACCAAAAATTATCAAATAAACATCTTACCGGCATGTTTTCGGTGAGGGATAGCGTGTGCATACTGAAAGTGTGTGAAAAGTTTTTCCACCACATCTTCGATGGCATATGAAAATTCGTCATTTTTCTTGTACCGATTTACTTTATCCGGAACCCAACTGATTAAAAAGCATAATTTTTGCACGTAGCTCGTGGGAAGAAGGTTGCCTTTATAAATATCTCTCAAATTGATGCGACAATAACCATCGATTTCGTATATTTGCAAATCCAATTGCCGCATGGATTTAAAAATAAACTTAATATAAGCCGGGCTAAGAATATTGTCCAATAGCTCTATGTCGTAGACATCAACCATAAGCAAATTGCGAATGATATTCGAAAAATTGCGAAAAACTCCTCTCTGCGCAACAACATCCAGCCGATTGTTAATGATTTCATGCAACAGCATAGTAGCAACTCTATTCACCAACTCACCATTCTCATGGTTGGACATGGTAAGGATACGGGACAAATATTCCAAATCTGGCATGGACAAATCTCGCAACTCTTCCGGATGATTCAAACATCGTTCAAACACATGCCAAGTAATTTTATGGTCAAAGAGTCGAATCGGAGTGCCAACATTTGCCACTAATATACACATTTTCAGTGATCGATTTTGTAGTGATGCTCGCAGATTTTTCGCAATATTCAGCCATTGCGTGGATTTGGACATGCTCGGCTCGAATATTCGAGATGTTAACTGAAAAGAAGGGAAAATTTAAATCAAATTTAAAACCGATCTAAAGCTTGGACAAATCCAAACGGGGAAACGTTTTCTTTTGAATAATTACAATTAAAATTTTTGTTAACTGTCCTTCAGGCAAATGGCTGAGATCCTTTTTTTCCAGATAGTTAAAAAGCTTATCGCGTAGTTCTTGTTTTTCAATTTTCGTCTCAAGACGGATAAATGTCCACAGCACCGTAGACAATTCCTCTAGCGTCATATCATCGATGGTTGTCTCTAATAAATTTTCAAACGCCCGAATATCTTCAATTGGTCGGGTCATGCAATTGATGTAGTACAGCGCTTGTGCCATTTCGGGTGCGCTCATATTTTTCATGTATCGATTCAAAAGACGTGATATCAATGCAGAAACCCATGTTTTCTTTGAGCTTGGAATTGTCATCCAAATGCTGCTTATAAATAACAATTGGTCGGGTAGTAAATCTTCGGATTGGATCGTACATGCTTGATCGAATGCATGGAATAGGTCAATGTAATTGCGTTGTTTCAATTGTAAACGATCCCATGGAAATCGGGCATATATTTGCAATGCTCGAATCAACTCATTCAATCCAAATTCTTGTAAACGTGCACAGAAAATGTCAACGAATTCATCGAATTGTGTATCACTCAACGGGCAATCGTTGTCAAGACTGTAGTTCAAGAAACTTTCAAATGCGCTTATCATTTGGTCATTGTTGTAGTCATTCGTTGATTGCTTCCAATCGACATTTTTTAGAGAATGTGGACACTGCCATGTCGTAAGATTCCGTGTTTCATCGTCGAATTGATAGATGATTGTTGACTCTTTACGGAACATTCTATGACGACCCGAATTTAAAAAGTAGCCCATAATTTGCTCTCGCTCGTTGTTGTGTTGATGATAAATATTTTTTACCGAATAAAATTGAGCCAACGGTCGGTGTACTCGTAATAAACTTCGTATCATTTTTGCAAAACCTTTTTTTATTTAAAGAAATAACATTTCAAATGTAATATCAATTCAAACTTGAAAACATTGAGGTTAGACCGACTGTTGTCAGATGTCTGTTGTTGACAATTTATTGATTTTGACAGTTCATTCAGCCGGGCATTAAGTGTGGTAGTTTCAAGTATGCGGATGCTTAAGTACTTACCAATTTTATAGCGGTTACGTTGAAACAAACACTACCGGAGAATGGTGGAAAAAAGACGCGAAATAGAAAACTACAATTCATTTTAGATCAAGCGAATTTATACATAATCTTTATTCAAATTGTCGAGAAAAAAGAAACAAATTGGGTCATTTGAAAAGTGAAATTTTAAACGATTACCTTGAATAATAATTGTTTCTAGCTTTATTCAGCAAAAATTTATATTTCATTTACATGATATCTAGTTTTTTGTTGGGGAGAAGGCTTAAATGACTACCGTTTTATTTCTTTTTTTTAAATATTTGTTGCTGCTTTTTATTTGTGGAATTTCTAAATGTAAATAATTCTCTTTTTTTATTTCGATTCCGAAGCGGAAAAAACGAAATTCCTATTGAAATTGCGATTGCAATGTAGTTTTATTTTACACCTGAAACGAATATGATCTAATAGAAAATAGAGTCCTACGGTTCGCTTCATGATAAAAAAAAATAGAAAAAAATCGTGACGACCGACACCGAGGCTTACAGCGACCGAGGCTTGAGCCCAACAAATAAATAATTAATGCGTTTCTATTCTTTTACTTTGAGTTTTTAATATTTAGTTTGAATTAAAACACAACTGCTTTTGTTTCTTGTCGGAGCGGTGAAAATTGTTCACCTTTGCATTTAAAAAAAAAAATCATTACAAAATATATTCTTGAGCATTAAAATTGATCAATTCGTTTGACTAATTTCTATTGATTAGTTTTTTTTCGCTTTTACTTTTTCTTCTGCACGATATCATATGTGCAATGGTATCGACTTTTTTGTGAATCAAATGAAAAATGTGTGTGTGTGTGTGTGTGTATGTCACGTAGAAGATTGAAGCGAGCGCGATGAAAGTAACGTTACAAACAACTGACTATTCTCTCCAATTCGATTCATTTTAAAGACTTTTATCCATATTCACTGAAGATATTGTCGATTTGAGTAGAAAATGTCACATAAATTACGCACACACCGAAATAAGTACTAGAAATTGAGATAAAGTGATTTTTTTTTGAATTCGCACTCAAAGTTTTTTTGCGAATGAAAAAAAAATTCCTCATTAGCAAAAAAAACTTTGGGTGCAAATTTAAAAAAAAATCACTTTATCTAAATTTTTAGTACTTATTTCGGTGTGTGTGTGTGCAACATAATAATTCAAGAACATTTCTTTCTTTATCGATTGTGCCGACATTTGAATCTTCCATTGGCAGATGGTTTCGCACAAAGTTCCATAAATAGTATAAAAGCTCAGGAAATCAATAAATATGTTTTTGTTTAAAAGATGAGTAGCACCGTTTTTCTTCTGTTTCGATCGGAATTTCGTGAAAATGGCATAGACTTGCACTAACTGCGTTAAATTTTTTTGAGAACATTCGTTGTCAATTCGGAAAAGAAAAGAAAAACAATGGGAATGTTGAAAATTGCTCTAAATTTGTGACGGTATTTGATTTATATTCAAATATTTTCCGCGATATCGTAAACAGTTGTATTAAAAGTTGATTTTTTTGTTGTTGTTGTTTGGAAATAAATCGCCCATAATTTTTTGTTTTTACTTTGCTGTTTTATTTGTTCCATCCATTCTTCGGCTACTGCGAAATACTCTAAATGTCTTAAACGCTATATTTCATTTTATACATAAAATAGTGTTTAGTATTCATTTTTGTTGTTCTTTGTATTTATGTGAAAATGTTTCATTTGATCCGTTTTGTCAATAAGAAAAAGGAAACATAAAATCGTTTGTAGTAATACTCTCTGTCATTATGGAAGAAGAAAGCTTAAAAATGTGTGTTTTTTTTTTCAATGCATAGCTTCCATTTAATCAATTTATTTTGTTTCTGTTTTTTTCTTCAAATTATGTTTCAACGGAAAGAGAGCAAGAGACAGAAAAAAAGTTGCTCCAAACATAAAAAAAGTTATTTATCTCGTTTTTCTTCTGTCGAAGTTGTCAAAATATTGGCTACTCAAAAACTCTATTATTTAGTCGGTGATTAAATTGTCTGTATATTTGTTTAGCCTAATTTTTTTTTTTCTCTCGTAAATATTACTAAATAAAAATCAAAACGAATTTTGTGATATCGTCATTCATCGATTGTTTTTTTTTTCATTCATTGTAAATGCATAAATTAACATAATACTTTTTCGTTATAATTTAATAGAAAAAAAAATCATGGAAATATATGTACGGATTGAGCTTAATTGTACGAAAAAAAAGGTTGAAACCGAATAAAATGATTGAATTTTTATAATAATCGAAAAAAAGATTCACAATGAAATGTTCAATTAAATATAATATATCTTTGATCAACCACTGTTTCGTATGATGATTTAATAAAATCGTTGATTTACAAATTACAATTCGTTTTTAAAAAAAAAAGAGACAGAAAAAGACGTGAAAATTCAAATGCTGCACATTATGTGACGAACATTATCCTATCGAAATGTTAGTTATTTTGTTTCTATTTCTTGGATTTTACATGCCCATAAACTGAGTGCGTTAGAGTTAAACTAATGCAGCTATATTATCATCATAAATACGTTTTTACTGTTGTTGTTCTTCTTTAGAAACAAGGATAAAATTTTCTGTCGATTTGCCTGCATATGGCAAACGTATCATGTAGTTTGATTCGATCGTTTTTTCATTTACTTAACACTTAAATAGTAATTTCTTGTGTAAATTACTTCCGTTTGTTCTCTCTGCACGGGGGGAAGGGGGAGTTCTAATGGATTATTTCGTTTGTCGAACACGTTTCGTCTGGATCTTCCACAAAGCATACATACACACACACACACCTACGTACACTCTCTCACCAAATATTCATGTTTAGTTTGCTTCTTGTTTGTAATTCGAGGAGGAGCGCATCGGGGACTATTCTGTGCATGTTCTTGTTTGTGCAGTGGGAACACTGTGTGTTTGTGTGTGTGTGTGTATGGTGTTCAAAGTTAAAATGCCTACAGCTAAAACAAACCTTTCTTCTTCTTCTCTTTCTTATCTTTTCCGTCGACGGTCCTGCAAAAAGTGTGTAGAATTTAATAAATCATTCATTTGATTGAATATTCGCACTTATTTGCTATACACATGTCAATAGCCATGATATGATATTTTGTTTTATTTACTCGTTTGTTTTAGTAGTGAATATGAATGAAATATCGTCAAATAACCAAAGAAAAATCAAATTGTTTCGTTTCAACCAATTTTCTTCTTTCGCTTCAAAAATATATGCGTTTTTTTCCTTTTTGAATATGTATGTATGTGTGTGTGTGTGTTAAAAAAAGATGCAAGTTATGTACAAGAGATTAGAGACCTTTAGCCTAAACAAATCATTGGGAAAATAACAATAAAAATAATTGTTAAAATTACAACAGATTTCTCGTTTTTTCTTCTCTTTTCTATGCTTGGATTTTTTTTTTTAAATCAGTTAGTGTTTTTTTCTCAAAACAAAAATAAAAAGTGATTTGATTTTTGTTTTCAGTGCTGAAAATCAATATAAATCAAAAAAACGGACGATTATTTATTGCTTGTATCCCAGCAATTTGTCTGCTTAGCAGCAATGATAATAATTAGTTTTAATATGGTGATATGAATTTGAATCCCTTACAAACTACGAATGCCACTAATTATTGTTGGGATGCAAAATGAATGTCATATACATACACCCACAGAATAAGGAGAGACAAAAAAGCCAAAAGAATAAATAAATAAAGCGACACGACCATCAGACGACCATTCAACAAATACAAAGCTACACAGTGCAACGAATAATAACAGCAACGAAATTAGAAAACAAGAACAAAACAAATGATATGTACCCATTAAAATATGAAAAATTAAAATTATTCACCATTTTTTCGAATCAATTTCGACAGTTTTATTTATGCAGTACAAAAACATTATTTTCTTTGATTACAATTTTACAAAAAATGTCTTCAATGAAAAATTAATTAAAAAAAAAAATACAGAAAAAGTGACAGACAGAGAAAAAACAAACGGGGATATAATATGTTCAATAGGAAATTTATATAAAAAAAAGAGTTCTAAACAAAATGAGTGTCTAAATTTAAAGATGCAAATAATGATAATTAAATGCACTATATAGGATAGGACTAATTGCTAAGATTCTATCAATTGCTTTCAATTGACATTGAAATGTTCGCCAATTGGCGTAACTGTGACTTCTTTTTAAAATGACTTTGAGGTTCGTTTTTTTTTGTTCCTTTGAAAATTGTGTCGGTTTTTTTTATTAAAATTTTTTACGATACATAAAAAATCCAATAAAATTGGCAATATTTAGTTGCCATATTTTTGAGTTGGGGACATTATTTCTGAAATGTTTTGTCTCATTCGTGTTCAAATGGAGCCGAGACAAATCAATAGAAATCGATTCGGAAGGAAGAAAACTGATTGAATATTAGGTAACTAGGGTGATTCTCAACACACAAAAAAAATCGGCAATGACGCGGTACGATGGGGCGGGAAGAAGCCAAGTAAATACACTTTAAGTCATCCGAATGTCAACGAATCATGGACTTGTTGTATTATTTTTTTTCATGGACTCAAACTACAATACTGGTGCACACAAAGAGAATGGTGATCGGTTTCTTAACAATGTACATGAATCGCGGGAGAAAAACAATTTGTGGAATACGGTGACTTAAGACTCGAATTAATTTTCTTCTAAAGCATCATTTTTAACAAATGTTATCCTTTTGTTTTTGATTTCGTACGAATACAGACTACTTGTAGATTGGACTTGTCTTTTTTGCATTTCTAAATATAAATATATTATTTTCTATCAACTTAATGCTAAAAAAAAGCAATTTAAAGCGATTAAAGTTTTGTCAGCGGCTGCAGTATGAAAATTTTCTGTAATTTTTATCTCTCTCTTTTTCTCTCTCACTCACTAAGGTTTGAATAAATAGAATAGGGAGTTCAGAGGAACACCGATCTATCTTGTTTCGTCCCTATGTAAAAATCAAATTGAGTTTCGTGTTTCGTGTTGATGGTGGTGTTGTTGTTGTTGTTGGAGTAGAGAGAGAGCTGTGTTACCAGTAAGTATTAATGTATCTGTGTGTATGTTATGTATGTGTCGATATGCATTTTGTATTTTTAAAAAAAGAAGTATTTATGTGTGCGGATGGGGGTATTCCGCGCTCAATCTCTATTTCATTTCGTGATTTTCTTGAGACAGCGTCGAGACAGAGCTATGCGTGGTTGTGTACACCCTGGCATTATTATCTGGAGCACCGAAGCTTGTATGTCGGCGTAACAGTGATCCAAACACTCGACGACTTTTCGATTCGTCCGAGCCGCGCGACGTCAATGAACCAGTCCTGTGGGAAATGATTTGTTGTGATTCGGTATATTGTTTTTGAATTTTTTGTTTGTTTATTTTTGGTTTGATTTTTGTGTAATTGTGCGAGTAGCCCACAACACATCACGTGGGTGTGGGGCTATAAATGGCGAAAATCGTGTGATCTTTTCTTCTTCTTTTCATTTTTAGCAAAAAAAAATCAAGAGGGAATTCACATCACACAAGGAACAAGGATAAGCTGAATCAGAAGCAAATACAGTTAATGAGAGTCAAATTGTCACCACCAAATACGAATCGTTTGATTGGTTGCTTCGATTCGATTTGTTAATTAAAAGCACGAATCGGAATGTTTATTACGCGAAAGAGTTTTCTTTGGTTTAACTCAATGATTTCATAGAATCAACCGGAAGCACTAAAGCGATAGATTAATTAGCCAATAGAGATAACTACATTTTAAAGAGAAATCGATGTCGATATTAGTCAAGTCTGTCAACATTTCAAAGAGAAACAGAATGAAATGATTCAGAGGATACAATTTTTAAAAAAAAATTGTGTTTTCTTTTCAGTCAAATAAATTCGGCTAAAGTTCTACGCTCATCATCCAAAACCAGAAGAAAAAAAATCTAAACTTCAAAACACTGCCATCCATTTTAAATGCATTCGAAATGAAAATAGGTTCCAAACATTTTCTATCAAATTAAAATATTAACCAAAATATTAAATTTCTTTTCTGAATTGTTTTTTTTCTGTTTCTGTCCTATTATATCCCAGTTTGTGTAAGAAAAAAGTCAAAAGGTTTTTCCATTTCGTTAATAAAGCAAACAATTGTCTTTGTAAACAAAAAAAAAAATCAAATGAATTTCAACTCACACTCTTCCCAATAGCAATATAGAAATGATGAAAAACGAAATCATAAAATAAAAATTAATAATAAAATGTTAAATGAAAACAGCATAATACAAACACATTCACGGAACAGAGATGAAAAAAGTAGCGATAGAAAATTGTCCAATTAGAACTATGTTTAATGATTAGGCATTTAAGTTAAATTGACAAATTATTGATGTTATTGCATTCAAATTGGTGGATGGAATGAGAGAAAAAAAAATATATATGGATGAATGGAAATGTTTTCATACAAAAAAAAATATATGTTTGAATATGGTTAAATTCATTTGTAACTGTTGGATGAATATTATATTTGCGTATCGTATTCGGGTTACTTTCGATGGATTTGGTTTATTATTGAAAGTGATTTTGGTTAAATGGTATTTTATCTATCTCGCTGATTTTTTTAAACTTAAAAAGAAGACGATTGTTAAAAAAAAATCACATGAATTCTTGCTACCTCGTTTGGTGAATTTTTTGGCATTTTTGCACGGGATTACCATTTCGATTCCAAAAAGGTTTTTTTTCCCTTTCTGTTTCGCAACTAAAAAGTTCTTATGTAATCCAGGGAAATGGAAATTGATAATTGCGTGCAAAACGCCAATTTACCAAAAAAAAAATGAACAAATGGGAAATGAATATAACGAGCACATGAAAAAATTGGGTGCAGTTTGTACTTACTCTTTGCTATTTGCTTCAAGGCTGCGTCGTTTTAATTCATCCACAGTGATGCCATTTGTGCTCTCCCATTCGTGTTTCTCTTGTTCGAATGCACGTTTGCGCTCCTCCAACTCGCGAATTTGCATTTCCAACGCCTGAACACCAGAACAAGCAAAGATGGATTAGAATTAGAAGTTGATTTAAGTGGTTACAGTCATCAATGAATGGAGAGAGAGTGGGAGAGAGAGAGAGAAAGAAAGAAGAGAGAGGAAAGAACGGGCTTTTGGCTTACCTTCTTGCGTTCTTCGTGTCGTCGAGTCAGTTCAGCCTCGGAGTCTTTGAGTTTTTGCTTCTTCTCTTTGACTTTCATTTCGAACACTTGTTCCATTTCAGCCTCCATTTTCTTCATTTTCATGTCGTGTTCGCGCTTTTCTTCTTCCATTTGGGCCAATGGATTCCTGGGGCGGGTGCAAAGCAAAGAGATAAAATGTTAAGTATCTGGCATTTTCATGTCAATCCGAAAATATTGTTAACACAATACTCCTTTCTGTTATTTAATTTATTTTTATTCACAATTTCTTTACAGTTCAAGTGTGTGTGTGTGTCACTCATCGGATTGCACCCCGATAGAAGTGACAATGGCAATGAGTGGGGAAATAGGGAGAGAGAAAAAGTCAGGCAGGCACAAATGCAACAACATGAAACGTGTGACAGAGAGAATGTGTGCATTCAGGCCGCTATATATGCATATGTAAAAAGAATAACATTGAATGATGTTTTGATGCGTTTTTTGTTTTTTTTTTCTTTCAAATTTGTACGATTGACAAAGAAAAATGAATTCTATGACATGACTTAGCTTAAAATGGAAACAAAAGCATTCGTGTTTATGTTACGTTGATGTTTTAATAGATTCCGATATTGAGTTTATTACTCTTTTTTTTCTGGTACAATTATGTAAATAGGTAGCAAATACGGGGATGGTTTTTACAATCGCAACATTATGTTGGCGTTTTGTGTTTCAATCAAACTTTTTCGCTGCATTTTTCTTACATACACATTTTGGCAATTGACTTCAAGCGGTTCCATTTCGATGTACAAACGAGAAAAAAGAAAACGAACAAAAACATAACCAGGAATTTATCGTGCTCGCGATTATTCGAATAAATCATAAATCAGAGTGCAATTAGAAACAAAATGGTATGGAAAATCCGGAAAAAAAAAATTTCCAAACAAAAAAGTTAAAAAAAAAACCAGAACAATCGGTGTCTCACACGCGACAGACGGAAGAAGAAAAAATAGAAAAAAAGAAAAATTGACTCACAAAACACACTTACCACACAGTCATAAACGAGTTCATAACGCCTTGATTGCATAAACTGGGATTAAGGTTTTCCGTTGATTAATTTGGTATATGAAAGAGATATTCGTTTTTTTGTGTTTTCAAACACTAGTGTTACTATAAGGTACATTTTAAAAATGAAGCAAATTATGAAAATCACAAAAGCCAACACAAAATGAAAGACAAAAAAAAATTATAAAATTCAATCAACTAATGAAAAAGGGAATCGAAGGGTGAAATTCGGCTGATGTGGTCAATTCAACGAAATGATAAAATATTCGGGTTTTTACGAGAAAAGAAATTCGAGTGTGGAAATGTTGATGCCAATCAAAAGTGTGTGTGCGTATATATATTTATCTGAAATTTTGAATGAAGTGGTTTCTTTTTCGGGGTGGTATGAAAAACACTAAGGGCTACTTGAATTGTTCATTATGTGAACAGTTTGAGCTATCTAAATAGTAATGCTTCATCTATTCCCAATCCAGTTCAGTGATCAATGACTTTTCACACGCAACAGGACGATATAATTGATACGGGAAGTATTGACAAGAAGAGAAAAAAAAACCAAGGAGAGGCAGACAAACTATAATGAACAACAACAAAAAATGAAAACGCTAACACGTTCTTTTTCATAGATGGGTGGAATGCTTAATCCTTTACTTACTTGTTACTTAAGCGTGATTGCTTGCCATCTGTGCCAAGGCCGGCCAATTTTCGACAACGGTAGTTTTCGTAGTGAACATTATTTGTGACATCCTTCAAATCTTGCAAATGTGTTCGAATGATCATGTTGCGCAGAGCGATAAAGTCACAATGATCCAAATTTTCCACTGAAAAATGTTTTTAACCAAGAAAAATCCGATAAAATTGGAAATTACCAATTTGCAACGATTTTGATTGGAAGAATTCGAGAAACTCACCTTCGGCTGTACCCCATGGATATCTGCGTCCACGAACCTTGCGACCGTCAATTTCAACCACGGAATTAGCTCCTACAATTGCGAATGGAACTCGGCTTCGGAGTTGTCTTAACACTTTAGCCTCCTCTTCATCTTCAAGTGGCTCCGGGAAATCATAGATTTTGATTTTGTGTTGCGCAATTTCGTTCAAAATCTAAATGCAGACGAGCCAAATATGTGAGTGAGTTATTAAAAGGGAGATTCTTTTTTGTCGCGACCAAAATGTTTCATTTTCATAAGTCTCTACAGAAGAGAACCTCCATGGATGCATTACCTGTTTTTTGAACAACTGAACCTCTTCGGGTGTCATAGTGTCAGCCTTTGCGATGACCGGTATGATGTTAACTTTATCGCAGAGTCGTTGCATAAACTCCACATCAAGCGGTTTCAAACCGTGACCCGACGGTGCAATGAAGTAGAGACAAGAATGAACACGATTATCGGTTAATGCCTTGCGGTGAACACGCGATTCGGCCGTTAGATACTCCTCGTATTTTGCTTCGACAAAATCAATAATCGGTACCCAGCAGTTGCTGTTATCGACGGCATCGCCAAATCCGGGCGTATCGACAACGGTCAATGTTAGATTGACGCCATTCTCTTTTAACAAAACTTTGGTGGTTTCAACAGCTACGGTCTTTTTAATGCGATGCGACGGTCCCGGATGTTGATCTTGATTATAGATATCAGCCAAAAACATTGAATTGATCAATGTGGATTTGCCAAGACCACTTTCGCCAACAACCATCAGTGTGAATTCAAAACCTCGTTTTACCGCCTTTCGATACACTTGATTCGGTAGATTTGCAAAGCCAACATAGCCATCTAGCTCCTTTGGCTTTGGCCGAATTATAGTCTGTTGCTGTTGTATCAATTGTTGTTGTTGCTGCAATTGCTTCTCTTTGTCTAGACGTTCACTTACAATCTTATTCGAATCCTGATGATTGTTTTCGATGTTCTTGTGATTGTTTGCCTCTTTTAGACTGATGCTGTTCAAGCTGTTTATGACATTGTTCATTGCCGTAGTCGGTGTACTGGCATTCGAATGATTATTTACTGTTGTATTCTTTTCCGATGTCGGTGTTCCACTTCCATTTGTCTAATTGACAAAAAAAAACGAGAAAAAAACTCATGTTCATCGGAATTTGTACGAAAAATTGGGATTTTTTTGTTGTTTCTAGTAGAAGAAGAAAATCTTGGAAATTTGAAATTTGGAAAAAAAGGAATTGGAGCATTCAATTTGACTAAATGCATGCATAAACAGTAATGATATAGTTTAATGCCAGACAAAGATGAGAGTAATGTATGTTGATTATTATGTGAAATTGTGGGAAAGGAAACCGTCATACTTGCGCACTCAATGATGAATTTACGTGATTAATATGTGGTGGATTCGGTGGCGGTTCCATTGGACTGTGTTGAGATTGTTGCGATTCGGATTTGAAAAACATTTCACGTTTCGTTTGCAACTGAAAGAAGAACGCATTTTACGGAAAGGAAGAAAAAAGAAAGAGAAAAACGAAAAAAAATGATAATCAAAAAACTTTAACAAACAAAAAGGAATAAATTATGAATATAAAAATACATAAAAACGACGATGACGACGACGATGACGACGACGATGACGGATAATAAAATAACGTCTTTTTTTCTTGCTTAAATATAAAACTGAACACGACAAACACAGGATAAACAGGTTATATGTTATAGAAAAACAAAACAAATTCATTGAACGTTTTGATCTCACATTGCCATTCAATGTCAATATTTTCTTGACTCTTTCATTTTATTCGGACCGAAAAACAATCGTTGCTATAGATTTTGTATTTACAAGTTCAAGTTATTGACCACAAAAATTGCCACCATTAAATACCGCATGTGTTCGTTGAAAAACGAGAAAAGTAAAACCTCTCAAAAAACATCGACAGCAACGACAACAACAACAACAACAACACAAAAAATCATTGCATGCAAAATGGCAAACCAACGCACAAATGTACATATGTACAGTTATCACGAGCACCTTTTATATGACGGGGTCTTTTACGCTTATTTTTTCTCCCCGTACAGTTTCAGCTACTACTAAATTTACATGATACTTATTCACTCTCTACACTAGTAGCTAGCATAATTAATAGCGACACGTTACGCACTTATTAAATTGAATGATTCACTCACTTAATTACAACTAAAACACACAACACCAAGCATGCAATTTATAGCGAAATAAGCGCAAAATAAAGACAGCATAAATCCAATCAAAAGTAAGTTGAACAGAGAAAAATTCAGAATTCGAACGACTCCTACTAAAATGTATTCTAATTAAAATGTCAAAATTGATTTAGTTTTTGGAAAACATTTTGATGAATTTTGGTAATGGTAAAATTGCCAATAAGAGAAGAGTGTTAGTAGTTAGATTTAGGTCAGTCTACTAAAACAAATTGAATTTTTGTCCTTTTTTTTCACAAGTCGTTCAAATTCAGGCGACGATAAAAGACAAAACGGGTTAGTGGAACAACGAAAGCATTACGAATTTTACTTAAACTCCTTAAGTCGAAACGCAAAGTGCAGACACATAATGCCGAAAATCTCATAAGTTTCATTCGATTTGAGGCTTTGTTACGATTTGTTTGCTTCAATCAAATTATTAACACCTCGCAATTCAATCAAAAGCATTTTTTTTTCGTTACTTCCAGTTACAATTTCAAACAGAAAAAAAAAAAAATTAAGCACACAAAATGTGGTAAAAATGTTTTAGCATGGTGTGTCAATCGAAAAACGATCGATCAACCAGCGTACAAATTACCAACCATAATTTAATTGTGAAAATTATTTCAATTCTCCCCATTAGATCGCCAATTTGATTGGAAAATCGAAGCGATATCGGGGCTCATGAAACCTTCTACGAAAAGAGCCAACACAAACACACGCACGTACGCATGCACGCGAGGCTCACAAACATAAACGGTAAGAATGCGGTCAAAATGTGGTTCGATCGTGTTTGTTATGGCTCTGAATTGGCGAGCAAGAATTTTCAAATTGTTAACCGTCTATCGCGCTTATCATAGTGTTTTATTTGTCATTTAGTTTCGTTTTCAAACGTTGCTGCTTGTATTGTGTTCGATTATTTTATTTTCTGTGTTTGGAGGAGCATGGATAGTTTTGTCTTACCGAATGCGTTATGCTGCTACTGCCATTCGTAACGCCATCAACTTTATGCAAACCGTTTTTCTTATCTGCATTTGCGGTTAGAGTGGTTGAATTGGCGCTGCTGATCGCACCGTAGCCGCCGTTTTGTTCGAGAATACGTTGTCGTGTTGCCAAACGATCTAAGCTGGCTAATCGATATGAACCTCCGATGCCATCCTTAAATTTTTTTTTTTTGGTTTGGTGGTCATATTACAAAATAAATCATTTTTGTTTGTTTGGTGTTTTTTTTTTCTTTCGATTTTTTGTCTTATGTATAAATCGATATTTTGATTAAAGAAATAAAGTTCCACAAGAAATATACATATATGTTAGTTTGAGGGGGGGGGGGGATGAATGACTTTGACGCTGCTCCTGCTTCAGTTATTCAACAAATTTCATTATGTAGTGCTTCGTTTTGATAGAGGACGATATTCCAAAATTGGCAACAAGCCCATTTGTTTTTCGAAAACTTCTCGAATTAACTCGAAACTCAATCACGACGATTATAAATGATTCGAATAAAAAAAAAACAATTGATGCGTTCAAATTCATTTCGAAACTTTTCAATATTCGAAAAAATTGCATGAAAATGAACTTTTCTACTGAGATGAAAAATATTTGATTCAAAGAATTTAAAGCACACAATGGATGAAGAAATGGGGATATATTTAAAACAGTGAAAACAGAAACAACATCAATAATCTATCTAAATTGGGTGTTTCATTTCAACGAAAACAAAAACGAAGAATATAAAAAAAAAACGGTTGGAGTGTAAAGTATTCTTGGTGAAGTTATGAATGAGAGATGGTTCAAGCCAAACGGCACGTTCTAAGGAAATCTCTAAAATGCGACATATGACGTTCGAATACTCAAGATGTTGTCTACAGATAATGACAGTATGATACAAGACTAAGAAATGTTTGTTGTGAACCCAAGAAAACAAAACAACATCCAATTTGAAAAGTGAGAAACGGGCGCGTTGTTGTCGAAGGGAAAAATGTACAAAGACAGACATTAATCTCAGGCACAATGGAACGAGAACAAAACAAAAAGTTGTCAAATAAAAAATGATTATAAACATGAGCGTAAAACGATGAATACAAACGACGAACGATGGACGATATGATTGAAAAACCAACTCCAACGAAAATAATTTACAAAAAAATGAAATGAATTGTTTTGGTTTGAAATTGTGATATTGTGATGGAAAAAAAAATATATATTCATATGTATATACAGATATTGACGAGAGGGGGACGGGACATTTACATAGGAACTTCGTCATGAAACAACGAGAAACAACTATGCGCACCAAAAATAAACATTTAACAATTCAAGACTCGACTAAAGACGAACACAATATAAGAGACACAATCATTCTTCGAAAATGTAATCGTAATTTCTCTCTCTGCCAAATCGAATGAGAGAGAGAGAGAGAGAGAGAGAGATTGATTGTGTTTATGAAATTTACAATGCACACCTTTTCACGTTCGGCCCGATCAATTTTGGGTCCAGTGCTGAATTCATTGCGATCACGATCGCGATCCACTTTGCTGAATGACGATGAGTATTTGGGCAAAGTCGGTGGTGGAATTGGTCGGGCTGCGATCGCTGGCTTTTCATGTGATTTGTTGACACTGTGAATGCCAGCGGTTGGCGTGGTTGTGGTGCTGCTGAAATTGGCCATGTAGGCGCCGGGAGATGATAGAATGGGTTTTGTGGGTGGAACAGGTGGTGGTGGCCCCGTAACGGGTGCTCCTGGTTGGCCGGTCGGTGTCGATGCTTGCTGTTGTTGCTGTGATTGAGTTTGCACTGGAGCACTCATTATTTAGATTATACCATTTAAAAACAAATTTCGCAGCTTTTTTCGTTCAGTTTTTAATGTTCTTCAAACGTTTCCGCTTCTATCGGATTCGACTCGATTTTTCTGTTCTATTTCTCAGCGCTTGTTTCGTTTTAATTCGCTGTTCTGGTTTTTTGTTCTACACTTAAATTGCTCCTCGAACACAAACAATTGATTCACTTTAAATGCTCACGTCATGAATATGCACATTGAACAACGTTATTTTTTGTTTCGTTTTTCTGTATATCTCGTACTGATCTTGGAATTCGAGGATTCTAATTAAAAACAGTACGCGTTGAACAACGATAAAACCATTTGAGCTCGGACCACTTGTATGTGTGTATACTGTATAAACTTGTATCTTGCACAATGCAACTCTCTTCAGATTGAATGTTTGGCATGTGTTTCCTAATGAAAGAAAAATTTCACATTGAAAAAGTGGTTTCGGTATTATTTTTTTCCCTTTTTCTGCAACAAATACAACGAAATTAATTGCAAACAGACATTTGGCCGATACGCGATCACTTGCTCTGGTCACTACAAAATCGGATGAAAAAAAGAGACTTTACAACGAATTAGGCGAAACGGTCGTCGATATTGATTATTTGCAGCACCGCACTTGATTTGGTCGATGCAACTACCACACTTGATCAACCCATATCAAATGAATTTCATTAATGAAAAAAGTTATTTTTCTCTTGCTCTGCACGAAACAAACAAACAAACGGTTGTCTTGGCATATCTTTTGCTTGTATTCTTGTGTGATATGGTTGCAGTGCAGTCATCGATCATCGTTATTGTAATTGCGATGCGATCTGCTAATTGTGCGTCTGTTTCTGTCAAACCCATTGACAATTGTCTCTCGAACTGTATTAATATAGACATCAATGTGCATTCGTTTACAGTTTGCTTTTCTCTCTCTCTCTCTCTCTTCTTCGTCTTTTCTTTGCATTTCTATTTTGTCGCTCTTCGTTCTTGTTGTCACTGACGCGTACTGACTCAATCGTATTGGGCTCGCAATGCCAAACCCCAAATAGTTTAGTGTGTATCACTGCAAACGCACGTCTGTGGCCAGATTTTCAATGAAATTTATTTTCCTAATACACACGCTCATGATTCATGTAAAGTGCATCGAATAGAAACAATATGCAGTTATTGTGTGTCGTCTTCTGTGGAGTGTGCCTTTTTATTTGTCGGGCTTGTATTTCATAAGCATCGTGCATATGGTTTGTATTTTGATTCGGGCATGTGTGTCTGTGTGTATTCGTACGTACGTTTCATCTTCTCCTTTTTTTTCGTGCTTGTTTAATTGTGATTTTGATTGCACGTCAGAAATAAAACAGAAGAAAAGAAAAAGAAATGAAACATGAGAGTGCGCGCACCAAATTGGAAAATCATACGACGTATTCATTACGAGCTCGGCGCTCAAGAATTAGTAAATGATATAATTATATTTTATAATTTGAAAATGCGCTCAACAGACACACATTACTGCTCCTCTCTTCACAAGCGACAGAACACACAATTCCAAGAAATGAAATGAATGAAGCAACAACAACAACAACCAAAATGGGCTTGAGAGTATTATATTCGCTTGAGTGATTGTTATGAATTATCGCACATACCAAACAAATTACGAACGAAATAAAAGAAAAAACCTTCAAACTCCAAAATGATGTCTCAATAAAGGCTTTCCGAAATAGTTAAACCTTTGCCGCATTTTAACTTTTGGTACATTTTCTTTCGGACTACAACAGTTCGATGCGTAAAGTTGTCAATATTCAGATCATAGAACGAAAATAGGAAACAAAGTAATTCGAATATTAAAATTATCGTTCCATGTGCCAAGCCCATCAAATGGCTTGCGGCGGCAACTAGACGAATCTGTGCACGATGCGCAATGTGCATGTTTGTATATGGAAAATGAAATGCAATTATCTACGTTAAATCGTCCATAGAACACTGCCCAGAATGTCAATGTTGCAGATCCGCGCCGTTTATTCGATATTTAAATGTTTTAAAGTCCCAAAAGCGTGACCAAAAATGCATTCACTCTAAATAAAAAAAAAATCTTTCGTTCTCTCTTTCTCTCCCTCTGTGTTTGAGCGTGTGCGTGCGCTCGTGCTTGTGTATACTTATTTTGGTTTTTGAATGCACCGATAGCTAGTGGGTATGGCAACGACAACGCAACGGCACAAGAACTTTGTTCGATGCATTGCATTGTAATTAAAAGCTGCACTAATCATTGTCATTTAATTATTCGTTTGATGAATGAATGCGACTGGTAATTTCTAGTTTTCGCCATCAAATCAAAATGATTGGCTTTGCTTTATTTCGGATGACGTTCAGCTCCAGTAAATAATTGCGTCGACAATCACCATTTGGCTGCATTCATTGAAGAATGAAAAAACTAACTAGAATGTTTGATGAAGCGAACAAACACAACGAATCGCTTCGATTAATTTCGATTGAATGCGATTTGAAATGAAATCACTTCATTCCCATTAATTAAATGCACGGACCACAAAAATGAATTGAAGCCGATAGTTTTAAATATTTGGTTTCGTTTCCGAAGCAAGTGTGTTTTGTTTGTTGTAGAACAATTTGCGTAATTACTGCACTAGAGTATACTTGATGTGCTGCCAAGAAACAACCCTTAATGCAGATACCTATACCAAAAGGATGATAAATGAAGCACCAAGTGTGTACACGTAGAGAAAAAAAAACGTTGAAATTATATCATCGGTGCAATGAAAGTACGCACACACATGAGAGCGAGAGAGAGAGAGAGAGAGAGAGAGAGAGAGAGAGAGCGAGAAAAGTGCGGAGAAAGAAAACGAGGCAAACATTGTCGTGGTGGACTACCACACCATACATGATTATAATGCATTTCTGCCTTTGAACAACAGTGAAACACTTGAAATGAAAACCGATTACGGAGCACATATGAAGAGCACAGTACTTGACTTCATTTCAATACGGTTTTCATTTTCAAATGAGCTTCCCAGAATCGGTATCTCACATACATGATTATGATGATGATATAGTGAGTTGTGTGTGGATGCCAAGAAGAATCTCTTTTCGTTTGCTTACAATGTTTGCCGCAGCAAAGTGTTACAAGTGGAGAATTTATGTAAAGATTATGGATATTGAGTTTATAGAAGAGCGTTCCTTTTATTCCCCCTCCTTTCTTCTCTTTCATTATATGGCACTACCACCGTCGTCGCCGCCAACGAAATGCATTTAAAAATGTTTTGATCTCGGCCATGGAAAATGGTGCGATAAAAAAAGAGTGATTTTGAATAGGATGGCATGTGTAGGCGCATGACATCGAATCCAAATCGCGCGATATGATCATATATATGCTATGCCGACTTGATATACACATGCAGCTCGTTACAACATCATAACATTGTTGATTTTTATTTCGTTTAAATCTTGATCTTCTTATTTGGAATTCATTTGGATCTCTCACATTGAACTTGATATTCCACGTATTTCCAAATCAACGCCTATTCTATTTCCGAAGACCGTGGAAGATAAAAGACTAATCTTGAAAAACGTTTATTAAATGCAGTTGATGTGTTGGGTTTGTTTGTGATTTCTATTCGCTGCCATACGTCGTGCCAAGTACATGACCTGAACTTGTTTTTGACGTACAGCAAAGAGAAAAAAAATAAGAATTTCAATCAGCCATAACAGAAAAGAGTGCACCCAATTTTCATCAGCATATTTGTTCAACACGTTTTACTCAATTTGAATCAATAAATTTTTGCTTAATTTAATTTGTAAATTGAACGTAATTAATTGCTATGTGCAATTAATGGACATTTGTTTTTCTATCTCTCTATCTCTCTCTCTCTCTCACACTCCCTCCTTTTATATCTCACATGTGCGCAACAATTTTATCAGCACCCATTACGTTATTCAATTATCCAAGCCAAAGAGAACTGAACCATTACAACAGGCAAATCGTCACTTTGTTTCCCGAACAAATTGTACAATACCAGCGAAAAAAAAGCGAGCAGACTGAGAGCGAGATGCACTTCAACTCAAAATGCAGCGTTGACTTTAGCAATGTTTTGCATTTTTTTTGTGTGTTTGTGTGTCGCACGCGTTAATATCGCGCGACATTGGTGCACAAGAATAAAATATCTGCATCCAATTAAGTCAGTGGCGTATTGCATGAAAATGCGCAGCACTTGAATTCAACAATGAAACCATCGAAATAAGCAGCTAATTGTTTCTCACTCTTTTTCGAAAAAAAAAAATGAAATGTAATGACATGCGTTCACCCGTTCATTTCCTAGCCGTTCAATGCTTAGTTCCGTGCATTTTTTTTTTCTTCCGCAGTTCGGTTTTGTAAACAACAGTCGCAAGACATCGGTACGCACGCACGCAAACACACATACACATTACGCTGACAAGTGTTCTTTATTCAATGGATGACATATTTTCGAAATGACAAATCCATGTAAAAACGGAGAAAAGTGCTGACATTTTGCGTTTTACTGATTTAAAAACATAAACAAGAACAACAAAACCAAAAACGGAATTAACTTCCTAGCGCTACTTCTAGTTCTTGTGCACTGCCTCAACCAGAAAATTGGTTTCGTAGGCGTTTTTTTGTTGTTGTTGTTTCTGTCTGCCATGTCGTGCAGGCTAAATGAATTTGTATAGAAAACCAATTTGTAAACTGATCGATTGTTTAATTATATTATCTGTTTGCCACATTGTGTCTCATTCCCTCTTTCTCTGTTCCACTGAATTCATTGTCAAAACAATGAACGCTAAATCATAACAGATATCTATATCTAATGAACGCTAATATAGTAGAAGAAAAAAAAATATATCGGTGTGTCGACCGACAAAAGATAAGACGTTATCAGCAATGGCTCTTTTAGCTTGAACAAACGATAAACATGAAAAGGTTTTTTTTTGTCGATGCTGCTGCTGCGATGGCATTATTAGTGAAATTCAGTGTAATAAATATTTTGTTTGGACATTTAGCTAAATACACACAGTAGACACGGTATATGTAATGTATGTTGATCTGCATTGCATGAGTTAATGGATTTATGAGTGGTTTTTCTGCCCGAAATAAATTATCGAATGCCGTTCCATCTACCAATGGGAATACTTTCAGTTTTGAAGTGAGTCGACCGGGGTCGACAATCGGCAAAAAGTTAAATGTATGTGCGAGTTGAAAAGTCAAATTGATGTCATAAATTTTGATTAGCACGCACATAAATGTGGCATTAAATCGAAGGGATCGAGTATCGAACGAACGTACGAACGCATTCACCAACACATCAAATCGATAAAATAACATTCGTTGCTTGAATGTGAAGCATTTTTGGCCCCCGATTTCTCAATGTATCAACCAAATATAAACACACCAATATTTCTCGCAACATTTCCTGTGCCCAGCTTATTTCTGAGCAAAATAAATACACACCGAATGTTCTCAAGTCGAAGTGAAAAAAAAATTCAACCGAAATATACACACACTCTCCTTCTTTATCGCATATGTGAATGAGCAATGTGGTACGATTTAAAGAAGAAAAAATAAATCTCATCAATGCAGCCGTATGTTTTTGTCAGTGCCGTTGGTTGTCCGGGTATTTCTCGTCTTTTGTAGACGAAAAAAAAAACGAGGAACCAACACACAGCATAAGAACACTATCGTCTGTAAATCCTTGTCTGTGTTCAACGACCACCGCTTATGACTCATAAATGATTTTTTTTTCTCTCTCTCCGTTCGATCAACGAACCAATGAAACAAATAAAACATGGTTGAAGTTTGAGCTGTGAGTTTTGTTTCTTTTTTTATTCTTCATGTTGCAAAATTTGCTGCATCTGTAAGCAAAAAAAAAATCGGTTGACGACGTGCGAAAAAGACAGCCCGAACATCGAAACCAAGACGTAGCGAAAATAGTGTGTGTGTATGTGTCATTTTTTGCATGGAATGTATATGCGATGCGTTGGTTTTTTGTTTAAAATAAAAACTGCTAAAATAAACTTCATACACACACAGCGCAGGCACACGATTCCAGTGAAAAAGAAAATAAATTTAAAAAAACAACCATACGACGCAACAAAATGCAGAAATGAAAAATGACAAGGAGAATTAAGAAAAAAATTGGTTACAATATTTTTTTTTCATTCGATCGATGAATTTATGCTGATATCAAGGAGTAAGAACGCAAACCGATAAACCCACACACACAGAGAGAAAAAGAGAGAGAGACATAGCCACAATATACACCGTTCGAATGCATCGTGTGCATGGCACTCATAGGAACAGGACACGTCGAACATTTTACTGTTGCCGTTGCTCTTGCTTCTTTTCTTCGCTGTTAGGATGCATGCGGCGAATGCAGCCAAAACAGAAATTGGCTCGGTCGATGCGGTTCAAATGCATGAAATTCATTGGAAAACAACGTATGTGTGACATGTTTTCGTAGGATATAGACAGAGAGAGTGTGTGTGTGAGAGAGAGAGAGAGAGAAAGAGAGAGTGAGAGAGAAGTTTTTTGTCATAAATTGAAGAGTTCGATGGAACTGAAGTGTCCGACCAAAGTGAAAACAGCACGTATTCCATCTATGTCGTATGAATCGAAAAAATGGAGAAAACTGAAGACGTTTAATCAGAAATCAAGACGCTAAAACCACAAGCAAAACATTGAGGTTTGAATGTTTGAGCTATGCACAGCGAAATGCTGCTGATATAGTCAAATTGAATGCCTTCAAAATTGCTGTGTCGTATCATATTCACACTGTGTGTGTGTGTTTTTTTCCAAGTACTGGTGTTCATTTGAAATCGTCGTTACCGAACACACATCGATTTTGCACTTAACAGTCTCAACTGTCGTTCATACAATGACACTTTTTTTTCAATCATTCGTGTTAAATTGGCTCCACACTCTGGATGACTGCAATTAGGAATGTCTGTTTTCAATGCGACAATTCCGGGAATTTGAAACGCTGAATGATTTGGATAGGTTTTTTTTCTCTTTCATACATTTGACATTTTCATGAAAATTATGCACCCCTTCAGTTTATTTACAAATGGTGTATCTGGTATGTTTGCATGGCTTGTTTTTTTCTACGCCACCAACACAATCACGAACGAACATACAGTGTCGCTACGAGAGCGAGAGAGAGAAAGGAAGTATGTGAGAGCGAGAGTACGCACATACTGTTGAAAATGGGCCCGTACCGAACCATACACTGAAGATTGCGAGGAGAATCGATTTCATCGTGCAAATTAGATTTGCCCTTTATTCGCCTCTTTTTGCCGTGTGTTTTTGTCATACGCAAAAATAAATAACGCTTTCACATTTCGAGCTCATTCACTTCATTACTTCTTCTCGTGTTTTGTTGTTTCTAACAAAAAAATTCACTCAAACTCCAATCTGGAGTGTCCTTGATTCCTTGTTCTTCAATCACTCCGTTAGATTCAAATCACCGTTTCACCAAAAAAAAAAGAAGAAAAGAAAAATTCACACGAAAGCACATTCGTTTCTTCGGCTAACAACACACTAAATCGATCCGCTTTCATCGCCAAATGACTGTTTGTTTCATTTTCGTTGTTTGTTTGTTTGCATATCAAAATAGAATAAGTGCAGGAAATTTTTTTTATTCGTTTTCTTTTTCTCGTCAAAATACCGTAAACGACGCGCGATTAATCCTTTCTATACGAAACCGAACGAACACATAATTTTTTTCTCTTTCGTATGTGGATAGAAAAGTACACACAGAGAGTAACGTGAAACTGGAATGAAAGAAAAAAAGAAATACACAAAACACACTTCTTCACTTTGCAACGAAGAAGTCTGCACTGAACGCAACTACAATCGAGTATTGCCCGATAAATGTGCATGGGAAGTGTGTGTATGTAAAAATTGAGTGCGGAATGAGCAGGCACAGACACAGCCATGAAACAGTCGAAAAAGGGACAAGGAAACAACTGTGCGAATGACAGAGATAGAACGGTTCTTTAGTGTATCGAATACACTGTCAGTTGCGCCTTTACACAGAATGATCCATTCATTTTTGGCTCGATTTGGGATGCTTGTGTGTTGCCGCACACGGCGAGTGTATTTTACCAACACAAACCTATCGAAGTTGCTCGAAGGCGCGCGCTCTATATTACAACACAGACACTGAGTGTGTACACCACTGAGTCGAAAATTGTGTTTGAGTAGAATTTTGTGTTGTGATGTTTGCTGTTGTATGTATTCACAGGGAAACCGGACCGTATCATTCTATCCATCTGCTTTACACATGCATTGCGCATATGACATCGTGTGCGTTTGAGCTACATTCTTGACTTTGATAATACTCTGGCTCTTGGCATGCGAGTGAATTTTGTTTGATTTTTTTTGCGCATAAGTCAGTCAGACAAACGGTGCTGGCGTTTTCACTCTATCTATCTCTCTCTCTCTCTCTCTCTCTCTCTCTCTCTCTCTCT